TTCTGTGGACAAAACACCCAAGACTTAGTGGCATAAAAGAGCAGCCATTTTTTTCCCCAGTTCTGTAGATCAGAAATTCAGGGAAGACTCAAGTAGGCAGTTCTTTGAATCAATGTGGTGCCCCTGGCCTTAGTCAGGGGTGCATTAGATAGAGAAAAAGTGGAGTAGGTGGGGGCGTGACGACATCAACTGTGTGGCATGTTCCAGGCAGCCTGAGTGGCGGGAGGACAGAGGCCGGTGGTCCAGGCCCGAGGGATACGGGGCGTGGGCAAGGACGGAGGCTCCTCCCTCCCTCAGTTATGGCCTCTTCCTCTCTATCTGCACATCAAAAGCTGCTCAAATCCGGGGTTATTTTTAGAACCAGGGTCGATTCTTCAGTTCCCAAACCCCAGCATTGAAGCCCAAGTGGCACATCAACATCTGAACGAGGCTGGCAGCTGTCTGTCAGTCAGCCGAACAGCAGCAGAGAGGGGGTTGGGGAGAAATCCATCATTTTGTTCTCTTCAGCTCATAAGAGTCTTAAAAGCCATCAGCAGCCTCTCGGGCCCTTGTAGCATCTCCCCAGTGCTATTTTGAGTCAAGCGCATGCCCTGCCATGGCCCCCACCCACTGCGAGGCAGACGTGGATGCCTGGATGCCGTGTCCCCAGCTTGTAGGAGTTCCCTGAAGGGGTGAGAAAGGCCGGTTCCCAGGTCACCGTGGAGCCCCTCACACATGGTGCCCCGACTGTCCCCACCTCCTCATCCCACCTGCACACAGTCATCCGTGAGCACCACTCTCTGCCACGCCGTCGCCTCGCAAATCCAAGCAGGCAGCTGGGAACGGAACGGCTGCGTCCCTGTCACTGAGCGCAACACATGCAGCCCTTCGGAGCAGCCTCTGGAGGTGGAGAGCCCAGGTCCAGGTTCAGGCTACTTTACCTGCCCTGCTCAGTGGTCGTCTGTGAAATGGGGTGACGACCCCTACTGCCAAGACTGCTGTGAGAAGGGAGGGGGCTTGCGGAAGCCAAGCACCTGTGCAGCGCCCAGCACGTGGTCATGGGCCCTTACTGCTGTTACTATTTAATCCACAAAATAGTCCCGTGAGATGGAGGGAGGGTGCCTCTGCAGACGGACAGTCCATGAAGATGTTCCCCATCCTGTGAGCCACCCTGTGCTGGGACCTCTGGAATCAGATCCTGACTTCGCTGCTTACAGACTCGAAGCCTTGGAAAAGCAGCGTGAATTCTCTGAGTCTCGGTTTTTTCATCTGCAAAATGGGGAGAATATGACCCATGATAAGGGCTATTTTGAAAATTAAAATAGATGATGTGTGGAAAGCGTTTGGCTCGTTCATGGTGGGGACAGAAGCCGCTAGTGCAACGCAACAAACCAGTCGGTCTGATTGTCATCTGCACCCTCACCATCGTCATCGTCACAGGAAAGCACCGCAGTATGTGCCAGGCCGTTTCAAGGGTTTCCTATGAGCTCACAGTGAGTCCTCAAACAACCCAATTGTCATCCACCCCATTTTACAGATGAGAAAACAGAGAGAATTGGCGGATGGAAACCTACAGGGGGTAAGTGGCTTGCCCGGATCAAACAGCCAGATCCTGCCTGGCAGGCCTGGGTTCCAGACCTCCTGATTCCAGGCCAGGGTCTCCTCTGGGTTCCTGACTCGCTCCTGCTAAAGGACCCCCTGCAGATTGCTGGGGAGTTACTGGGTCTGCTGGTGAAGCAGGTACTGGATCAGGTGCCTTTGGGGGGGCCTGGGGCAGGTGAGCTTAGAGCGTTCCTCACTGCCCATCCTCAGGAGATGTGAGATTGCTGAGTGAGCACCACGGCTCCCCCAATGGAGAGTGTCCTGCCCACTCCCCCACGTGCCTGCCTCCCGTGGGGCCCTTCTCTCCAAAGCACGGCCGTGTGTGCCCTGCACCCCTGGGAAAGTGTCTCCAGGGTCGGCCCAGCGTTGCATTTTCCATAGCCCCTCAGTCTCCGCGGGCCACTACTTCTTTGAAATTCATTTCTTCTCATTATGAATTCTAGCTATTTTCTTTTTAAAAGGAAATATTTCTCTCAAAGCCTCTCATCTGTGATTCTGTGAATCCCCTGTCGCTAATCAAATATGTACACACTTCCCTATTCCTCCCCGGAATGGCCCTGAGCAAAGAAGCCTCACTAATAAGCTCTGGTCTTATGCTGATCATCCTCGTCATCACAGAAGCAGGAACGGCCACGCTCAGCAAGGCAGGCGGCCTCCCCACGGGCAGGTGGAGTGGGACAGAGAGGAGCTCCCGGCCCTGCAGCCCAAACACACCATCGCAATCAGGCTGCAGGGAGCCCATATTTGCTCCCCCTTGGCTTGAAATATTCACCCACTTAAACGATCCCCCACTTAGATTAATCTAAGAACAGCCTTGGTAGTGCATTATGTCGGGCAGTTCACATGCACTCACAAATCCACTCTCTTAAGGCATATCTCCTCCCCTGTACCCCCTTTCACCATTCCACCTATGGTAACTGAGACTCACCATCTGCAGGACTCACCCCCACGTCTCTCTGCCCACCTGCGACTTCAGCAGCTGCGCTGCTGGACAGCTGCACGCTCCTGGGAACTTCTCTGCCCAGGACTGCCTGGTCTCAACTTGTCCACCTGTCCTTTTTGTAAGGACAACAGCCAGTTGTGGATCAGGGCTCGCCTTAATGACCCCATCTTAACTTGATCACTCTGTGAAGACCCTAATGGGTATATTCTGGGGTGCTGAGGAGAGACGTTCAACATATGAACTTGGGATCCATAACCGTGACCTACTTAGGAAGCGCACCACAGGCCACCAAAGCCCGCCTGTGCACAGAGTCTTTGAGGACTACGTTCTTAGGCCGTGCCATGCACATAGTAAGTGCAAATAACTAGAATGAGTGATGAGTGATATTTTGCAGAAGGGACTTCCAAAGCCCTGGTATAATTTATTTTGCCTAACACAGAAATTATTTCAACTGGGACCTAGAATGTTTGTCACATGAGATTTGGCCTCTAACAGCCTGCCCTTTAGAATAGAATAATGCATTTCAGAGACTTCCGAATGAATCAGTTCCTCAAACTGTGCTCCCTGCAACAGGGCTCCAGAGAGACAGCGATAGGAATGCCACCCACAGGAATTCACAGGGCCCAAGGCATTGCGAAGCCACGCAGAAGCCACCCCTGCGCAGCCAGAGCTCTAAGGAGAAAGCTGGTGTAGCACCTGTGCTGGGGGAACTTATTTCCTACCCTGTACCCCATCCATCAATAGCTGTTGCATGAAGCACAATTTGGAAAACAGCACGCTCCTGCTAAAGAGAACCAGAGAGGTGAAGCGAGCCCCTCAAGGTCGCACCATGATCTCCCCAAGTCTCCAGCAGGGTGATGTTCACCACTCCTGGGGTTGCTGTGGCCCCTCCAGTTCCCGGTTCACAAAAGGTCAAAAGCTGAACACAGACGTCAGGCTCCAATGTTGATTTGACAAAATTGTATATGAAAATTAACATACTGAGTAGCATTTACTTTCACTCTCATCATTCCAGAAATAGTCGGTGATTCACTCAACAAATATGTATTAATCACTACGTGCGGGAGCTGCACGTTTTGCTGTGATCAGGACATGGCTGTTCAAGAGGTGACAATAAAATTACCCACAAAGAGACCAAAATTGATTGGCCTGTCCTTGATAAGGCTGCTTCAAAGCAAGGGCACGCGAGAAATTACATATTCACATCTCATTTTCTTCCATTAATGACACTCGCATTTAGCCCTAACGGTAGGCAGATGCTCGCGACGGGGACGCACTGGAGAAACCTGGTCCCTCTCACCCTGCAGACTGCAGAGAGGAAAAGCCGAGGATGGAATTAGCTGAGCTTTTCTTGTTGAGCCCTTCAATAAATTTCGAACTTCAAGTTCATTCAAATCTCATCTGTGACTCCTGCATTTTAGTAACATGCATTCCCGGCTTGTCTGTCATCTACAAACGAAAATGCTGATTTAAAAATGAGACTGATTGACTCACACATCTCAAAGCTTTTCAGGAAACGTGATTGAGCAAAAGCCGCATACCTCTAAAACTCCACAGGTTCCAGACCGAGAGACCTGGCTGTTACTCTCCACGAGCTTTTCCATGAGCTAATAGCATCGGTCTAGGAATTGGAAGCATCGTTTTAGGTTATTTTATTTTTTTAAATACTCTGAATGACAAAGTGCTAGAACTCTGGGCTTGAGGTGCTGTGTTTAGTGATGTGGCCTCGCAGTGACTTTCAGCACAGACCAGAGATGTGTGTACTAATAAAACAAATTCAAAGAAACAGAAGCTCTTCAGCTTCCCTCATCCTGCATGTACCTTTAAGACCAAGCTGTCGGTAAAGAAAATGAATGCTCGTCCAGACCCAGTAAAATCTTCCCTGCTTTGTAAGGATCTGCTCAGGGCAGCTCCAATCTGGCCCAGCAAAGACCATCAGCCCATCAGTCACATCATTTGCATTTATTAGATACCAGAACACATCGGGAAGAATTGCTCAGCTGCAGGACAGACTCACACACAGAGGGAAGCGCACCAACACACCTGCAGAAGCAAGACACAGGAAGGCCGCCTGCCCTCCCCAGCACTCTGCACGCTGAGCCCGTGTTTAAAAACTAAGCCATACACAGACAAGCCCGAGCAGTCACAATGAGGAGAGAGTGTATTTTCTAAAGACGAAGTGCCTTTCTCATCTTAAGAACCCAACACCACCACCTTGCTCCAAAAGGGCCTTCAGTTCTTTCTGATTGGGCTGGGGTGTGTTGGCTGAGTTTTTTCTAAAGGCTTCTGCCAATTCTTCCCAACAACAAACCAGCCAGGTGAGGCTTCTGAGCACACGGTTCCACACAGAGACAGACACCAGAGGGCACATGCACGGGGCTGGAATGGGTGTGTCTGTATCCGCGTGCGAGGGCCTCACACATGCTTGCTAATGTCTGAGGTTATACGGGCCCGCCAGGGGCATTTCTTGTGTTGTTTAATGGACTCCATCTGGGGTGAAAGGTGTTATTTTGCCCAGTGAAATCTCCGCCTCACAGTCCACTTCCCAGACAGACTCCTGGGCTGCAGCACCCCCATCTGGAGAGGTCTGACAGATCTCAGACATGCGGCCTGAAGGGCCCTCCTCCTCCGTGTCCTCCTGCTCGTCCACCTCACGGTCCCCTGCGGTCACGGCGTTAGGGATCACTTGCAGGCAGGCAGCTGCAATCTCTCTGGGGAGGCCAGTGTCCTGGTTGTAGGAGACCAGCTCGTTGCTGATGTGCACGGTCTCCACTGGGGTGCGGGAGCAGAGGTGGCTGCACCCCAGCAGCTGGGCAAACACCTTGCGGAAGTCGGCGTTGAAGGCATAGATGATGGGGTTGAGAGAGGAGTTGGCCCAGCCGAACCAGACGAAGACCCCGAAGGTGGTCTCGCTGACGCAGGGGAAGCCGGCGCCGGGGCCCGAGGGGTGTCCACCGCAGAAGGGGACCGTGCAGTTCAGGATGAAGAAGGGCAGCCAGCAGCACACGAAGACCCCCATGATCAGGGACAGGGTCTTGAGGACCTTGGTCTCCCTCCTGATGGAGGCCCGCAGGCTGGTGCCCGGCGCAGCGGCCGCCCGGCAGCTCTGCGCGCGCTCCGCAGCCCTCTCCAGGGAGGAGATGCGGCGGATCTGGCCCTGGGCGATGCGGTAGATGCGCGAGTAGGTCACGAGCATGATGGCCACGGGGATGTAGAAGCTGATGAGCGAGGAGGAGATGGCGTAAGTTCGGTTCAAGCTGGAGTCACAAGTCTCCGCCCTGGCCTCTGGCAACTGGGCTTCATCCCAGGGCGTCCCGTTGGCCAGCTGGGTCGGTGCGCCCGAGCCGCCCCGGGAGCCGGCCACGGCCCTGTGCCAGTGGAGCTGGACCGGGATGAAGGAGATGAGGATGGACAAGGCCCAGACGGAGCCCACGGTGACTACGGCCACGCGCTGCGTCATCTTGCGCTGGTAGCGGAAAGGCCTGGACACGGCCCAGTAGCGGTCCAGGCTGATGACGCACAGATTCAGGATGGAGGCGGTGGAGCACATGATGTCGAAGGCCACCCAGACATCGCAGAAGCCCCCAAAGGGCCAGTAACCGGCCACCTCGGCGACTGCCTTCCAGGGCATGACCAGCAGCGCCACGAAGAGGTCGGACACCGCCAGGGACACGACGAAGACGCTGGTCATCTTGGCGCGCAGGGGGCGGCTGCGCACGACGGCGGCGCACACCAGCACGTTGCCCAGCAGGGTCCAGACGATGAGCAGGGTCAGGAGGCCAGCCGTGACCACCCGCGCGGGCCCCAGTGGCACCGCCGCTCCTGCGCCCCCCGCGGCCCCCTCCCCGGCCGGCCGCGGCCCCCCGAAGCGCTCCCGGCGGGCGGTGCCGTTGTGCCCCGGCGGCAGCATGTCGGACTCGGAGGCCCGGACGGGGGGCGCGGGATCCCAACTTCAGCCCTGCACCCCCCGGGCGCCCCCATCGGGTACCCCGGGGATGGTACCGGGAACGCGCCACTGAACCCCAGAGGCCCGGGGCGCTCACCGTGCCTTGCGCCGGGGCCCGGGACGCGCGCGGACCCCTCTCGCCTCTGGAGCCCCCAGGTCTGTGGCGCGCTGCGCCCCTCGGTGCGGGTGCGGGGACGCGAAGCGGCGGCGCCGAGAGGGGCGTTCCCGGGGACCCGCAGCTCGCGGGGCGGCGGCTGCAGCGCTGCGTCTGGGCGGGAGCCGAGCCGGGGCGGGGAGCCCAGCCACCCCGAGGGGGCGGGGGTCGCGCGGCCGGAGCCCAGCGAGCGCCGCCTGCTCCCCGCCTCGCCCGGCCGCGCGCCCGCCGCCCGCTCTCTGCTCGCGCGCCCCGGCGCCCCGGCACCCCGCACCCCGCTCTCCGCGCTGCCCGCCCGAGTCTGGGGGATCCGCGCTCCGCGGGGCGCCCCGGGGCCGGACGCTCTCCCAGAGCGAAGGAGAAGGCTCCCGGGGAGATGAGGAGGTGCCCGGCACGCCCCGGGTGCCCCGGCCCAGCCGGGTCCTGCCCCGCGCAGGCGGCAGGAGCTGGGGTCGCCAGAGGGGCAGAGGCAGCCCGGGCTTTCTCCCAGCCCCGAGTCCCCGTCCCGGCTTCACTCCTGGCGGCGTGACCTTGAGCGCCCTAGTTAAGGTCACTGGACCTGGGTTTCCTGGGTTTCCTGGGGTCACGATCCTCTTCCTCCAAATGGGGTAAGGGTTCCCTGATGCTCTGGAGGGCAGGATGCGGAGCCCTCGCTCCTCGGTGCAGCTCCTCCTCTTGCCAGCTCCCCCCACAACCCCCAACCTAAGATTGGGGCTTCCCCTGACCTCTTGGGAGAGTCCTTTCCCCACCCCCTCCTATCCGGAGCCGCTTCCCTTTGGGAAATAATTCGGGATGAAGCTGGAAGACGAGGCAGAGCTGGGGGTCCTGCCCTTCACAGTCCTCTTCATTTTGAACCTTGGAGGATGGTTGGATGGGGGAGGACCTGAGGACTGAAGAGGTGGCCCCAAACCCAAATTCTCTTTTTTCAAAAAAGATGGACAGGGAAATCCTGGGCGGCAGCGTGGGGTTCCCGAACCCCAGGCCTCCCCAGTGGTGGACTCCACTTGGGAGAGGGTTTCTCTCTATCTCTAGAACCGTGTTCATGCAACGTACAGCAGCACCCCCCCCCACCCCATCCTCAGGTTTACATTCCAAGACCCCAGTGGACGCCTGAAACCTCAGAGGGTAGCGGGCCTGAGGTGGAGGCTGGTCGTCCCCATGCAGCGGTGCCTGAGATCAAGTCTAATGGACACCCCAGGCGCGGTGAGAGGTGGACAAGAGCTCCTGGGAGCAATCATAACAAGAGACTGTGCCAGTTATGTGGACGTTTTCTCACTCTCTGAAATATCGTGCATAATACTCGGGGGCCACCAGGGGCAACTGGACCGGTGAGAAATGAATCGTGGGTAAGTGGGGAGGGTGACGGGATGAGCCAGGGCCCACGGCTCCCAGCCCCCACTTCCACAGGGACAGCTCCTAGGCGCGCTGCCTGCTGGGAGGAGGCCGGTGTGAGCATCCAGGCTCTCCCTGTGCAGGACAGAGGCCTGTCCTGCTCTTTTCCAAAGAGCTAAACCACTAAGGACTGGAGAGAACCACGGCAGATCCTCCTCGGCCTCAGGCCCAGCTCTTTGGCTGTAACCAAGTAATAAGCCCGCCTCTTATCTTGGGGAGGCCTCACCCCCATCTCCACTTGCTCTTTGTGTACTCATTCCCAGGACACTGACACCCCTGGGCTTGCTTGGGGTGGAGGGCAGCAGCTGACGGGGCTGCTCCCCGCTACACACACACTGGGAGCCTCTGGGTGGACGGGCTAGTGTTTGCCCACGCACCCCTGGCCCAAGCAGGTGATGGGGGAACAAAACTTGGCCCCTCCGAGGGGAAGGCCTGGCTAGCTGGGGAGGGCTCGAGGGACTGTGAATAAATAAGTCTCTAGCGGTTTGCAGTAAACAGAAACCATTTGATTGTTTCAAAATGGCTCCGTCCGCCGAGTCTTCTCAGTACCCCCATCTGCACCCTTCAATTCAGGGCCTTGTCGCTATTTGCCGGAATGGTGGCCAGTGCTTCCTACAGATCCCCATCTGGGTGTCCTCTCTCCCTCCATCTGATGCGCAATTGCACAGCACACCCAGATCTTGGTTAATAAATACCATCCTTCACCAGAAGGACTCAAGTGTCTCAGAGAAATGGTCACAGCAGAGCAGGAACAGGGAAACACAGACAAGCCTGGAATCTCTTGGGTGCCAGGAAGCAAGAAATGGTTCAAAGAAAGATAAGAAATAACCTGAGGGCTCCCATGCCCCATGTGGGGCCGCTTAGCGTCCAAATCAATCGTAATAACCGTGGATCACAGTCATAAATGAGAAAGGGCGGGTGGGAGGGAGGAGCTGCCTTACAATAAAACACCAGCTAATAAGCGTCCCAGGCTGACAGTTGGAAGGTCATAGCTTGCAGCCACAACGGAAACATGATTTAAACCGGAATCATCACCCGCTAAAAATCTGGAGGAGAACCAGCTATTGGCATGGCTCAAAGCACCCCCACTCATAGGGGAAAGAGGGCACTGAGAAGGCAAAAAGGAGGACCAGCACGGTCCCCTGGAAACCCCAAAACCAAATGACCCAGAAGAAGATGATGAGCCTACAAAATCCAAGGAGGGAGGCCAGGGAGGTCCAGCAGGATGGGGCAGCTGCAAGTGACAGAACACCCAACAACCTGCAGAGGGCAGCAAACCCCAGCTCCCTGGGCCGGAGCCCACCCACTGTCTATTTTAGTAAATAAAGTTTTATTGGCACACGGGCCCCAGGCATGCATTTATGTATCGCCTGTGGCTGCTTTTAGATGGAATGGCAGAATTGGGTAGTTGCAACAGTAGCGGCCCATGAAGCCTAATGTCTCTCCGATCTGGCCCTCTGCAGAAAAAGCTTGCCTGCAACTCCTTAAACAACAATGTTGGGTCATTTCCCAAAACAGGCATCTAGAAAAAGGAGGCTCCAGAATCTTACAGAGGTGTTTTCAAGAACTCAGCCTCCTCTCCTTCCTCATAATATTCTTGAACTGTTGGCCTCATGGTCGCAAATTAGCTGCGAAAGCTCCAGGCTTGACTTCCTCCAACAACCACATTCAGGCAGCAACCGGTCACACCTTCTCTCATCTCTTTCTTATTGAGGATCAGGATTCTTCCAGGGCTATCCACCAGAACCCCCTACCTGGACTCTCATTGTCAAGACCAAGGGCAGCAAGCATTTTCCACTGTATACTTTTGGCTGTGTGTGTGTGTGTGTGTGTGTGTGTTACAACCTTTCAAAAATGTAAAAACCCTCTGAGCTCAGCATAGTTAGCCATCTCCTGGTCTAGACCAATCTCCAGCGAAGGGAGAGTAGGTTTGCTCTGCTTGGTTTAGACCACTCACTAGACAGGTGTTCCAGAAACATTCCAGCTCCACTTCCAGCTGCCCCAGAGAGAAGGCTGGTTGCTGGTTCTCCCCTATCTGAGCTTGGAGGGCAGTCCCCACTGCACCTCAGGGGGAGCTGCCCCTCCTCCCCCCACCAGCCCTAGCCAGCAGAGGGGCCCGCATCCTACGCCTTCTTCCAGACTCTGTTAACAAGCGGGCTGACAGCGCCATCTTGTGCCTGAAAACGGGTGGGGCAGACCTGCAGGAGGATTGACCCCCCCGGTGAGATTAGCAGCTCCATCAGCATCATCTTCACCATCTCATCCTGACCACTGAGGGGTTTTATAGTTTCCAAAGAGGTTTTTCTTATTTCGTTTCTTTTTTCTGTTGAAGTAACATTGCATTATGTCATTATCTAAGTTCCAGGTGTTGACAGTTGAGAATCAACTTGTGTCTCTACTACTTTAAGTTCACCACGAAGGTCCAATGATCATTCCAGCAAATCTGCTCCAAACATTTTGCTGAGAAACCTATAACACTCGTTGGCTTTTATCAAAATGGTATCATTCATAACTTCTGTGTCATCTCTTTGTCTTTTCCAGTAGATCTTTTAACTAATGTCTATTTTTCCATGAAAGAATGGCTGCTGGTGCCTGAGATGTACTCAAATTTGGTTGTAGTTTGTTTGCAAGTTAAACTTATGATACAGTTAAACACTTGGAGTCATTTAAATGAATGGCAGGACTTGTGAAAAGGCAGGTGGAGGGCTGGGTGTGTTCTAGAAGCAGGTGCAGAACCTCTCCCAAGGTCTAAACTATGCCAGCAAACACCTGTCAGTCATGAGCCCCCTCAGTGTTCCCAGCACCCCTACTTGGGTAGGGTGGCACTTTGAGGATCTCACATGTGTGATGAACCCATGTAGTGAGGTCAGTCCCAACCGCCCGAGGCAGTCATCCCTGAGAGACAAGCTCCAACAAATGAGTCAGCTGCTCATGGCCAGGGTGTCATGGTGAGGTACAGCAGGGCCCTGTTTAGGGAGGTGACCAGGGCACACCTCACTGTGGAGGGTCCTCTCTGTACGACCTGAAGCACGAGAAAGAGATGGTCCACTTCTCTGCCACAGAAGCCTGCTCCTGAGAGAGTGGCATGTGCAAAGGTCCTGGGGAGTGGGAGAGTTTGGAGCATTCAAGGACAAGGGGGGATGGATGTGTGTAGCTGCAGTGCAGGCGGGGGCCAGGAGAGCATGAGAAGAGGAGGTAGCAGAAGCCCCACAAGCCCGGTCAGAGCACACGCATTCCCCCGGAAGCACTGTGAAGCCACAGAAGGCTTCTCAGCAGGTGATGCGACTCCGTTTGTCTTTAGACAACAGCGTTACAGTCGGTGTGGGGTGTCAGGGTCTCTCGTGTTATTAATGCGGCTCAGACACCACGCTGGAATTGCCCTTTTTAAGCATGACACACTGCACTCACCTGCTCCCCGCCACCTCCACCTCCGGCATCCCCTGCGGTTGATTTTAAGGGGGCTAACATCCTGGCCATTCCCCCATCAGACCCCACGGAAGTGCCCACCCTGCCCAGGTTAGGCTGTGGATGCTCCTCACAGGGGAACACTCCCAAACCCCCCGTTTCTCGACAGCCTCTTGACAGGGACAGGGACACCGTGGAGGGGGAGAGAGTAGAACTGGAGGAGGAGGGACAACTTGTCAAAGCAACTCATGCTCAGCTTCGCTTGAGACTCAGACTCCTCCCAGCCCCCTCCTGGGGTGGCCACAGCCCCCTCTGACGCTCTCTATAGGGTCCACGCTGTTGTGGGCCATCAGGCCGCCCCCCTTACTCTGACCTGAAAGCGCAGGTGAGGCGCACTTGGAAGGAAAGGCGCCCGCGCCCCTGCTGGTCATGCGCTCCACAGCCACCTCCCTCCAGGTGGAAGATCTTACTGAATTGACATTCTTTTCTTTTTTGTAAGATTTATTTATTTATGCACACAAGAACTGGGGTACAGGCCAGAGGTGTGGGGGGGTGAGAGGATTTACCGGGAATCAAACTCGTGCTGCAGAGGCTGCGGACAGCTTCATAGGCTGTGTCTTAACCCCTTGCGCCACAAGGGAGGCCCTGGATCTGCCCTTTATTTTTAAAGATTTTTATTTATTTATTTATTTGTTTGTTTATTTATATAAGAACTGGGGTACAGGTACTGGGGTACAGGTCAGAGGCGCGGGAGGGTGAGAGAATTCACCAGAGACAGAGTGGGGAGCAGAACAGGCAGACGGACCGAAGACACTGCTGAGGGGAGCAGCGGGCGAGGCAGGAGAGGTCTGCGGCACCATGTGGGAATCAACCTGGCAGGCCAGGAATTGAACCCACGCTGCAGAGGCTGCGGACAGCTTTACAGCATGGCACTCAACCCGCTGCACCACCGGGGAGGCCCCCCGAATTGGCTTTCTTTTTAAGATGATGAGGCTATTTGTAAAGAGCAGGAGAGGGCACTGAGCAGGTTTTCTAGGATCCCATGCAGACCGGGTAAAGGAGGAGTCAGAGTCCTCAGTGGTTTTGCAGGTCTTTTATTGGGGTTCACCAGGCATATGGCAGGCAGGGGTACTGGGGGGCCGGGAGGCTGGCAGGCCTCCCAGCCCCCAGCAGGTCTTCACTCTGGGCTCTCCAGCCTTCTCTCAGCTTCTGCTTCTCTTCTCTCTCGGCTTCTCTTTTGGCTTCTCGGCTTCTGCTGCTGCTGGTGTCCCCGTGACGCCGCCCTTAAAAGTCCAGTCTCTCAACCCAGGTGTACCCACTTCAAGTACCCGCCATCAGGCGTGCATTCAGGACCACAGGGTTCCCTCATCTATCCTAATGGCGGGAGGGCAGAAAAGCCTGATACCTTTTACCTACCCCACACTATTGCTATCAGTTATTGCTTTGCGAGAAAATGCAGAATTCCAGGCATTCCCCTAATGGTACGTATTTGGTTCACTAATAATATGTGTACCCTGTTTTTAAAAAAAAATGACATGGCTAAGAGAGAGAAAAAGGCCTTGGATTTAACGGGCGTCACCGTCCACCTGCTGCAACTTACTAGCGCTGTGAGCATGGCCAAGAGGCGACCTCCATTCATGCCCAGCCACTGAGGCCCTCCGGCCGGTCTGCTCCGTGCAGAACAGGGGTTCACGTCAACCCAAATGGAATCTGTGGGGAAACCAGCTCAGGCGGTCATCGATGCAGGGAGCTTGTCACTGTATGCAAGACTCAGTATCCAAGATGCTTGCTGTGGAGTCGTTTATAATGGGGGGCGGCAGTGGGGGAGAGAAAGGAAAACCACCGCGATGTCTCTAAATGTCAGATGTTGTTCAGGAGTCTAGACTTGAGGTCCCTGGACTCCTGCAGAGAAGCTTCTGGAAGGGACTTGGCATCACCTGGGCCTCACTCCAATGCAGCCGAAGCTAGACTTCAGGGGGGCAGGGTAGGAATTCTAACAAGCACCACAGAAGGTTCTTATTCATACTGAAGTGAGAGTCAATGCAGGGGACCCTAAAATAGTTAAGCAGCATTCTGGTGTATTAAGAGGGAAAAAACAAATTACCTGAAAGTTCGGTATAAAACAATCCCGCCCCTGCACGTGTACACACGTGTAAAAAATTAACAGCAATTACTTCTAGGTGGGTTTCTCAGCATCAACACTATCAACGTTTGGGGCTGCATGACCCAGCACTGTGGGACGATCAGCAGGGGCACCCTCCAGCCACCACACCCCAGTGTGTCTCCACACCTGTCTTGAGTGTCCTGGGGGCCGAGAGAGCTCAGAGCAGAGGACCCTGGCGCATGTTGACGCCCTACTTTGCATTTAGTCTCTCCTGTTTTTTAGGGTTTTTTCCTAAAGTATTTTAGTCATGTAAAACAATCGTGTGCTTCTTAATGTCCCATGGCCGAGGCTTTCAAAAAAGAGACACTCAAGTGAAAAAGATATTCGCATTAGCATTTATAGTAAGTAAACTGATTTTATTATGATTTTAAAATAATAGTGGGAAACACACCCCTTCACAAACAACAACCTCCCTTCCGAGGCTTTAAAATATTTCTGATGCTTGGGGTAGGCACCCTGATTCTCCGTGCCTGTCCCCCAGAAGCCACTCTAGATATAGGGCGTGCTTTACAAACAGGGCGGATCACTGCAACGTCACCTAAAAAACAAAGTTACAAATGTTCTAAAACCGACAGCAGGAATCTAAGGGAATGATGGTCCGTTCACTCGACAGCCTGTAGTGCACAGTATTCCAGTGGATTAGCAGAGTTTGTAAGGAGCGGGGGGGGGGGGGCGGGGGGGGGGGCTTACACGTATTGATGTCCTGTCGTCGCTGGCCAGGGTCTTGGCAGCCACAGAAAGAACCTGTGCGGCTAAAAGCAGCACACCCGGCGCGAGGGAGCGACCGTGGGTTAACAACAGCAGGCTGGGCCAACGCGCTCTCTCCACTCTTCTGAAAGGTCCAATTTGTCTATAAGTCTGTCTACATTTATGGTGAGAGCAGGAATGGTAATTCATTTTTAGAAAACTTAAAAAAAAATCACAACCCAAAAGGTGCCCAAATAGCAGGAAAGAAATGTCGTTATATTGATCTGTACACACACTTGCATCTCCAGAAAATAAAAATAACTTTGCTCCAGAAATTAAACAGAGTCACCAAGTATAGGATAAACAAAATGGGATCAGATCTGCATGGATCAGAGGCAGGACGGGTCAGCTCAAGGGGGCTGCTGCAGGAATGGTCAGGGGGCTGCTGCAGGAATGGTCAGGGGGCTGCTGCAGGAATGGTCAGGGGGCTGCTGTGCGCAGCCTGGAACGTGGGACAGAAAACGGTTTCCGTGAAAAACACTCTGGGCCAGTTTTTTTTCCAGCCTGGGATCAGATTCTTTCCTCTGGGCTGGATGAGAATGAACGAGCCCAGGACAGACTTCAGCCCCCATCGACCTGGCCAGACCGTGTTTACCTTCATCCGGCGCGATGGGCAACAATGACCACGGACAAAGGGCCCTCACCAGCGTGCAGGCCGGTGTTTACCCAGCCTGGCTGTGCCCAGGTGGCACCAAAGGATCCTCACGCTCTCCCTCCGTGTCTTTCATGTGGAGCCAGGCTAGATCTTACAATAGACCTCAAAGAGGGAGGCAGCTGCATGCATTCGGTAGAAAATAGAGAAAGGCATGGCCAGGTTGACCACGATTATCCAGGGTTCAAAGCCAAAGACAATCTCCTCCAACCCGTTGTCATACTCGGGGCGGCAGCCGAAGGCAGGAGGTATCCAAAGCTGCAAGAGAACAGAAGACCGTTGTGGGGGGAGCTGTTAGAACCCTGCAAGCCGCCCCACACACCCCGGCGCTGCCTGGACTCGGGGAGACTGAGTCACGCCTGCGACAGTGGCACAGCCCACTCAGCCTCCCCTCCTCTCTGCCTCTGCCTCCTCCTGCCTGAACGCTCTCAAACCCAGCCGGTTCTGTCCATCTCTGCAGCCCCCACCCAAACAGCTGCAAAGCACCCCCTCCAGAGGGAGCCTTCACCCCCCCCACAGCCCCAAGGTTGTGGAGGGATCTTTACAAACCCTTCATCTGACCTGTCATGTTGCTGGTCCCTCACCAGTGCCTCCTCCTGCCCTGCGCTCCAGTGCCCCCAGCCCCCATGTGCCCACCACTCCCCAGGCTTCAGGGCTGCCCTCCTGTTGCTGCCTCTCAGGGACTCCCTGCCTTCCTTCTGCTGTCAAGCGCTCCTGTTCACCAAGTCCTGAGACATGACCTCTTCCAGGAAGCCCTCCTTGATCTAACCAGTGTGGGCAGGATCTCCCTGCACGTTCCCACAGCCCCAGCCTCGCCCCAGTGGAGGTCGCCCTGCACCACAGCCGCCTCTGCAGACCAACATTGGGCTTGCAGGCCAGGCCTGGGTCTGGGCGGGCGAGTTCTAGGTCTTCTCTTGCTCCCTTCAGCTTAGAGCTACAACCCAGGCCCCGCTCCGGGAGAGGAGCACGCGCCCGGGAGGCTGACGTGCCCTGCGCCGGCCCCATAAGGAGCATCACCCCCAGGCCGGGGCTGGAGCCAGAGCCCGAGACTTCCCGCCCCGCACGTGCATGACGAGGGACATCAGCCACAGACAACGGCTGCCTGGCCCTCGGACACCAGGCACAGCCGCGGCCGGTGCCACGGAGCCCCCAGGAGAGAGGAGGGCGGCCGGGGGGCTGGGCTCTGCAGGTGCCGGGCTGGCCACAGCTGCGCAGCCGTGAGAGGTGCAGCACACTGGCGCGGCACGCTCAGCAAGGGGAGGCTGGCCGCTCTTCTTTCCCGCACCTGAGAGTAAAAGTCAGAACCCGAGAGCCAGATCCCAACTCCCCCTCCAGGCGTGAGGGCCTCCGCGGCTTCCCGCCCCGTCAGGAGGAAGTCCTGGCTTGTGGCTTCTCAGGCCCGTGCTCAGCCCCCCCCCCACACTTTGTCTCCCCTTGTCTCCCCTTGTCTCCTGAGTTCTAGCCACGTGGGCGCCCTTCCTGCTCCTGCAGCGCAGCCAGCCAGCCGGTGCCACGGACCAGCACAGCAGTAGAAGGTCACTGCAGGGGGAGGTGCAGCAAGCTGGCCTGCTCCGCACCCTGCCTCCCCAGGCTGGCCGCTCTGCCCATCGCCCACCCCCACTGGCCCTTCCCCCGCCACACACAGAAAGCCCTTTTTGACCCCAGTGCTGCCCCCCAGTGCTCCCAGGCACCCTACCTTCCCCCTCACATGCCCACCACCCTTCCTCATTTTGGGGTAAATGAAGGATCAGGCTTTTTTGCGCCTCCCGCCGCTGGCGTGGGTGACCAGGTGAGGAGCGTGGGCGAGGGGCACACACGCCTGTGATCGTGGACACCTGGGCCCAGAGCGCGCGGGGTGCACATGTGCAAGTGCTCACACCTGTGCCCAGGTCGCCTGCCTGCCTCCCAGCCCCACTGCCTGCCGCCTTGCATGCCAGGCTATCCGCCTGGCGTGCCTGTGCCCTGAGGGCATCAAAGACCTGCAAAAATCCACTGAGGGCTCCGGACTCTCCGTCTGCCCAAGCCGACAGCAAGCCCACCCTGCGCGCATCCACCACTCCCGTCCACTCCACGGCCGGAGGCTTCCCCTGCGGACAAGCACACCGGCCGCCAGCATCAGCCTCTGTCCCAGGCTGGTCCTGCAAACAGACCCTGCTCCCCGGAGGCCTGTGCCCGACGTGGGGTCAGTGCAGCCTCCCTAGGCTGCCCCGGAGCTGGCTCCCGGCATCCTGAGTCTCCCACTCCGCAAGGTCCATCTTCTGGCTGCCTTCAGCGGGAGCTCCTGAAACCACCGAGATGAAAGAAGAGGCCCCTGGACCAAACTCTTCTGGACCCTTCTTCCTTCAAATTTCTCCCGAGCTGACCTGGCAGGGGACAGAGGTCCCGGTGACCCAAAGCTACCAGACTTAGTGGCAGAGATGTGGCCTCCCCATTTGGGGGCCTTAGGGTGAAATCAAAAGTGGCAGCTCCTGGGTGGGCTGCACCCACAGAAATATGGGGCTGGAGCTCCAGCCAATGGACTGATGGGGAAAGGCAGGGAGGTGAGGCTGTTCTCAAGGCTGCAGTGCAGACCTGGCCGGGGCACCCCCAGCCCCAGTCTCTGCAAAGGCCTGCGTGGAGTCTTCTTACCAAGCCGCTTCTTTCTGTGTCTGGAAACAAATCCCACCAACACACAAATCCCCCCACCCCCACCGACACTGCCCAGGTGCACACGCCCATCATTTCCTACCTGAGGGCTGCAGGGGCCTCTGTTCTGGTCTCCCCGCCTCTGGCCTGTCCTCCCTCCAGGCTCCCCACCGCTGCTAAGGGATCGCTCCCACACACCCGCCTTCGAGGGTCCACAACTGTACCCAACACAAGGACCAGACTCGGCCAAGTCTGACTCCAGCTAGATCCAGCTAGCCAGACCCTCAACCCTCTTTCCACACTGCTGCTCTGCTTGATATGCCTGGGATTCACGCTGCACTACGTGGTGCTCCCCAGCTGCACTGTGGGGCCTTTGCATGTTGTGTGCCTCTGCCCCAAACCCTTTTTCTTGGCTTGACCACTAAGTGAGCTTCCAGCCATTCCTTGATGCTGGGAGCAGACAATATTGGATAACTGACTGCGCCTTTTTCTCCCTTGATACCTTCCATCCCAGAGGCTCAAAAGCCAAACGCCCACTTTCCCAGCCTCCCTTGCAGCTTGGGTGGCCATGTGAGAGACATTACCAGCCCTCTCCCCACCCCTCCTCCACTTTTTCCTGTCTGAACCCAGATGTGATGCCTGGCGCTACTGCAGCCATCTTCTGACCATGAGGAGACACGCTCCACACCAAGCAGGGTCAAGAGGAAAGTTGAAGAGCACCTGGACCCTTGATAATCAGATTCAGCTGCCAGACCAGCCCAAGCAGCCAACCTCTAGAATTCTTGCAAGATAATTAAATGCCTTTAAGATGGAAGACACTGCAGGTCAAACTTTCTATTATCTGCAACCAAAAAATACTCTGAATTGAGATGTGGCCTCACCCCATGCACCCCCTACCCATTAGAGTCCTGGACCCAGGCTCCCTCTACCTGGCTCACATACCCTGTCCCAGCACTTGTCATGCTCCTCGTATTATGATTTTCCTTTGTCCCTCTGCCCTGCGCACTGTGACCATTTTGAAGAGGGAGCTAGAAATTGTGGCCTTTCATCTTTAGCTCCCAGCGCCCCACCGCCCCCGCCCCGGTGCACAGCAGGAAACTGGGTCTTAGCACATAAGCCTACGCTCCATCCTCATTTTTAACCTTACGCTGAAACTACTTTGGCTACAAGCTGCCTCCACTCCTAACTGGAAAGAAGGCAGGGAAAACCGATGCACTGATTATTTTTTAAAAAATAAATAACACGATGCCGTTTACCGAGATATTGCAGAGGAACAAAAAGGCTGCAATATTCCTCAAGACTGTTCTCTTGGCGTTGCCCCGGAGGAACCGGGGGTGGCAGGCTGGGCCCGGGGCCCCTTCCCTGGCCCTCTCCTCCTCTTCTTCGCCGCCACCTTCCCTCAGACACAGATTCCCACGGCCCGCGAGCGGCACCCGGCTGTCCCAGGGGACCGTGTCCTGGGCCACTGCCCCGCCCTTGGGGCCGGAGGGCGCGGAGGATGACGCGCCATTGCAGACTGTGACCACCCGCAGGGTCCTGATGTCCTGGCAAAGCTTCTCGGGCTCCCGGTGCGTGGACTCGATGATGAAGACGTTCTGGATGTATTTCTCGACAATCACCAGGATGGAGTAGGGCAGGTTGTACCAGGTGTACGGGGGGCAGGCCTCGGCGCAGAAGATGGCCAGGAGGGAGCCCCAGGAGATGAGCCAGGAGCCGGAGGCGGTGCCCACCAGGAGCTCGGTGTCCAGTTTGCGGGCCGGGTTTTTGGACTCGTCGAGGGATTTCTCGTCTATCCTGTAAATGCAGATTCCCAGCAGCCCCGCGGCCCCCATGAGCGCCAGCAAGGCGATGGCGTACAGGTAGAACATGGTGAGCGCCGACTCGCTCCTGGTCTTGGAGCGGCCGATCTGAACCAGATACACCACCACCACCCCGATGGTGGCGGCCAGCACGGTCAGGCCCAGCGCCGAGCCCACCACAACCCCGTGGAACTTGAGCTGCATCTTGGGGGGCTGGTGGCTGTCCACCTTGCGCCCGATGTTCTTCCACAGGACGTAGAGCATGGTGGAGGCGAGGATCTGGTACTCTATGTTGAAGGGGTAGAGGTAGTAGATCCCGTGGGAGATGGCGGAGCAGAGCGTCGGGGGGGTGCAGTTGCACGGAGGCGTGTGGTCATCCAGAACTAGGGGAGACAGCAGAGCACGGGGGCGTTAGGAGGTTGGGAGCGGCAAGCCCAGGGACGTAGTCTCTCTCTGGAGTCAGCTTGGGTTTACCTGCTGGATCAAAAGCTTTAAAGCGCGGCTGCTCGCGCTTGTCGTCACGACTGCTGGCTAAATGGACAGCCATGAAGGTGTGAAGGGAGAACCGGCCACGCGGACCAGGTTTCACCCGCCGCGCTGCAGTCATTATAAATGCCAGGGCAGAAACTGACTTACCAGCCGTAAGGATGTTCACAGGCTATTGTTGAACAAAAGCAACCGGCCAGGGAGGAGAGAGTCTGAGTCCATTTTGCACGTTACAGACATAGAGCTGATGGGCAGATGGGAGCAGAAGAAACCCAGAGGAACACAAACTGAAATGTGCAAATAGCTGCTCTGGGGGAAAGGCATGGGACTCTCCTCTCCTTTTTCATGAAAAGAAACTTCCATCAGGTCTTTTTACTCCGGCTTTGCTGTGGCTACACAGGCGCCAGCACGTGGGGACACACGTGTTCGCTCATCGAGATTGTGTTTCCCTGACTCCCGAAATTTTCTGTGACTATGATTTACATGTATGATTTCCAAGTTAATTTTTTAAAAATAACTTTGTGAGGGGAAAAAAATCTTTCTGTTTGCAAAGGTTTTCTTCCTGAGAATATCTGTTGTGACGAGTGTGGGGGGATTCAGGCACCTCAGGCGGAACACGCCTCTGGGAGCCACTGGCGGTGACATAAAGCACCTTCCACAGCAAGGAGAGAAAACGCTCTAGATAAATAATGAACTATGGAGCAGAGCCTTAAAGATGACCTGCAATCCCTGTCTATTTTATAGAGGCATGTTTTTGTTTGTTTGTTTATTTATACAAGCACTGAGTACAGTCAGAAGCACGGGAGGGCGAGAGAATTCACCAGAGCCAGAGCGGGGAGCAGAGCAGGCAGAAGGACCGAAGTACACTGCTGAGGGGAGCAGCGGGCAGCAGGGGAGGTCCGCACGCCATGTGGGACCCTCCTCCAGTGGCCGGGGAGCATCTGGGGATCGAACCGGCGCCGCAGAGGCCGCCCAGCGCTCAACCGCTGCGCCACTGGGGAGGCCCATCCCTGTCTATTTTAAAGGGCAAGTCAAAAGGTAATCAAAGTATTAGGTAAAATTGCATGTATGTTTGTGTATGTGCACACAAGAGTGGGCGAGCAAGCGAGCGAGCGAGCAAGAGAGAGAGAGATAGAGAGAGAAGGGGAAGAGGAGGGAGGGAGGCAGGGAGATACCACCTCAGTGTGCAAACATTTAGAAATTAAACAGATTTTAGTACATCCATGCAATAGACTATCAGCTGTATGCTTTGATGATGTAAAAAATGTTACAATAACAATGGTCCACGTTGCTGCCTCGAGGCATTGAGGCAAGACAAAAAAGAACCTTGTGACGTGCCTAGAACAGTGTCAGGCACTCAGCAAAACAATCTTCTAAGACCTCTTTGATATTGTTGTCATTGCTGTGACTTTTTTTTTTTTAAAGAATTATTATTTATACAAGAGCTGGGGTACAGGCCAGAGGTGCAGTGGTGAGAGGATTCACCAGAGACAGAGCGGGGAACAGAACAGGCAGACTGAAGAAATACACTGCTGAGGGGAGCAGCGGGTGAGTCAGGAGAGGTCTGCTGTGCCATGTGGGAATCTCCCTGGCCAGCCGGGAATCGAACCAGTGCTGCAGAGGCTGCGGACAGCTTCACAGAACTGTGCTTGACCCGCTGCGCCACCAGGGAGGCCCTGCTGTGACTGTTGTTGAGGCTAATGAGGAAATGAAAGCCCCCAAAGGAAAGGACCTTCCCAAGGGTGGGCTGCTAGCTGGGTGGAGACGGTGGAGAAATACAGCAGGTGTTTTTCATTTTGTCATCCCCACCCCCGTAGTGGGGAAAATCGCTCTCTGTGACTGGCCGGGGGTCTAGAGCTAACAGAGATGCTTGTCCACTAAAATGGGGGTGAGGGGGACTCATGGCTCAGCTCCCTTCGCTTTTCAAACGAGAAAAGGGAGGCCCAGGGTGTGGACTGGCCGCCCGAGGTCACACGGCTTCTATGAGGGAGGAGCAAGCCCCGAGCCTGGGGATCCCGGCCCAGAAATGTGCACTCGCCTCTGCCTCGCATGCCTCTCAGCCCAGTGCTCTGGCATGGAATGAGAGATCACAAGCACTGAAGGATTTTGGAAGAAAATAGAAATATCAATACTATAGGATCTCAAATAGCGACCCAGGGGAACAAACATGGCCAATATTTTAAGCCTAGTAGAGTTCAATAAAAGTCCCAAATGAACTAAAACCATGAATCACAACCCATCATTAGATTTCTATGAATTTTTTAAAGCTATGCTTTTATAGAAAGAACCAGGAATAGAGGCTTCCTCAAAAGCACCCGCAGAAGCAGCTGCCAATCTTCCACAGGGGTAAACAAAGGCCTCATTCCCAGCCAAAGCGGCCATGAGCCATGGCGATTGGACAACAGCCCTTGGGCGGGTCCCGTCCGGACTCACTGGGGAACCCTCCATCATGCTCCGCACGCCCTGCTGAGACGGCCAGACAAGAGGCGTGGAGGCTGCAGAGGTTCGACAACAGAGGACTGTCCACCGGGGTGGGGTTGGGGCCCCCGCAGTTCCTGGGGCCTGCCCCTCGACCATTCCGAACACGCCGGTCTCTGCAGGTGCAAGCTGCTGCGACTCCCAGCAGACGGCCCCGCACTCACCGATGGTTATGTTCCCAAAGCCCAGCGTGATGAGCCGCTCCTTGTGTTCGTTGAGCTGGTGCTTCGACTCGTTCAGGACACTATTGGCCCACAGAAGCAGGTTGGTGAAGACCGAGTGGATCACCCCAAACCTGGAACACATAAGGGCTGGGTCCTGGAGCAGTCCTGGAAGCGCTAAGCCCTATGGGGTGCTAGACACAGCGGGCATGTGCACACGCACCACACACGGGCACACACACACGCATACACACTCTGTCCGCCTGCTGAGCCGTGACTCTGGCTCTGAGTGGGTGCCCTGTTGGGCTGGGAGGGGCATTTCCACAGGACCATCCAAAACCACGATCTTGGCATTCTGCCTGAACCTGGAACCTGCCAGTACTCGACTCTTTGTCTACAGGACTAAAAGAAACTGGGTCTTGGGAGCAGGCACACCGAAATGGAAATTGACTGAAAGCAGGTAACCCACCTGCCCCAAATCATTTCTTCCAGGAGGGAAGAGGAGAGAAGAGTGAGGGACAGGTGAAATCTGGAGAGTTGGGTGCACCCTATGGTGGGCTGGCCAACCCACTGGTCACATCCACCCCCTCCGCATTGTCACTGACTTCTAAAGCCACCGAAGCAAGCCAGAGAATTGCTGTCTGGCTTCCCTTCCAACCAGGCACGGGGTGGGGGAGTGGGTGGGTGGGTGGGGGAGGGAGAGTCTGCTGGCACCACGGAAAAGGTTTTGTTTTCTTGACGAAAGCGATGAGAATGAAAAGCGCCTATTCACTGTCCCCTGCCCTTCCTTCCAGACTTGGATACACAGATGGAGGCTGGAGTTGTGGCAGCTCCCTTACGACCACGCGTCAACCAGCCCGGAATGAAACCCCGACCCACTGAACGGCAGAGTGGAAACATAGAAAGAGCTGCTTTGCGATGACATTGCTACACTCTGGAGTCCCTCAGAGGGTCAGGAACTAATCCAGGGTCACACAGAGTGAGGAGCCACATTAGGTTTTGAAAACTCAGCAAGCAGCCGGCTCTCCTAGGCTGACGCGAGGCCTGCCTTTGCTTCAGGCCACCTGCCTCCTGCGGGAGACTGAGGGGGAGAAGTGGACGGTGGATACTGGACCGGGGGAGCAGAGGGACCTGTGAGGAACGTGGGTCACCGACTGCTTCCAAACCTCCAGTCTTCCCAGGCCTGCAGGTTTAGGATGGGTCACACTGGTGGCTTCAGCTCACTTGACCATGTGCCTTACACGTCAAAGGTAAAGCAAATTCTGGTGACCTGGGAGACGGTTCCTAAGAACTTCCCAGAGGCAGCGTGCCGGCCCCTCCCCCTTAACCAATCAAGAATGTGCTTGCCCACGATCTGCCCACAGGAGACAGGGCACAACTGAGTCCTCAGCCCCGCCCCTGTCCCTCCTCTACAGCTTAACCCCAGCTGACCCCCCAGGGCTCCCACGGGCAGCCACAGGCAAGGTCTCTCCTGTCTGACCCTGGCTTCCTCCGGCAGCTGCATAACGCCCGGGCACAGCTGGAGAAGGAACCAGACTCCAGGGGCAGGTGTTTGCCCATCTGCTCGCCCGGCTGCCGTCGGTCTGTGGCCAGCCTCCCTGCAGCATCTGGGCGGCATTGTACAGCGCCTTTGACAAAGGCGGACAATGCTGTTTGCTTCATTCTGGCCGCTTTTCTTTCCCCCATAATGCACACAGCTCCCCTTTCTCCTCTGTCCTGGCCCTTGGGGCCTTGTCCAATCCCCGGCCCCTTGAACCTGAGGAGCTGGTGCCGACGCCCACTGCAGCTGCGGACTCCTCGGCCAGAGCTGCCTGCATGCTGGCAGCCACCTGTTGGCTGGGCCTGGAAATTATCCTACGAAAGCAGGGCCAACGTGGTTTCCTCACGCCAGGGGCCTTTCTCATGCTCGGATCCCGAAGCCCCAGACCGCAATAAAGAGCAGGCTCCCGTGTGCCATTTCTGACCTCAATACATGTTTGCAGCGCTGCTTGCGAAACAATTGTTCCTCTAAGCCTCACCCTTGGGAAAAGAAAAGAAATCAAACCACTAAGGGGAATTCTCAGATCAGAAGAAAAGCCCTGTGTGTACGAAGAGCAGGGGCTAGTGGAATATTGGCTCAAAGGACTAGCAGAAAACAGCAGGACGGGGATGCAAGTTCCCAAGCCTTCGGGACCTGGCAGGAAATAGCAGTGAGTGAAGTGAGTAAAGTCAGGTGAAGGCAACATTAGGGAGTGGTGGGGACTGTAGCAAACTGAAGGGTTAGGGCCCATCTGGAGCAAACAACTGCAATTCACTGCTAGCCCCTTGTTGCCCCAGACATTTGGACATGACCACGTCTTCCAGTTTTTCTAGAGAAATCTAAATCTGAAACCTAGAGGTAATAAGCCATTTAAAAATGTTAAGCACTTCGACCTACAGACAAAAGAAGAGAAAACACTAAACCTCTGGTTCACCCACACCCTGACACTTTAGGAAAGAGGCTCAGAGACAGGGGAAGAGGCGCCAGAGATCTCTCGCTCTCTGCACACACTCAGAGGGAGGCCGTGGAGGAGCAGCAGGGAGACGGCCACCCGCCAGGCAGGAAGGGAGGCCGCCGGGGAAACCAAACCAACCCCCCCCCCACCCCGGCACCTCGATCTTGGACTTGGAGCCCCAGAACCATGAAGAGATGACAGGTTTCTGTGGGTGAAGCCCCCGCCTCACCCCGGCAGCAGCCGACTAGTATGCCGGGGTGCCGGGTGGGTGAGCGTGGTGGCGGCACGTGCACGGTGGATAAACATCACGCTGTTGACGAAGACTGACGGGAGGACATGGTTACACAAAAAGAAAAGCAGGGCAAGAGCAACAGGACCACCTGCGCCGCAGGAAGGAAACTATATATTCAGGGGGAAAGGCTGCTGCTTGAAGCGGATGCTTTTTGCACAACAAGGCTCAAGGCTCATGAAAGTGGTTTCTGTTTCATTCATCTTCTGAAGTTGCTCCATCCAGGGGTGACCGATTAATCAATCTTGGAAATATCAGCGTCATTGTCAGTGCTGGCGGGACGCTCTCTGCCCCTGACTGGCGGCTCCCATGAAGAGGGATCTGTCTATAAAGCAAACACCGGCCCTGCCTTCCTCCTGCATGCAGGGGGATCTGCCCGCAGGGTAGTGACACCCGGCCCTGAGGCAATTCACCCCTCCTCCTGTAGCTTCTTTCTCTCCCGAGGGAGGGAGGGAGCTGGACAAGGCCAGCTGGACGGAGCACTGGTCAAGGGCGGACGCGAGCTCCGGAGAGTGCCGCGTTCCTACTCGGGAGCCCGCTACGCAGGCTGAGGTCCTGGCGGGCTGCGGTCCTGGAGGGGAGGTGTCTGAGGTGGCAGGTGGGAAGCACAAGCCCCATCACCGACTTCCAGGGGGCGCCCAGGGAGAGGCTGAAAGCGGGTCCACTGTCCCCACCAGGCTGGGGCTCAGAGTCGCCCGGTCACCCAGCTGCTGACCCAGGGGAGCAGATGTTTCGCCGTCTGCGCCCGCACCACCCTCAACGCGCCAGACCAGCGCCCGCGGCCAGTACCTTTCCAGGGTTTTGAACGACTGGATGACGTCCTTGGCGTGCCCCCACAGGAAGTACACCTGGTGGCGTGAGGGGGAGAGAGGCGCGTCAGTGGGAGACCCCAGGACCCCACACGCTGAGAAGCTGTCCAACTGCTGGGGATCCAGGGGGTGTCAGGACGTCCGTGACGTCCCCCCCCCCCCGCAAAAGGCAAGGGGCTGCTGTCGTCTCCGGTGGCAGCGCCGTTCCCTGTGGGGACAGAGCTTGCCGCCCGGGGCCCTGGCCAGGCTGTCACTAGCGGTCACGCAGGGTGGGCTGACCGGGTCGGAGGGGCAGGGGGTGGCCGGCAGCAGATCTGAGCACGAGCCCAGATTCCCCCAGCCTCATGCAGGTCCAGGAACCTCCCTGCTGTGTCCTCCGTCTGTGAGCGGGATGGGGGCACCACCTGCCTGCTGGCTGGGGCGGCACTGGCGTGAGCCCCCATCCTGAGACCAGCCCTGCAGGGGTCTGGGGTAACGTCCCCGGTGCCTCATTGTCCACACTGGCTGCACACGACACGCAGAAGCGTGTGATTATCTTTAAGTGAAAAACGCAGACTAGAGGGAGTCCCTTGTGGTCTCCCCGAGGCTCTCCATGTTGCCGCTGGAGCAAGACTCGTCACCCTGGGATGTGACTCCCTGGGCTAAATAGCCAGTTAGCTCTGTGTTGGGGCGCAGGCACCTCCATAATAAAGCACCACAGGCTGGAACAGGCGTTCATTCTGTTTCCGAGGTGACAGGTGCTAGATCACCGTGGCAACGGTTGTTTCCCAAGGCTTTCTTCTTGCCTTGGGGTGCGGATACCGCCTTCCCCAGGGCCTTGGCATGGTTGTCCCCCTGACAGAGTCTGCATCTGGCTCTCTTTCTACAAGGACACCCCTGGTATCACACTGGGCTGGAGTCCATCCGGACCACCCGGCTTGCCCAATCACCTCTGCAAGCACCTGCTCTTCCAACAACCACCTTCTGAGGCAGTGGGGATGGGGGTTCCAACAGCTACATTTGGGGGACACATTCAGTCCAGAACACTCTTATGCAAGGTGACCCCTTGAATTAGTCTCCCCAGAAGTTCTCAGCCTACTGTACCCCAGAGCCAAGCTGCCCCAACCTCATCGGCATCATCCTCAAGGAGCTTCTCTGTGGAGGTTTCTTTTTTTTTTTTTAAGTTCTTTTTAAGAGCAGTATTTCTTGAGGTAACACTGGCTAACAGCACTGTGTGACTCAGAGGCACAGGCGGGCGCCCCTTCGGGTGTGCACCCCACACCACGCCCTCCACCAAAGACCCTCCTCGTCCAACTGTGTCAGCCATTATTGGGGATTTCTGCTAAGGATGGAAGCTGCACTGGAGGTTTTCTGATTCTAAGCTACATATTTAGATTATATAGATGTAATTTAATATGTGTGTGTGTATATATATATATATATATATGTATATATATATATAGTGTGTGTGCGTGTGTTTGTATCTTTCATTTCTTAGCCACACCAAGTTAGCCAATGCTGAGAAAAATAATCTCATACATTTCAAAAAGATTTTCATCCACAAGTGAGCAAACAAAAATGTGTCTGTGGGCCTCCTTGGTGGCAAAAGGGGTTAAGACCCAACCTATAAAGCTGTCCGCAGCCACTGCAACACGAGTTTGATCCCCGGCCATGGAGCTACCTGCATGGCATGGCAGACCTCTCCTGACTTGTCCGCTGCTCCCCTTAGCAGTGTATTTCTGTCCATCTGCCTGTTCTGCTCCCCACTCTATCTCTGGTGAATCCTCTCATCCCCCACACCTCTGGCCTGTACCCCAGTTCTTGTATGCATAAATAAATCTAAAAAAAAAATGTGTCTGTGACATCAAGGAGTGACAGTAATGGCACAGGGTTACTTTTGGAAGTGATGAAAATGTCCTAAAATCAACCATTTTCACAGTGGCACCACCCTCTGAATATACTAACCACTGAACTGCATGCTTCGAATGGGCAAATTGCAAGGTCTGTGGGTTACATCTCACTCAAACTGCTGAATGAAAAAATCTCCCAGGGAACCAAAGTCCCCCAGGCCTTTCCGGCAGAGCCTGGCTTAGCAGAACTTCTGACTGACATTGTCACGAGTTTTGCCACATAGGATCCCTGTGCAGACGGCTGTGGGGGCACAGGTCCCACCCCAGGGGAGGCAACTAAACCACTGAACCCCAGAGATGGATTCAGACTGTCCCCCCAACAGATGTCTTGATGTTTCAGGTTTTCACACACCTGGGTACCCTCAGCAGGCACCCAGGCATGAGCATCAGCCTGGCTTACCTGCAACAGCGTATGCACTGCGTGAGTGACAGGGAAAACTCCTTCTGTGGCTGATAAACATTCAGAAAATCCAACGAAGTACCCAATTTTAAAACATCCCAGAATGATGGTGATGGCGGCAAACAACGTGATACTACCTAAATTGGGAGGCAGGGAAGAGGTGCAAATACAGAAGTGTTAATACTCACTTGAGGTCATTTCAAAACAAGTTATATTAAAACTTCCGGTCAAACGATTTTTGACAATGTGTCAAGAACATTCAATGAGGAAATAATAGTCTTTTCAACAAACAGTGCTGGGAAAACTGGATGTCCACATGCAGGAGAATGAAGCTGGACCCTGGCCTCATTCTACATGCAAAAATTACCTCAACATGAAGCAAAGACTTAACCATAAAACCTAGAACTATAAAACTCTTAAAAGAAAACATGGCAGATCTCTATGATGTTAGATTTGGTAATAATTTCTTAGCTATGACTCTAAAAGCCCAAGTAACAAAAGCAAAAATAGGTAAGTTGGGCCACATCGAAATGGGAAAAAAAAAAATTGTGCATCAGAGGGTACTATCAACCCACAGAAGGGGACAGAATATTCACAAATGATACATCTTCTAAGGCACTAGTATCCAGCATATAGAAAGAACTCTCACTAGGCAACAACAAAAAAACAATTTAAGAATTAGCAATGGCCTTGCATTGACATTGTTACAAAAAAGATACACAAGTGGCTAATTGGCAGATTAAAAGATGCTCAAGATCACTAGTCATTAGGGGAAAGTAAATCAAAAACATGGGGTGTCACCTGACATCCAGGAAGATGGTTATTATGAAAAATAAAATAAGGGAGAGGAGGGAGGGCAGGAAGAAGGAACAAATGTTGGTGAGGGTGTGGAGAAATCTGAATCCCGTGCACGACCAGAGGGAGTGGACAACGGTGTTGCCGCTATGGAAACCAGCATGGCAGCCCTTCAAAACATTACAAATACGATTTCCACAAATTCCAGCAATTCCATCCCCAGCATGAGTGAACGCAGAGACACAAGACACTTGTGCGCCCACGTTCATAACAGCATTATTCACAAGAGCCAAACGGTGGGAGCAGATCAAGTGTCCACCAGCACATGACCGGATAAACAGACTGTGGTCTGCACGATGGAACAGAATCCCACCCTAGGAGGAAGGACATCGTGACCAGGCTGACTCAGGAGGCACCCTGAAGGCATCACACTAAGCGAAACCCGTCACAAGACGACATGCCCCGCCCGACTGCACTCACATGAGGTCTGCGGAGTAGTCAGGTTCATAGAGACAGCCAGCAAAGTGATGGGGAGAAGGGGTACCGAGGAGCTGTTTGAGGGGGACGGAGCTTCTGAGGACAGGGCGCTGGAGATTGGCGCAGCAGAGTGCAGGTGTTCAACACGATTAAACTGTACCCTTAGAACGACCAAGGTGGCAAATGTCTTGTCAGGTGTATTTCACCACAATTCAAGATAAATAAACCTAGAGCACACATTTCTATGTAAACTCTACATACATAGAACATGTAAAACACATCCTGCAAGTGGCCAGAGGAGCTAGAACCGGAAGGCGGGTGCCGCGTCCTGTTAGCTGTACCAGGGTCCGACGAGGGATATGCTGTCCGTGCAGCCTGGCTGAATTGACCTCTAGAAGCTCCCCCCCACCAAAAAAAAAAATCAAGCTATGATTTTTCTATGAAAAAAAAATCTCATCTTTTGAATCTTAAAACCCTGCCCTCTAAAGAAGGGGGTGAGCACTCGCAGGAGGGCTCTCTGCCATTTTCACAAAGCTTCTGAGGGTCTAAAAAGCTTCTGAGTAGAAACGCATCTGTCCTGAAGGGCAGGGAGCCCGCGCAGAGGCACGGAGAGGCTGGGGCTGGGCAGGGAGAAGAAAGGACGCGTCCTGGGTGCTGTATCCAGCCCAGTTGCAACCGAAAAATAAAAGCAAACCAGCAAATAGACAGATGCAAAACAAAAACCTCAAACACAGGCCTCCAGAAAGGAAAATACGAGATGCATTCAAAAGCAGCTGAGGACCAGCGCAGGGGCGGGCGCCGAAGGCCCCAGGGCATGCAGACTAGGCCCCTCAAGCCGGTGCCTCTGCAGGCAGCGCGGCCGCCCTTCACCTTTCCTCTCCCACGAGGCGCAGGAAACCGGCCGGTGGGGACCAGCCCGGGGTGGCCAGAGGGGACGCACACAGGGCAACTAGAAGCTGACAGCGGCCTCGGTGAAGAGTCACGCCATCGCCTGGCTCGCTGCCGCGGCTCAAAGCCCTGTGGAAACCACTCCAAGCCACTTTGTTGTGTGTTTTTTTAATGCTGGAGGAAAAACAACAACAATAAAAGCAGAAACTTAGGAAGATGGTGACTCAGTCCCTGCGCTCTGAAACGGCTTGACAGAGGCACGCTGGGTTTCGATCACAAAGGGAAATAGCGAGGTGAGGCGGCGCAGCTGGCCGGGGCAGCGAGAACGCGGGCTGGAGCAAGCAGCGGGCGCCGGTCCAGTGTGCCCGAGACGCAACGTTGGGGTTCAGACCAGCCCCCCCGCTGCTCCCAGCCTCAGCTTTCCCAACTAGAAAATGAGGTGGGGCTCAGTCGTGGTTCTCAAACTTGAGCGAGTGTCAGAATCACCCGGAGGACTTGGTGAAACAGACGGTGGGCTCCATGCCCAGAGTTTCTGACTCAGCAGGTCCGGGGCCCGGATATTTGTATCTCTGACAAATTCTCAGGTGGGAATTGCTTGGTCCCCGCCTGGAGAACCACTGATCTGGAGCAGCGCCCTCACGTCATTCCAAGAATTGTGATGAACACATCACACACCTTCTCATGCGAAGTCCCTCCTTCCTGTATCCATCCATCCGTCCATTTATTCCATTTATTTATCTACACAAGTGTTTGGCAGACTCCTAGAATTCATGGGCCATTCTGCCAAGGGCTTAAGGGTGAACAAACAAGATGGATGAGAAAAAAATACACCTAGAAGCTTGCATAAGTCGGGGTGTGCAGGAAGTACAGAGGGAGAGCTGGCACCAGGCTTCTCACCTGCCGCTTGGGAAGCCAGAAGCCTGTGGAAGGCAGCCAAGGTCCACTGCAAGGAAAGATGGGGTCCAAGAGCCTCATTCCCAGCCAAGATGTTGCCCGCTCATCAGGCAAAAGACAAAGAAGTTTGAAGACATGCAAAGCATAGTCATTCCACAATATTTGTTGAGCGCCAGCTACGGCTCAGGCATTGGGGGTAGAAAAAAGTCAACAAAAGTAAGTATCTGTCCTTGGGGAGTTTAGTGGGGAAGACACAAAATAGTAAACACACAAGACACGCCGGGAAGTGTGCAGTGCACAGAGGAAAGGAAAGCAGCACCGGGGATGGAGGGTGATGATGGGGGGTCAGGAAATAACTCTCTGAGAAGGTGACAGTTGAACACCATTTTCCACGTCACGAGCCGGCCAGGCTGCTGTCATCTCCTCGAGGAGAAATCAGTCCTACTTGGCGGACAGAGGTGGTGGACGAATGGCCCATCACTTCCAGTGAATTTTGCAAAGGCAGTCAAGGTCCCTGCGGTCCACAGGGACACCCGTGGGTGGAGCAGAAGGCTTCCTGCTCCAAGAGCTACCTCGCAGCACAGCCCGGGCCCCAGAAACTTTCTCTGGAAACCGCAGTGCCTGGAATTCCCCAGGCAGGCTCTTCCCCGAGCGCCAGACTTCCGAGACTCACAGAAGCTGGGGCAGCGCCACGTCAAACCTGTCTCCCCAGCTCTGCTCCCAGGGAGAGCTGCAGCCGCCGGGACAGAGGCAGCCCTCAGCACCGTGGGCTCCCGGCATCCTCCAGGGAGTCTAGTCTCCTGCCTCTGGAACCTCAGCTCACTGACAAGATGGACAACGCTTTGCAAACCCCCACCTCCCAGCTCTCCCGAGAGGCTGAAGTCTGATTTACTGCCGAGGAGCAGGGACTGAGAAGGTGGACGGGACTGGCAAGTGAAGGCCGGGGCCAGGGCCTCGTCTGAAAGGCAGTGTTGCTATGGGGCAACTGCTGAGTGTCCAGGCCCCCTGACTTGTGCGCACCTACTATGTGCTCTCATCCACGCCATCGCTACTTGGTGTCTAAAGGCAGCGCAAATGTAACTTGGCCGCAGGCGACACCTGCCCGCGGTCCTCCCGCTGTCGTCGCAGGCTCGGGAAATGACACCACCACTCAACTCCGCGTTTCATTCCCGTTTGCTTGCCTGTTGGACGCGGCGCTAGGCTCACTGCCCTCCGGTCACTAAACCACAAGCCTCCTGAAAACACCCACTATCCAGACAGGAGTCTGCGCCAAACGGAAGTCGGGTCCGGCTTTCCCACGGCCAGATAAACCGGGCATCCCTGTCCAAGAAATGAAGGCTCACCCGACTGCACAGCTCCCATCCGACTAGTCAGTGCGCAGACCCAGCGGGCCCTAGGCTGATGGTGGTGGGGGGAGCAGCTCCTGCCAGGCGCCAGGGCGGCGCAGGGGGAGGCCTGCAGGGAAGGGGGGTGGGGATGTGAAGGTGCAGTGGGCACCCACCAAGCAGTCGTGGCCGCACCGAGTGTGCAATTCCCGTCCAGAAGGGCAGAGAGCGGAGCGGAGGGTGGGCGGATTAAGGGATGAGCCCCAGGTCCTGCGAGGGAGCGAAAGCCCGTCCTGGTGGAGACCCAGGCCCTGGGCGCCCAGGCAGAGCCTAGTGAGGTGTGAGCGTGCGGCCTGGCCCTGAAGGTGCCTCAGGCGGCTGCCCCCAGAGTCGGGCCACCACTGCCTCCTCCCTCAGACCTGCAGCTGTGGTCTTGGGGTGGGGTCGGGGATAGGAGGGTTCCTAGCTTGAAACTGTCCCAGTCTGTATGCGGGGAGCGCTAGCGAGTGCCTCTGCCCCACCAGCGCCCAAAGGTGTCCACGCACTCATTCATGACTTCACTCCATCCATTCTGGACACCCACTCACGCCAGGTCCCCAGGGGGTCCTGGGACCAAGACATGAGCATCACCAGCCTCCCCAGGCCCCACTCTGCGAGCTGGAGAGACAGCAAAGCACAAGAACAGTGTGCACAGGGCACAGTGGGGGGCGGGGGGCCGAGGGGGCGGGAGTGGTCAGAACCATAAGGAGGGGGTGGGAGCGTCAGAAAAACTCCCCCGGGGAATCCGGGGTGAGGCCGGGGGTCTGGGCCAGGGAGGGGGCGGCATTCCGGGCGGGGAACAGAACATGCAAGGGCTTGGGCGCACGAGGTGCTGCGAGGGACCCCACGCCTCCGAGGCTGGGGCGGGAGGGCGGACAGGGGCGGGCTAAATCCAAAGAAACCAGCTGGGGCGGACCCCGGAGGGCCTCGCTAAGCCCGGGAAGCCGGCGCCGCTCGGGCAGCCCTGGGGAGGGAGGCGCGGAGCCTGCGTCTTGAAGAGCCTCAGCGCACCGCGACGGTCGGGAGAGCCTGGGCGGGGGACGCGCGCAGGAGGCGCGGGCGGAGCGCGCAGGCCCCGGGGCTGACCGCGGGGCACTCACCGCGGAGCCAGCGCGCGCCGGCCTGCGTGTCCTTCTGGCGGAAGAGGGGGCGCTGCGCGGCGCTGCGCCCCACGTACCACAGCATCCAGAGCAGCTGCAGCAGCATGAGCGCCGTGAGGAAGCAGAGCAGGAGGCTCTTGCCCACGCCCGCGGCGTGCACGGCCCAGGCCAGCAGGAGCAGCAGCCCCGCCACGAACACGTTCAGCCCGTACTGGCTGCTCAGCGCCTCGGCCAGCTTCTGGGGGACGCTGGCGCAGCGCGCGCCCCGTCGGGGGGCCGGGGCCTCGGGGGCCGCCGGGGCGGGGGGCTGGGGCCGCGGGCAGACGGCGGGCCCCGGCGCGCCGGGACCCGGACCCTGACCCGGAGCGCTGGAATCCGAGGCCCACGGGGGCGAGGCCGGCGCCTCTGGACCCTGGGGCATCATGGGGGACCCCCTCACGCACCCAGTTAGCCCCCCTCCGAGGGGTTTGCCGCCCGCCTGTTGCCCCTGACCTCTGCTTCGGTCCCGGCGCCCTCGACCAAACAGCCCCTGGCTTCTGCCCGCCCCTCTGACCCCGCGGTTCTGCCAAGCAGCCCCCCTCTCTGGCCACCCTCCAGCGCCTGCGCTCCCCCTTTCTGCCCTTCTATCCTAGGTCAAGATGACCGACTCGGCCGGCTTGCCACGTTCCCCCACCCCGCTGACCCGGGCCGCCCCGACTTCAGCGTCCCAGGCGTGCCCCGTCCAGCTCCCCGCGCCCGGCCCCGCGCCCCAGCTGCAGCCCAGCCCCACCCCGCGGGCGCGCCCGCCCAGCCCGAAGCGCAGACTGGCGTCGCCGGGAGGTGGGGAGCCCGGGGTCCCCCGGCCGGCCCCGGGAGTGGGCGGGGGGCGGGGCCGTCCCTGGGCGCCTGCGTCCCGGCCGCAGAGCCCCGGCTGCGCGGGTCTGGCTGTCCCTCTGTGTCTCTCTCTGCGCGTCCGTCTGTCCGTCCTCGTCCTTGGGTGTGTCTGGTTGGGCTGGGGGGCGGGGAAGCGTGAAGCTCGGTCCTCGGATCTGGAAGTAGGCGGAGGGGCCGGGGAAGGCTTGTTTGTCTGCCTGAGATGCCCGGACAGGAGGCGCTGGGCGAGAGAAGAGATCATCGCGCGCCCTCCTCCCCAGGAGCTGCCCGGGAGCCGGGGGTGTCTGCCTGGGTGTCTGCCGGGGCGCCCGGCTAAGAAGCCGCTAAGAGGAGGCTCCGCTCCCCCTAGGCGGCTGCAGAAGAGCGTCCTGAACGCAGGCCTGGCCGAGCGTTCAGGGAAGGGGGAGTCGGGAGGGAGCCCGAGGCCGTGGCAGACCCGGGCAAGCGCGCGCACCGGCAAAGCTCACCCCATATAATTGCACAGGCCGATTCTGACTATCGGGGGCTCCTGGCTACAAGGAGACCTGGGCTGGGAACGAGACCCCGCACCTTGGCTGCCTTCCTCTCTCCCATTCGCTCATTTGAGCAACAGGTATTTACCCAGCACAGCATCTTTTGCCTGGTCCTGTTCTGGGCACTGGAGACTCATCTGTGACCGGCTGCCCTTGGAGTCGACACCCAAATGGAGACACATTCAGTCGACGAGCATTTATGAGAACTGCTTGGGATGCTGGGAACATCAGCCCAGGAGGTGGCTCTGCCACTAGGAGCTCTTGGCCCTGGTGGGGGCAGGCGGGGTGGAGAATGCTGCTTGGAGAGGAGGCTTGACTGAGCTCCACGCCTGCCGGGAAGGTGATAAGTTCTGAGGGAGGCAGCCCCCCAGAGGCTTGAAGCCTTCCATCCTTCAAATCCAATGGAAGGAGCTGCCAGGTGGCAGGCGGCAGGGAGGACATTCCAGAGGGAAGATATGGCACATGCACAAAATTGAGTGTGCCCAGGTGGTGACTGGGGGCGTGTCCATCCAAGTGAAACAGTGTGCCCCTCAGCTGGATGGCCCCAGTGCCAGGCGGACACTCAGTAAGTACAGCAGGTTCAGGATGTGCACATGATAGGTGCTGTGAGGATGGGTGCCGGATGGGCGCCTCCTGAACAGGGTGTGGAGCACCCCTCCTGCTCCAGCCTGGTTTGTTTGCAGCTCAGCGCTCATCACGTGACTCCAGGTGCTAACCATTGCTCTTAGATGAGTGTGGGTACAGCTGACTGTCTCTCCCACGGTGACCGGAGCCCTCGTCCACTGCTGTTCCTCCAGCACAGGGAAGGAACGGTGGTGCCTAGCACTTACTGGTGCCCCATAAATATGCATCAAACTGTGCCCAGATGTCTTAACCCCAGTACCTGTGAATGTCACCTGAGTTGGAAGTCAGGTCCCTGCAGATGACCAAGTAGAGGGTGAGTCCTAATCCAGTCTGACTGCCTTACAGCATCGTTCCCATTACCCGCCCACCACCCCCAGCTGAGAGTGGCCATTCACAGCCGGACAAGAGTAACTACTGCCCAGGCAGGGAGCAGGGCCCAGATGTGCACGCAGCCAGGCAGGGGCTAGTCAGAGCCTCGACGGAAGTGCTGCCAGGAGAAAAGCAGCACATCAGGGACTCTGTCAAATGCTCGTGGTGTTGCGCCTGCATTTCAGGGTGGGGACACTCTCTGTGAGGGCTCTGAAGAGCAGTCACTTCTCTAAAAAGGAGCCTTACTTCTAGAGCTCACGCCAAGCGCTAATAGCTGAAAACAGACTATTTCAAAGTCTGAATTAACAAGACCCACAAAAAAGTTATAAAAATATTTTATTTAAATGTCAAGGGAAAAGTTATAGTTTGAATGATTAGAAGTTCATATGTTATTCAAATGCTAAAAACCCAACACTTTAGACAAAATCTAAAGTGATGGGAAGACATACAATGCTTTCGCTTGGTCCTCGTACCTAAGGGGAAGACCGTAGCAATGAGGTGACAGTCGTTGCTAAGGTTGGCTGAAAGGCACAGGGCGCTCCCACTGCTCTGTACACACACCGAGTCATCTTATACAAGGGACTAGCACCCCTCAAATGCATCAATATAGCCCCGATATTTGGAGTATGTTAAACCTAGTAAGAATTTGTTTATATTTACATTTTTACACCGATACTTTCTCTAATGAGTCAAACACTAACAATGCAAATCAGTTACTTCAATTTTTAACAGAATTATTTCTACCTTGAATCTGAAAACTTCAATAATCATTTGCACTTAAGAAGATGCAAATTAATTTATTCTGATTTCAACCACAGATGTATAAAGTTACAATTTTTCCAAGGAACCACTCACAGATGCAAAAACACACTGTAGCTTTTTCCCTTCATATCATGTGTTCATGCTTCCGGCTGGCTGTCGCTTAATCACTCGCTTTAACCGATGGGCCTTAACCTGAAAGAAAACCAAGGAGGCATTTATATTCAGCCGCTGAATTCAGCACTAAGAAGCACAGTCCAGCCCACAGACCCTCACCTGTGGCTCTCCGTCAGCAACTGTAAATTCATGTCAGCAGTGAGTCACACGTCCTAAATGTGTCAAGATGCTAAACTCAACTGAACAGCCAAAGATTCGGAGCCATCAGGCAACATAGGAGGGAGGCCAGCGGGGGGACCCATCGTGGGGTGACACACATCAACGGGACAAAGGGCAAAGCCCAAAAGGCCCTTGACACAGCATGGGGAGCGACATTCCCCCAAGGCCACATGTGCTCACAGCCACTTCCTGACTGGCCCCAGGTGATTCCACCCACGTCCTCTTCACCTGGTTACTGACTGTCCCTGCAAAGTCCCCAGGGCCTGCGTGCCATCCGTGAGCCGGATGCCAGTTTTCTTGGCATTTCATTCACTTACTGTATGAACTTTTACTTCTCTGGGCCTCAGTTTACATCAACTGGCCTACAGGGTAGATGCAGGTGACATGAGGGACTAGCTCTGTCCTTTCACCAGGTCCCTGAGCATGGGAGTTAGAACTCTCGACACCCAGATAATGAATCAACTAACACTCAGCAAACGAGATGCCACACGCGGAGCAGCAGCCAGGGCCACAAAGATCCGGGAGGCAGAAATTCCAGACACAGCGCGCAAGATGAGGCGTCATCCACAGCATTTTAATGAGGCAACCAGGACAGTCAGAAAGTGGCAGACGTTCTCTGCTCAACTGGGTTAACACCACCCATTCCTCCCATGTTCCCCTTTCTGAAGAAAGATCTAGCTGGGGTTGTCTCTGTCGATGCTGACGGCAGCTAACTTCACCATGGAATGGCCTAATGTGTGAGCTTCTCCATGCTGGAGGCTGCCAGAGCCATTTTCCAGCTCTCTGAGGGCCAGCCCCCTCGCTGGACAAGTGTCACTTAGGACAAAAGGGAAGTCACACAAAAGGGAAGGGGACAGGCCCCTTTATGAGGGTGAGCGGCTCTGGTGTGACCCAAGCGACAAGGGGGTTATTGCTGCACCAGCTGAAACCTTCAAGTGAGTTCACTGAGAAATGCCATCCCGGAAACCTTACCTTCAGAAATCACCCAAGAAGTGAGATCAACATCACAACCCCCATGAACTGGGTGAACAGCAGCAGTGGAGTGAAAAACGACCACACGTGCCAGAGCGCCACGTTGAAGCTGGAAAGGAGACAGAAAATGCACAGACCATTGAGGCCGCTGCAGAGGCCGGACCTAAGGAGGCATTTTTTACTCAGCTAGAGGAAGGTCACTCGGCCAGCAATTGTATCCAGGTGCTCGCATGTCCACATCCGTCAGCATACTATATCTATAAAGGACACTCTTAGAGATACTTTTTAAGGATCAGTGTTTTTTCACTCTGCCTGCGAAGAAGGGCGTGGATCGTGGCCCCCACAGCCGCAGTGTGAGAGTGAACAGCTCCAAGTCCTTCAGCAGGGGCTGGCGGAGTAAGCACGAGTCCGCGCAGTGCTAGCCCTTTACGAAGCACGTCACACGCACAGCTATGGAAGGATGCCCCCACACAGGGCCCCGCCAGAAAGGAAGGAGCAAGCATTTCAGAAGACAGCTGGAGGCGCACACACCCGGAAGACAATCACTCCTCTTCCAGGCACACGTACGCGAGCACATAGACAGGACAACGGAAACGTACACAGGCACACAGAGGCATACAAAAGCGTGTCAAAGCATCGTTCATAATACTCCCCCCCGCAACACCCCAAACGCTATCAACAGAACACATAAACTGGGGTTCGGTCACAGGGTGGGAGGCCAAACAGCAAAGACAACGAACACTGTTGTGCACAATATGGACGACCCGCAGCGTCGCGTGTAAACAATCAAGCACACAGCAGACAAACCAGATGAAAACGTTTCTACAGAGTTCTGAGAAAACAGACCATACAAACAAGGCTACTTAAGAGATGGGAAAGAAAGCAACTACCCTGAGGGCTGGAGCTGGCTCCCGCAGGAAGGCCAGCAACGAGGCGGGGCAGGACAGGGACCGGGTGCTGGGTAGCCTCGTGGCCTGGGCGGGTTCACGCCAACGCTCATTTTATGAAAATTCTCTCAGCTGTGCCATTCGGTTCACTCTACCTTCGGGGTGCACTATATTTCACAATGAAAATGATGTAACATTTGTGTTTTAAGTAAGTAAATACCGAAACAGAGGACGGCACGACTGAAAGGGGAATCCGAGGCTAGCGATGGCAGGGACAGGATTTCCCACATTTCTTTCTTTCCTTTTGAAGTCTGGACCACACACATCATCAACTGATCGCAATTTTTTTTTATTCCTATATTCGCTTCAAAGTTAACTTACCAAATTCCTGCTACAATGAAAGTGGCAGTTGTGATGGGTATCAAGGTTGGATACTTGACGTCATAGTCTGCGACTCCGCGGTACCACTCCAGGTAGAGGATGCAGTAAAAGGCAATCGACACGCTGACCAGCAACAAGGCACCGCCAAAGAGAAACCAGCTGCAGAGACAAAATGGCAGCAGGTCAACAGCCCCCAGCCCATCGGCTGGCTTCAGGGACACCTTCATGGGCAAGTTTTCATGGACAGCTTCAGTAAGTTATTTCTAAGGAGAACAGCAACTTCGGAAAGTCTTCATCTAGTGGGAGATGGGGGAGCAAGGACGAGATTGACGCACGTAAAGGAGGGAAGTCAGACGGTGCGAGTGGGCCCTGCACGCACCCGGGAAACCAGCCCACAAGGCAGAACCCTGGTCACAGCCACATGATCCTTAAATGCACAGGAAGACAGCAACTTTTCGGTGGTTTTGGAAGTTTGAGTGTGAGACTAACAAAGGTTCTCAACGGGTACCATGAACAGCTCCAAGTTAAGCAGGTTGCTTGGAATACTGAAAAGCAATGTGGAGGGCGGATAATTCAAACTTGTCTCGTAAAAGATTTCTAAATGAAGCCCTCCCATTTTTAGAAGACATTCAATCCTCCTCCAAGAGACATAGCCTTTTCCTCCTTTCCAATTCAAAGACCTGACAGTGTGTGTGTGTGTGTGTGTACGCGCACACACACACACATGTGCACCCTTTCCTTCTAGCCCCTCCTGGTCACAGCAGCAGGCAGATCTAGGGAAAGAAGTTCCTAAGTCAACCCAATACCCAGTATCTTTTGCGTCTCCGTGGGGCTGGCATTCTATGTGGGAGAGGGGGCGTGGGGGTAGAACAGTCAAGTCACGGGCACAGTGTAGACTCTCTGAAAACAAACTCTTGAGCTCCGATTCTCAATCACCTCCTGGTCATTCCCTCCTCCCTGTACTTTATCTTCATAAAGACTGTCAGAACTCCCCCCCGCATGATTTATAAATGGATCCGGTCCTTCTTCAATCTGCCTTTCCTATCCTATTCACTTTTGTCTTGAGAAGGCTCCCTGAGACAATTTCAGGTCTCCTCACCCTGCTGTCCGCCTCCAGGGCGTGCACTCCCTTACTCATCTGTTCATAACCAGCACCTCCAACATGATGGTGGCAGAAAGCAGGTGCCAGTTAAGTGTTATAAGAATTCAACTAACACAAAACAACATGAAGAATAAGACAAGAGTGTTTAAATTTTGAATCAATAAAGTTTTCTTACCTACTGGTGTGAAAATTTTCCTTAATGGTCTTAAAGAAATCAACATAATAGGTCACAACAATGGATGCCAGAATCCAGAATCCAGAATGGATATTAAGTCTTGGAAGAGGCTTCTCCTTTTTCTCAGCAGCTGAAGAGATTTCTGCAAATAAGAGAAATCCAACTTATTGTTACCTTAATAAGACAATTTCCTTGAGTTCTTTGAGACCCAGCTTCTCTTTCATTATCGCTCCAATCTCTTCTATGAATCCATTAAAAGAGGTTTATACATGCAGAAATACTAGGCACATGCTGTATGGTCAACACAGTCAATTATTTTCCTTCTAAATGCATTTTGAAATTGAATTTACATATTCAGTCTTACAGAAAGAATGATACCACCTACTAGTATAAGAATTATGATATTGTTTTCATGTAGGAAAATGATTCAAGAAAATACAAGAGGCAAACAGCACAAATCAGACTTGTATTTTTCCAAAAGTACTACCTATAGCTGCATATTTTATTTGTTTAAAAGAAAAGTTTTGTAGAGCAACTTGACAGTAAAAAAGCACAGTGGGGCACTAGCTGGGCAAGGGAGGGCAAGTCAAACTTCTTCTATCTGGGACCCAATCTGAAAGAATAGGTACCTGGGTCAAATGAGTTATTTCTAATAAATTCCTCAGACAACTGACATGCCCTCTCTCCTTCACGTTGAGGACCAGGGGCAGACATCAAGGTTTGTCCATTAGCTGGCTACCCGAATCCATGGGAAACTGGTGCATAATACACATTCTGGGCTAGAGCCTCAAAATTCCTAAACTAGCAAGCCTGGACACGACGTTTTCTGTTTATTTTTAAAAGGTAATAAATGCACGTGGCTTACAAAGCACAAAAGATGGGGAAAGACATCAGTCTCTCTCCCAGCCTCCTGCCCAGAAGCAACCACCAAAACCAACGTCTACTGAATTCTTCTGAACTCCGCGCATCTCCAGGCGAACACACATGGCACGCTATGTTCTGCACCGTCGATGCACCCCGCACACTGCTCTGTACCTCCTTGTGCGAGCGGCCACACTGCACGTGAAGTCGGCGCGGCTGGCACGCGCGGACACATCCAGGCGCCCCGACCAGCTCCCTGCGGAGGGACCGAGCAGGCTCCGGCCCAGCCCCGCGGCCGGGCCCCCGGGCACCGGCGCCAACGACTTCCCCGGCGGATCTCGGGGCCGCAGGTACTTTAATGCCCACGAGCGGCTTTCACCCGCGCCCTGGGCGCCCCGCGCGCGGCCGCGAGACCCTCAGGGCCTTGGGGACCCCGCCGCGTAACCCCGCGACCCGGGGCGGAGGCGGCCCGGGGGATGGGGTGGGAGAGGAAGGCCCCGGTCGCCGACCCCGGGCGGCCGCCCTCGGGGCCCCTGGCTCGGCCCGGAGCGCGCCCGGGAGGCGCCTCACCCGGCCCGGCGTGGCCGTCGGCGCGCAGCGGGGCCTCGGCGTCGGGCGGGAGCTGGAGGCGCCGGCGGAGCAGCTCGCGGGCGCGCCCGGCGTCCATCTTGGCCCCGGAAGCGGGCGGCGCGACGCACCCGCACTTCCGGCGGGACTTCCGGCGGGGCGGCGGGCGCGGGGCCGCGACCCGACGTCGACGCCGTCGCCCCCGCGCCGAGGCCGCGGCTGAGGGGAGGGTCAAAGGCCGCGAGTGCCCCCCCCCCGAGCGGGCGCGCCCTCCGGCCCGCGGAGCCCAGGGGGGCCGTCCGGGCGCCCCCGCGGCGCGCCGCCCCCGTCGTCCCCCGTCGCGCTGGGCCCGGAGGGTCAGAGGCCGCGGCCTCGCGGGGGGACGCGCCGTCCCGTGGTCTGGGCGGCCTCCGAGTGACGCGCGCCCGCCCTCCCCGGGAGCAGCCGCCCGGCCGGGGCGCCGCAGCTAGAGTTGTCCCTCCCCGGCAACGGCCGTTCTCCTCCCACGGCCGTCATGGACCCGCTGTGCCCCGCACCCCCAGAGGTCCCCTGTTGTAGGGGCAGGAATGGCCCAGCGCAGGGTTTCTGGGATCCCGTGCAGGCCCGGTGAAGGAGGAGTCAGAGTCCTCAGTGGCTTTTTGCAGGTTTTTATTGGGGTTCACCAGGCACATGGCAGGCAGGGGGGCCGGGAGGCCCCCAGCAAATCCTCACTCTATCTGGGCTCTCCGGCCTTCTCTGCTTCTCTGCTTTTCTGTTCGTTCTGCTGATTCTCGGCTTCTCTTTCAGCTTCTCGGCTTCTGCTGGCGTCCCCGTGCCGCTGCTCTTAAAAGCAGCCTCAGCCCAGGTGAATCCCATCTACCTCTGCCCACACCCTGCTCCAGGGGCCCACCATCAGGCATGCGTTCAGGACCGCAAGGATCCATCATCTATCCTGATGGCGGGAGGGCAGAAAAGCCTGACATTTTTCCTTACCCTACACCTGTTGACTGTCACGCTCTTGCCCCCTCCTGGCCGCGTCAGGCGTCCAGAAATGTCATGCTTAACCACTGCAGCGCTGGCTCGCACCTGCCGCGTGCCGGGAGCTGGCAGGCACCTTGCTAGGCACCTGGGATAAGGACGAATGAAACATGACGTTGCACTCGAGCCCCCGGACCGAGATGTCCGCGGAGACACACGGCAGTAGAGTGCAGTCCCTGCATGCGGGCAGTGAGCCCATGGGCAGCTGCATGTGCTCACGTGGGGAGGACGAGGTAAGTTTGAGTCCAGCTGAGCGGACCATTTGGATACAGTGCGTAATAGGAAGACTACTTAGCTCCTGGGAATAAAGGGCATTTGATTCTGCTCTCGTGGGGAAGCAGGTCGTAGGGCTTCAAGTGGGTGGGACACGGTAATGCAGAGCCCAGGAGGCTACAGGTGGTGTAAAATTTGAATGACTCAGTAGGATCCCTGTGGTCTAAATGCTGTGCCTGTTTGCCCAAGAAATGTAGTAAGAAATATTCAAGAGAATGTTAAGTTCTTGCTGCTTTATTTCTGGTACATCTTCAGCCTTTCTAGGCCACCCTTTGAAGCAGAGGATCCACAGCTGGTAGATCGTATGGCTTGTCTACACAATAGTCCTTTTTCCTGCTTTGTTTCTTTCTCTTTTCAGACTCACAGAATCAGCGTTCATCTCTTCAAAGCAGCTAGGGTCTTTGCGCTCCCCTCCTCTCGCTGGTTAACAGGAAGTGATCCTTCCCCTTCAGATAGTCTTCTATTGATTTTCTCCTTGCAGAAGGGTCAGTGCTGGGTCTCCCTGTAACTGAATATTCCCATGAGCATCACAGCCATTCCAGGCTTTCCATATGTAGGTTCGGGTCAGATCTGGTTTCCCCTCTGGTGGCTTCTGGGCCTTTGTATTCAGATCTGAACGCTTTCAAGCTTTTTTCCCTGGTATTTTAAATGGCACTGCTTGCACACCAGATTGATGGTACTTCAAGTCAGACTGGGAAAAACCAGATCTAAATGACACCACCTTCATCTGCTGGGGCCCATGAGCTAAGTTCTTAAATGTGTGTTCCATGCACCTGATGGCAGGTGGAGGATGTCACATTGCTACCCACGAGAAACTTTCACTTTTGGTGTGGATTACTTATAGGGAAAAATGAATTTGACTGTGATCTTTGCTGGCCTCCCTTTAGCAAAATACTGAAGCCCAAGGTATTGACTACGCAAGCCTGACCCCATCACTGTGGGTCCTGGTGCGAGGTATTTCATTGTTCTGCGTCTGTTTCCTCATCTGAGACTGAGCAGATCCCAGAGTGAAGACAGATGTGTCCTGTGGCTCAGGCATGTGTCTGCAGGCGGTACGCGGTCAAGCAATAGTAGTTACTACTCACTGCTCCTTCTTTGGGCCTGCCAGGAATGTTTCAAAGGCTGTTGTGCGGTATTTTCACCCTGAAAGGGTGGTCTGTATACCCCTAGACCCTCCCACTGTGGGCAGGAGGCCCGGCCCCCAGCACTGGCCCCCGCATCAGGCTGCTGCCTTCAGGTTGCCTTTTCCCAGCTTTTGAGCGCCGGAGTGGGGGCGTCTGCCGTGCGTCTGTGCTTTTCTTTATTGACTGTTTTTCTACATTTGACCGTACATCATTTTCCCTTGGGGATTTTTCTTTTCTTACGTTTATAGATCAAGGAAACCTTTGCCTATCAGATGAGTGGCAAGTGTGTTTTTCCACCTTACCCCCTACCTCTGAAGTTCTTGCCTGTTTCGTGGCTATGTTTTGTTTTGTTTTTCTTTGCTGCGCATAGTCTGTGGCGGGAGTGGCTGAGCAAGCGCAGTGCGGTCCCAGTTCTCCATCAGTGCTTGCAGGTGTGACTGCGGGGACAGCCCACATGGTCAAGACGGCTTGAACCCTTGTCCAGTGGGCCCAGTTACTCCCTGCCCATTGTTGCTCCACGGGCTACATCGGGAGAGGGTTAGGGAGAGGCGCTTTTAGTTAACCACAGCTGAAACCGATACAAAATAATAACAGCAGCAACAACCATAGTAATAGTCACTGTAGTCTAAATGCACACTCGAGTGCGTTGGAGTCCCTCCGAAATCTTTCACAGGACTGAGAGAAAACTAGGATCTATTCACATCTGTGTGAGGTGCCCCCTGCTGCAAAGACACCATGTGTCTGTGGCAGATGGGGCTGTGCCTGCCTTTACCCCTCGGTCTTTACCATTTCGTTAACGAGCCTGACCCACCGTTCTCAAACTCGTTCAGATGCTTTGATGGAACACCTTGAAATAGGGATAAGCAGAAAATGACCAAGTGCAATGGACATTGACACCGACTCGGAGCATCTGAACTCGACTAGTGAGTGGCCAGCACCAAGAGGCATGAGAAATACTATGCAGGAACACCTGAAAATTGAGAAAATTCTACTACCTAGATTTCTGTCCGAAACCCATGAGAGGGATTTCAGTTCTGCCTCTCCTTCATGATCAGCTTGGCCGAGCAGGGCTATCCTGTGACATAACTATCACTTTCTAGTGCCAATTCCATGCCAGCCCCCCAGGCGAGGCTGTTAGAAACAAGCCAGTAGAATTGAGTCTTTACCAACCTTTGATCTGCCGGAGAAATCTAATCTATGGGCAGCCTGGACGGACGGCCGTGGCTGCGACAGAAGCCAGTTCAAGATCGTGGAGGCAGAGCAGCAGAGGTCGCCTGGCAGCAGCTCACAATGCCCGCTCTGTGGGCAAACAAAGACTGACCTTCCCAGCGGTGCCCGACCCAGCGACTCTGCAGACATGTCTGTGCTCCCCGGTCACAATGGAAACCATCACGGCAGTTGAATCACTCCTACCAAAGGGAATAAGTTAACGTTCCCCCAGATCTCATAACAGAAACAGCTAAACTAGCATTTCCACTCAAAACAAAGAGACTTTTCTCCAGTGCAGACAAGTGGTTCTTAGAAACCGTCAGTGGCTAGTAAGCAAGACAGACTTTTAAGGTCCAACCCCCTATCACAGAATCTGAAGAATCTGGTGAGCTGAGCAAGCTCTGGAGTTCCTTAATATGTGGAAAGGACACTGGTAGCAGGTAAGAAGGTGTCACTCCCGACGCTGGGGGTAAGTGCTGTGCTGTGGTATTTTTAATATCACTTGAAATCTCCTTGAAAGCTTGGGAGGCGCCATCTTCTCATTTTAAAATCCCATGGTGATGCCTCATGATTTCATTTGACAGTATTCACCTCCGGTGCTCTTGAGGAGATAGACACAGAGGTGGAAATTGGAGAAACACCCAATGTCAGTGTATTTGGGGCCAAAGTCAACTCACCTGCCCTTGCGCACCCAGGCAGTGGAAGCTGGTGGAAACTCTGGAAACCTGGCCCATCTATTGAAGCTGAAATGTACCGATGATGCAGCAATTCCCCTTCCAGGCCTATGCTCCAGAAACAGCCAACATAACAGCAGAAACAGCAGAACACCTCCCTACCGCACAGCAACCAAGCAGGCAGCTGCCTCCAAAGTAAAGGGGCAGAGGTGTTAAGCGAAGAGCAGACATGGAGGGTCACACTGCAGCACTAGCTTCTGACGTAGAGTCTCAGACTCCCCCGCGCACCAGAAGGGAGGGCAGGGCTCCCTGGGCCCCCCGGACTGTCTTGAGCTGGGTGGCACTGGTCAGGGGTGTGCACTTGCTGAAATTCACAGAGCCGTTCAGGTAGGTTGTGATGCTGGTGTGTGTGTCAGTAGACAATTGACATTGAAAAATCAACTCATCCAGGTGTGTTTGGTAGTTTCAGGGTTGAGTCTTCCTGCAGCATGATTACACATCAACTGTAGAGTGTCCCTTGGGAACGGAAGTTTCTTTCTTGAAACATGCCGCATGGGTCCCTTCGGCCACTGGTTCTCCTCGCTGGGGCCTGGTCACATGGGGCTGAGTGCAGGAGAAAGCTAGGTGTCTGGGGCATTCCTGGGCCGGGGCCTAGGGTGCCCAGTGGTGGGCCCCCGCAGTCTTCAAGTGCATGCTTCATGTCCTTGAAGAAATGTCTCCAGACACCTACTGTGTGCCAGACACCCTGTGTGCGGTGCTTCAGTTCACGCTCTCCATCCTGGAAGTCAGTGTGAATCACAAACCCCTGGAATTTGGAGAAGCCACACAACCTGCCCAGGAGGGCTGTTGGCCAGTAAGACACCAAGTCAGATTCATGGTCAAGCCTGTGGCACCTGGAGCTATGGAGAGCACGTCTGTCCTCACACTGCTGCCCCGCAGGGAATGGAAGTCCGGTGAAAGTAGGTAAAATGGCAGGAGTGAAGAAATGGCTTCATACAGCAAGTAGCTGAGACACACCTTTACAGAATCAGCCCGGGGGTCCACCCCACAGATTGGCTCCCTCCCTGTCTAGGCAGGGCCCTGGAGACAGCGCACCTCCTGGAATTGCCTCACGAGGCCAGTGACTTGGGAGGGTTTCCGTGGCAAGAGGGCTGAGTGGAATTACAGGCACCAGGGGCACCGGGGGATGCAGGTACAAATACGTTGTCGGGAAAAGCAGAAATCAGCACCCTCAAGACAAGTTCCCAGCAGCATCTTTTGAAATGTGAAATCCCACACGGGCCAAGACCAGTCCCTCCTCTGCAGCGGAAGGAGGCGAGCTTTCTCACGCGCCCCAGCTCTGCTGTGCAAATCCAGCTTCCTGGCGCCAGAACGAGAGGCAGCCGCCGCTGGCCCATGTGTAATTCAGCAGTCAGTACAAAGGCACATGCTCTACCCGGGCAGCGAGAAATACAATCGTCTCCTTGGCTCACGAAGTAGGAAAGAAACTTAGAAGGCCCACTTTGGCCATTTCTTGAAAGCGTAATTGGAAGAAGGGACAAAGGCTGAATGTATGTGAGATCCGGGAGCCCCACAGCATGGCGAACATGTGGGGTGTGCCCTGCCCCACCTCCATGGCGGCAATGACCGCTCCCCCATTTCCTGCCCCAGGGAAGGGGCTGCAGTCTTACGGCCGCTGTGGTGGCAGGACTGTGTGCAGGGAAGATGCCACAATGTACAATTATTTCCTCTATGCTGGAGTCCAGCTTCAGAGAGTAAGCAAAAAGGACCCCTTCCCCCCGCAAATAGCTAAGAGGATCAGCTTCCAGGGGTGGACTAGAGAACGAAGACGCCCGGACCATGGTCGTGCTCACTAATGCAGACGACTTGGATGGAGCCACCGACTTTGAAAAACTTTGCTTATTCAACTCCAGGCACTACCTGAAAGACAGTGATCTGTATACCAAGGGCCGCAGCCGCTGCTTCCCTGTTCCTGGACATCTAGTTTGGAAAAGAGCTAACTATAGGCTCGTCAGAGCTCATGGTAAGCAGGACTTGGCCAGCTCAAGTTTTAACCTTAAAAGTTTTGTGTAACAGGAGGGCTTGTCAAAGCCACAAACCCCTGCAGTGCTGTTTGCTGCTTGACTTGGGAGCAGCTTCTCCGCATCACCACCCTGGGAGGTGGGTGGAAATGGACAGCTGGAGACCGGGGCCTTTTTCACCGTCTTGTACTTCCTGAAGCAAAATGAACGTGGGGACTTGAGGTATTTGGCAATTTCGCAGCTTCCTCCACGCTGCCCTTGCCATCCATCAGGGCTGCTGTCTCTGGCTCCTGCATCCGCCGCCAGAGCCTGGCATGGGGACAGACGGCCTGGAACATGCCACGTGCGTCCGCCTGACATGAAGGCAGCCCCAGCCCACGACAGTCGTGCCTCGGTCTTGTGGAGGGCAAGGTATAGCCCACCTCCTCCTGGCCCTGCCTGTCCAGTGACAGCATGGAAGGTGGCCAGTGCCCACCGCTGAGGGGGCAGGAAGGAGGGCACCAGGTGGAAACCAGTGTCAGGTCCCCAGCAAATGTGGGACCCCGGACAGCAGGGCAGCAGGGCTCGGGATACTCAGTCGCACACCCAAATCTGACAGGACTGTGTAGCCTGCGCCCGGGTGTGGCACCGTCACTTTCCAAAGTCCCCTAAAGTGTGTGTGTGACCAAGTCAGACAGGCAGCGGCCCCCACTGCCCTCTCCTCCAGACCCTCCCACACGCTGCCCACCCAGCTCTCCATCGCCCTTTTCCGTCCGCGTGGTGCTCGAGGGAAGCGAGGCCGCCCCCAGCCGGACCCTGGCTGCCCGTGGCATCCGCCAGCAGCCCCCCCATTGCCACCGTGCTAGCTCTCGAGAAGCCTGGCCGATGGCCTACGAGGATCACAGAAACGAGGACTCGCCAGACTCAGTGCACATTGAGTTTATTTCGTCACATTTGCCCAGCCTTGCCTTAAACGCATCACAGAAAAGCTGACAGAAGACAAAAGTTGACAGAGTGGCCCTGTACCCCCACGGTGCCAGGCTTTTTGTCCCTAACTGAGGTCTGGGTCAGGCCCCACTCCCCTGTGACTTCCAGAACCACTGCAGCCTCACATGGCTCAGACTGTTCCGACGACGGACAGCATCCATCAAATGAGGCTCCCTCTGCTGCCCGTTAGTAGAAGCAGAATTCGCTCCCTCACAGCCCAGGCGGGGCTTTCCTTTCCCACTGTCCAGACAGAAACAGTGAGGTTCTGAGAGGCCAACTGTTAAAGGGCCACGCCCGGCCCAACTCTGAAGCCCAAGACCTCACTCAAGCTCACAGAGCCACTGAGGCCCAGCGCTCCTGCTCCTCAGCCCAGCCCGAAAGGCCTGGGGAGAAGCTGGCCCACGGGGAACTGGGTCGCTGTCTGCCCTTTGGCCCTCCTCCTGCTAATCCTCCTGTCCTAATCTGTAGTACTTGTTCCACGTCCCTCCTGGTGTTCACCTGTCGGCTGAGGTATTAAGGATAGAAGTTAACACCGGCTGCAGTGGTGATTCTTACCACATGCATCGGCTTTAAGGGATGGGGAGGCAGAGTGGTGCCAGCTCTCCTCTGGCACAGCAACCTAGGACTCAGACCATCTCTGCAAGCAGCTCAACTCAGCCGGAGTGCTGAACAGCAGAGCCAGCCTCGCCGCTGTTCCTTGTGCCCAGTCACAGGCCGCTCTGCAGTGTCCCCAACAGCTTCTCTGGCTAAGGGCGCAGGGCGCCGGGCTGGACTGTTAAAGAGAAACCTCTCCAGGGTGGCCAGGAGCACGGGCAAGATTGTTGTTACAGCCCTTCCAGGCGAAAGGCTTCAACTCACAAATACTTTTTAGCAACACAAAAAACACACCCACAAAAAGCTCTCAAAACATACAGAAGCGACATGGTTAACACAAGTTAATCTCACCAAAGGAAGAATTACTCTTTGACTTGTCACATTTAAAAAAAAAATTCCACATGAAAGCATTTTTTAGTACAGTAATTTTTACCACCACAAATTCAGACTTTTGGACAAGAATATACTTTATTTTCTCATAAAAGTCTACCAAAAATATATATTTTACTTAACTTAAAAAACAGCTTTGGAAAACAAAATTTGAGTTGTTATAATTCATTAAATGTTTTTCAAACAGCTGTGGAAGTGAAAGAGGAAATCACAGAATGGATTTAAGTTTTAAATATAAAAACATTCATTTCAGAAGCTTGACCTTCTCCTTTAATAACTTAAAGGTGGGGTTCTTGCTGATTTTCTTGTTAAAGATGACTTGGAGTTCCTCTTCAGATCTGTGATGTTCATTCGTCACAGTATAATACTGAGCAAAAACCTTCACAGAGAAAAGCAATTATCAAATGCATGTATGCATCCTGAAAATGTACCCCGAATAGTTTTTCTTTAACTGGGGGGCCAGCAGTGAGAAGTGAAAGGCACAGGCGCTAGTTGCACGGGTGCGTCGGCCTGTGACAGCCGGGCGACTGGTCACATCCCAGCAACTGGCTGCACGCGTCCACATCGAAAAAGAGTTAAAATGCAGAAAGACAAGAGGCTATTGTATTGTTCTGGAATAATCTAAAGACAGCAAGATACCTAGGCCAAGCACGTTCTAGTTTAACACAAACTGCCGGGACTGAGAAAGCGTGGGTGTGGGCCCACTCCCTCCATGAGCCCCAGGGGCCACTGGAGCAGCTTGAAAGTCAGAGGTACACTTCTGTAACAGTTTAGATTAAAAACAGCAGTGGCATTTTAAAACAAAGGACTAGCTCCCCCAGGTTATGCACTTGGTCCATGCATCGTACCTTTTTCCTTAGCTTTTTGATGGCTACCTCATTGTCTGGGGCCTGTTTCAGCACAGCTTTAATAGTTCCCTTCCAGTTGAATTTACCTGCAATATAAAGAATAATATGTAAGACCTTGTATTTTGTTGCACTATCAGAGGGAAAGAAGCGACTTCTGCAGCATCTATCTGCTTGCCGAGTGAAATGCCCACATCAACACTCCAGCACGGTGTGTCGGCGCCTGGCTGTCCACTTGTCGTGGCCTGGAGGCACTTCACCGTAAGTACCATCGCTGCAAATTCTGTAAAAAGACTGTGGTGTCTGATGAACCCATGATTTACTTAAACATCCACAAAGACCTGGACAGGGGTAGCAAGGACTCCAAAGGTTAGGAAAAGTAGCTTTGGATGTGAGAGGTCAGCCATTTACTACCCATGGTATTTACTACCCATGGGCTAGATGAAATCATCTAGGGAACTTCTACTTCTAGAAGATGTAGAAGCATTAAGTATGATGAATATCTTATATATAATGCTGATGAAAGAAATCAAAGAAGATTTAAATTAAATGAAAGGCACCCTGTGTTCATGGACTGGGGGATTCAACATAGTAAAGACACAAGTTTTCCCCAAATTGATATACAGATATAACACGATTCTTACGTGATTATAAAGGTTGTTTTGTAGATATAATTCACAAATATAAATTACTATAAAATAATTTGAAAAACAATAAAGTGGGAGGAATAAACTTACCCAATTTAGACTTCTGGAAGAGCTAAAGGAATTAAAAATGTGCAGTATGGGGAGGGCCAGATACACGTCAGCAAACCAGAGCAAGGACCTGGAAGAGACCTATGCAGACACCACCTGGGCTTTCCACAGACGTGCAGCAGCAGTTCGGGGAGACAGAGACTACCTTCCCCACAGGTATATGCCGCAAGACCGGACAGATGAATCTGGAACTAAGGCCCACGCCATATATAAAACTTAGCTCAAAATGGATCTTGGACTAGGTGTACAATATAAAGCTATAAAACTGTGCTTTTTTAGGAAAATATCTTTGGGCTCTAAGGCAAGGCAGAGTTCTCAGACCCGACACCAAGAGTATAACCTACAACCACTCTGCTGACTTTCCCAGTCCATGAACACGGGGTGCCTTTCATTTACTTTAATCTTTGATTTCTTTCATCAGCATTCTATATTCAGCATACAAGTCGTCATCTCCTCAGAAGAAGTTCCCTAGATCATTCTTCTAGCCCATGGGGTAGTAAATCAAATTTAAAAACTTTAGTTCTATAAATGATTTTGTTCATATAATGAAAAGACAAGCTAGAAATTGGGAAAAAAAAAAAAAAACAACACACCTTGTTAACCACCCCTCCCACAAAGGCGTAGTATCCAGAATATGTAGAGACCCTCAAATCTCAACAGCTTAAAAAAAAAAAAAAAGGCAGGCCAATGAGAAAATGGGCAGTGGCTAAGAGACATGTCCACAGAGGTGCTCAGACGGCAGGTAAGTAAATGGAAAGACAGTCGTCATCACTGGGGATTCCTAAGATAAAACCACCCTGAGCTGTCATTACACACCTATCAGAATGGCTGCAACGACAGAGTGACACCACCAGGCGCTGAACGAGGGGGGGGGGGGGGGGACTGGGCACAGAAAGCACTCCAGTCACCCCTAAAGAAGCCGGCCGTTTCCAAGAAAACGCCATCGGTAACTCCCATACCACACAACTGGCATATGCCCAACATGCACCCTGGGAAACAATGACGTCTGTGCACACAAAAGCCTGTGCATGGATATATGAGGCAGACTTATTCATAATGATCAGAAGCTGGACTAACGCAGAGGCCCTTCAACAGATGAGGCCAAGTAAACCGGGGTGCTCATGCAGCCTGGAGCCCTGCCTAGCAATAAAAAGTGAGTTCATCTGGATGGCTCGCCAGAGAACGATGCCAAGTGCATCTCAAAGGTTTACGTACTCAGGATGCCATTTGTGGAAGGTTCTGGAAGTACAAGATCACAGAGATGGAGACCAGCCCAGAGATGGCCACTGCAGAGAAGGGCTGGGGGAGCATGTCTACAACAGGGAGACAGGGAGGGCCTCGTGGGGATGGGAATGTCTGTCTCTGGCCACACTGACGTGAATGTCCACACAAAGGGGGACGTGTCCTCCTGCAGTTTTACAAGGAGTCACCCTGGGAGGAAACTGGGCATGGGACATGAGGATACCATGTCTGTACTGCTTCCTACGCCCATATGTGACTTTCCAAGGGCCTCAATACCAAACATGCAATTTAGTAAGAGCCTCCCATATACAAAGTTGGAGGTGCATTTCCAAGCTACAAGCTAACTGGATCAGTTACGAAACTCGTTAATAAGCCTCAACTTCCACTTGAGTGGAGTCCGTTGTGGAGGAGGCAGCATGGAGAGGAAGGTGACAGGGAGGCACTGGATAGCGACAAGTTCCAGGCAAGGAGACACAGGGTCAGAGCCAGGACGGGGCGGGCCTCCGTGATGTCCAGGAGAGAAGTGAGGTCAGGCTGCTCGGAGAACAGCCCAGAGATGGCCACAGCCGTACTGGGTCAATTTTAAATTCCAAAGATAATGTCTAATTCCAATCCTTTTGTTTAAGGCGCCACAGACAGTGGAAGGCCGACCCAGACCAGTCTCTTGCATTCCTTGAGCAGGGCGGGTCACAGCCTAGAAAACTGATTTTGATTTTTAAATCTGCCACATGCTCTGGAGGCCCCGGTTCACCCCCACCCCCCAACCCCCCTGGCCTAAAGAGACAGAGCAGGGCCTCCCTGGTGGCGCAAGGGGTTAAGATGCAACCTGTGAAGCTGTCTGCAGCCTCTTCAGCACGAGTTGGATCCCTGGCCAGCCAGGGAGATACCCACATGGCACGCAGACCTCTCCCGTCTCGCCTGCTGCTCCCCTCAGCAGTGTACTTCGATCAGTCTGCCTGTTCTGTTCCCTACTCTGTCTCTGGTGAATCCTCTCACCCCCCGCCACGCCTCTGGCCTGTACCCCAGCTCTTGCATGCATACATAAATAAATCTTAAAAAAGAAGACAGAGCAGCACTACCTTTTGCAGGAGCCTCATGGTTTTCTGGTTCTCCATCCTCACAAGGTCCTGGGAACTTTTTCTTCTTAGAGTCTGCTTCAACTAAGTAATTAGAAAAAAATTTTAAAGATTTTCCATCATGATGAGGTAGGCGTTTAATAAGAGCCACGTGTGGCCAGGCGTGTCCCATCGCCATGCTGCCCGTTCCCCACGCCACGGGGGCTGCTCCACGTCGGAGGACATGGGGACAGGGCAGCGAGTTCACTTGCCTGGACGGAGCCTGGTCGGCCCAGCCCCAGAACTACGCTCTTTGCCCTACTTGGCTCAAATGCAAAGTCTAACAGTTTTTGTATCCTCTAAATTCACCTGACGACGCTCAGCACGGCCGAGCCACATACCTTCCGAATGCTTGCGCTTCCTCTTCCCCGGCCGGGTCTTCGCCTCCTGCTCCTCGGCTCCTGCCCCCAGGGCCCTGTCTCCAGCCGCTGCCCCGTCCTCCGCTCGCTTGCCCTCACCCTTCTTCCTCTGGGTCTTCTTCTTGGCAGGCCCGGCGGCCTGGGGGGCATCCTCACCTCCGGCCTCCTGTCCCATTTTGCGCTTCTTAGGCTTTTGACTCTTGGAATTCTCTTGGTGGTTTTCTAATTTTAGCTCTTTCTTTTCTTTTTTCCGATTCTTCTGCCGTTCTTCTTTCCTCTCCCTCTTGTTCTTCGTCACCTCTGCTGGCTCTTCCTGCGCCTCACCGGCTCTGGCAGATGGGGCCCTGGCGGAGCTTTCTGCACAAGGACTGGCCACTCGGGGTGGTGGGCGCTCCTGCCCCTTATTACTAGCTGTTCCCTTGTCATTAAGCAAAACCAAGAAACACGTCAACATTCTCTCCGACACAGCGCACAAGCCTGTGTCACGGAGGAGCTGTTCCAAGGAGAAGGCCCTTACTATTTACCAATGGGTAAGAGTGACCCCCAGAACTAAAATGTGGCAGTAAGTATTCAAAATGGGGAAAAACTCCCCACACCCTTCTCTGCATTTAACATTTGGTTCCCCTGGAAAAGCAAAGAATGCTTTGTTGTCCCTTAAGACCAGAGCTGTACGCTGACTCTTGACTCCCTTAGCGTGGACCTGTGCATCCACGGGCCTGGGCTCCAGTTCCAGCCTGTTAGCTACCAGCCAGGCAACTCGGAAAGTTATTTATCTGCTCTGAACTTGTTTCCTCATCTATAAACGGAAGGTAGTAACACCCACTACGCACAGTTGATGTCCAGACAGAACGAGAAAAGAGCTGGCTTGTGAGTCAGGCAGTAGCCACCCAGCTTAGCAATCTCTCGGGCAACAATCTGGGGTGCGGGGCCGCCCTGAGCAGAAGGGTGGGGGACACCTGGAGGGGGTGGAAACACTGGGCAGGCGAGGTAACAGCACGGCCAGGCTAAGACCAACTCTTCACGCGCTGCACATGCCATAATTCTAGCTGGCACAGACCCCAGTCAGGACGACCAGCGCAGCTGTGTGGGGCGGCTGCTCCCCAACTATAACTCTGCTGCACAACCTGGACCAGCCCCTTCTCAAGAGACAGCGAGGAGCAATTTATCAAACTGCTGTGAGCCCGGATGCAGACCTGGGCCAAGTCCCATCGGTCAGTTACCAGGCAGGTGATTAGACAAGTCACCTTCCTCTTCCTCCTCTGGGCCGCGGGGTCCCGGAGGGAGCTGCGGTCCCCCTGGCTGGACTCACTCGAGTACTGCCACGGCCCCGCCTCGCCTGGACCGCACTGTCAACCCCAGGCTGATAAGCTGCATTTAGGCGATGAATGTTAAAGAAAACAGTGGGTGTTTTCTCAAGAGCCAAGAAAGTAACTAACCCAGGCGCAGGGGTAAGAAGGCAGAGGATGTGCTCAGAAAGACTCAGGAGGAAAACGGGCGCAGAAGCCTCCACACCGACCCTACAATCGTGTTCCTTGGAGGAAGGTACTTTTATAACCTGGTGCCATGGTCCTCAGCTACCTTCCAGGCAGCTCAGGCCGCCTCCCTGGCTGGTGCCTGGCCACCACCACCTTGAGAGTGGGGAGCAGGGACAGAGGGGAGACACACGGGCCCTGGCCTGGTGGCCACTCAACAAATTAGGGAATAAGTTCACGCCCCATCTTCTTTCTACTTCACCCCTGACTCCCCTTCAAGTGCTAGGCGACCCCTGAGGGAACAGACCACGCCCTGTGCAGTGCCCTCCTCCCGCCCGGCATATGCTGCCTCGTGCTTAGCGGCCTGAACCACACACGCTGTTTCCCCAGTGGGCACAGTTTTGCATGCAGGGCTCTGGCTGGCGACGGCTGCCCCAGTGACCGGGTAGGCTTTGTGCTGGGGGACAGAGCGTTAGGTGGAGGGGAGAGCCTGTCTGACCGCCAGCCCTGCGCAGTGAGGGGATGAGCATGCGGGCTCGGAAGGACAGGCCCTCGGAACCGTTAGCTCCACACCAAACACTAGGGGGTGCAGTGAAGGCCCCAGCCAAGCCGGCCAGTAACAGCCCCATTTTCGAGCTCAGTGTTGACCACCAGCTGTTGACTGGTTGTTTCATTTAATTCCTGATATATTCCAAAGTGAAACTGGAAAAAACTTGAAAAAAAGAAACCCTCTGCAGTTGAATTAAATAACTTCAAGTCTTTCTTCCTTAAAACAATGGAAACAACCTTTTAAAAAAAATAGGTGCTACACAAATGCCAACTGAATGAATTGTTTACAAGGTTGCATTTTCTTAGACAATGGCCAGATGCCCTGCCAAGAGGAAGCTTCACCTGTTCCTCACTCACTGCCAGTGCTACGCTCCTCAACAGAAAGGGGGTCGGCAGCCCACCCTCAAGGCTGCTCATCCAGGTATCCGGTGGCGCCGTGCAGCTGTCTTACCGGGACAGACTTGAAATCAACAATGAAACCATATGAAACCAACGGCCAGTTCTCAGACTAAGCCTCTCCACAGGTAGCCCGCACCTAGCCTGCACCTGGGGCCCTCGGGGTGAAACCACCTCAGTGAGGGGTGTTGGTGGGTGGTTTACTCCAGCGGAAGCCCCTCCACCACCAGGAAGGAGAAAACACATGGGAGTGCCTGCTCACCGCTGGGCATGAGGTGGGTCTGCTCTCCGGCTGCGACCCGGACCCCTCCTTAAAAGAACAGCCAGCACCTGTGTTCTCACCCGTTTATCTCCCTGCGTGCACTTGGATCACCTGAGACACCTGTACTTCTGCTCGGGCCTGGCCCAGGTCAGCACTCACTAATGTGAACAGCCACTTTTTTTTAAGATAAGAAAACTGAGGCTCAGAGAGGTTAAATAACGTGTCCCAGATCACACATCCGGCAAACAGCACAAGGGGGTTCACACCAGGTCTACTGGAGGCCCAAGGCTCCTGTCCTCGCCAAGGCGCCCCGCTGCTAGACTTTTAAAGTCACCTCCTGTTAGCTGTCCCACTATCAAACATTGGGATTAAATACCTTTCTTTGCACAATAAGGAAATCTTCGCTGCAGTGCATTCAGTTATTCCTTCCCATAAATGAAGCACATTGGCTCTCTGAAAAAGAAGGCTTGACCTTGACCTCCAAAAATAAGACATTCCCATTTCATTATTACTTAGTTTTGACATACTACAAATCTAAAATTAGATCTGACTTACATTGCTGGAGGCTTCGGAAAAGATATTCCACACCTGCTCCAGAACAAATTCATTATGAACTTTGAGACTGTTCTTCATCCAGTTCTGTAAGGACAGAAAGGGGGGGACAGCCCACTTACCCACCGGCAGCCACTCGCAGCCGGCAGTTCCCTCCAAACGGATGAGCCCGGGTTCCCTCCAAATCACATACATACCTGAAATTTGGCCTTTTTCCTGGGAACGTTGTCAAAACCACTAATTTGCTCTAAAAGTTCCCTCACTTTGGGGCTGACATTGGGTCTTTTTATTAATTCGTTAATTTTCTATAAAAAAAGGAAAGATAAAAAACAATAAGCAGCCAACACTGAGTCTCGCAGGAGCCAGCCCAGAGGGTGCTGCGTGGCTGCCGCCCACCCACACCAGGGCCATGCTGACGTCCAGGCCCTCACACTCAGCCCAGCGCTGGGCATCCCAGCTAACACAACTGGGCAAGAGAAAGAAAAGCGTCCATAGTGGAAAGGGAGTGCAAAAGGAGCTCTGGTCATAGATGGCAGGTCATGTAGCACCCTCGAGAGTCCACAGAAGGAGCCTCAGGGACCCGTGAACAAGCCAGCGGAGGCACAGGACACAAGATCACACTCAGAAGTTGCATTTTACACACTAACAGTGAGCAATCGGACGGGGAAGTCAAGAAAGTAATTCCATTTAAAATAGCATCAAAAGAATAAAATGATTAGAAATACGCTGACCCAGGAGGCAGACAACTGCGGGTCAACTGAGAAGACATGGTGGAAGGTGACCCAGCGGAAGGTCAGCCACCCCGTGGGCTGGAGACTTAAGGTTGTTAAGATGCAAAGCTACCCAGTCATTTGCAGATTCAAATAAAATATCAAAATCCAACTAATTTTTTCTCAGAAATGGAAAATTCCACCCAAACGTTCACATGGAATCTCAAGGGACACCAAATAGCTAGAATTATTTTGAGTAAGAACAAAGTTGGAAGGGTCACGCTTTCTGATTTCAAAGCTTACAGTCGACCGGGAGCTCGTGTGAGGGGGACAGTTTCTCCCGCTGCGGACGGGGGATGGCGAACCGCTCGTAGTGCCAGGGCAGGGAGAGGGAGGTCACCACTGGCCATGGAGAGGCAGCCCGGGGAGCCAGCAGGGCCCCAGAAAGAGCGGGCGCCACACAGAGGAGAGCAGAAGCAAAACAGGACATGACAACCCCCAAGGCCGTGAGAGCCGTCTCCCTGCCCCACCTGCCTTTCGGAGCCTTTCCTGCTGCCCTGTGAGTGGTGGATGACCCAGGCCTCTCTGAATTAGGGGTTATGCTGCTTTTGTCATTTTTATTATGTGTGTTTTCACTCATTTTAGCTAAGGACAAAATTCCTCCCCTCGTATTCATGAAAATGTCTTATTTTGCCCAATTCTGATGAGTGACAGACCTGGCGGGTGAACATGCTCTGAGTTATTAAAGTTGCATTAGCCCTGGACGCAGATCCAGATTAGAAATTTCCATTCATTTTTGCAGCCAAGGAAAAGCTAGTGAACATTCTCAAATATTGTTCCCACGAAATCACAAAACACGCTGATGGAAGACAAAGCACAGGCGCGTCTGCAGCAGGAGAGCTAGGAAGAGCGACTTTTCTAGGCTGAGCTGCTCAGCATCCAGGAGTCCCGGGTCTGGCCCGCGTGGATGATGCATTTATTCTTAGGCTTCCAACGAGAGCGGAAGATGAAGATGAAGCTACCGGATGAATTAGGAAGAACTTACCTGAAGCCACGCCTGCTGCTTAATGTCGCCTTTGTGGGTTTTCCCTTCATAACCTTTGCCACCGTACTTCTGGTCCTCACTGATGCATTTCACGTGCTGCTTATAGTCGTCCCCCCTGGAAAGGGTGAAAAGGGCCTACCATTAGTGGTTTCTCCATTGCAGGCTCTGTCTAATCCTCGCTTGCTGCTCCCGCAGGGCTCCGCGGGAGCACCCCGCCATGCCATTCCTAGGCTTCTCCCCACGTGCTCACTCTCCCCCTCCTCCAAATTGTTCAATACAAAATCCACACAACATTCACCCCGTTCCCATTTGCAAATGTATTCAACCCAACTGACAGACAGTTGCCTTTTTTTTTAAAGTCCTAAGCGAATATATACCGAATAAAAAAGAAAGTAATTCCTGCAACGGGGTGACTTCAACTTAATTTGTAAGATCTGTATGATTTCCTAGTGAAATAACTGGCATCAATAATTAGCTGTAGAGTAACTTAAAACCTGATAGAAGATGATGGTACTGTCAGGTCACTGAAAAGTTCTGGATCTCAAAGTCTTGGGAAAAAAAAAAGTCAGTTCTAATACAATCTTTTTGAAACTCTGTGTGGGACAAAGGCAGGGGCAAAGTCCCCAGGCAGAAACAAACTGATTTTCACCTGTCTTACAGGTCCAGCCTCCGCCCAGGGTCAGGTATGAACAAAGACTTTTCAGCTGTTGTCTTTTTGTTTTTTTAAAGATTTATTTATGCATACAAGAGCTGGGGTGTAGGCCAGAGGTTCGTGGGGTGAGAGGACTCCCCAGAGACAGAGTAGGGAGCAGAACAGGCAGATCCACTGAAATCCACTGCTGAGGGGAGCAGCGGGGAGACAGGAGAGGGCTGCTGCGCCATGAGGGTAGCTCCCTGGCTGGGGATTGAACTCAGGCTGCAGTGGCTGGTGATAGCTTGATAGCGCTGAGACTTAACCCCTGCGTCACTAGGGAGGTCCCAGCTGTTGTCTTTTTGTTTTGTTAAATATCATTGCTCTCAAATGAATTAAAACTGTAAGCAAATATACAAATGCACTGAGGACGTGAGGCAGAACCCTCTGGAGCTGGGGGAAGTCAGCAGAAGTACTGGCCACCTGCATTCAGGAGACCCACCTTAGGAAACAGTGGGTGAGCAAATCAGGGTCTCTGCTGCCCCGGGCCCCCTAGATCCCCCTTTCCAGAAACCCCTCGAGAAGAAGTGTCTGACACACTTGGGGACGAGGAGCTGCACTCCCATTATCACCGCCCATTTTCCCAGGCAGGCCCAGCCTCTTCTACCAGACACAAATGAGCACATTCCTCTCGGCCTGCCAGCCCACCTCCAGTGCCGTCAGCACACCAGACGTGGGTCTGGCCTTGGTCTGTGTGGTCCCCTCCTCCCAGGGTCTGGCTGTGATGCCAACGAGCGCCCCAACTGATCAGATGTTCTAAACGCCACCATCCCTCAACCACCCTTGGAAAGCAAGCATCTTTGGAAAACACAACTAACTTTTCTCATCACTTCTTTCCTGAAGTTCACCTCTATTTTTTTTTTTTTAAAGATTTATTTCTTTATGCATACAAGAACTGGGGTACAGGCCAGAGGTGTCGAGGGTGAGAGGATTCACCAAGACAGAGCAGGGAGCAGAACAGGTAGACTGACTGAAAACACTGCTGAGGGAAGCAGCAGGCGAGACAGAAGAAGTCTGCTACGCCATGTGACTATCTCCCTGGCCAGCCGGGTATTGAACTTGTGCTGCAAGGGCAGCAATAGCTTCATAGTGCTGTGCTTAACCCCTTGCGCCACCAGGGAGGCCCTCACCTCTATTTTTAAAAGCTTTTCTGAAACTGGTATGGACCTTAACTATGGACCTACAAGAATTACATGGAACTGGGCCTCCCTGGTCGCGCAAGGGGTTAAACACCACACTATGAAGCTATCAGCAGCCACTGCAGCACGAGTTCAATCCCCAGCCAGGGAGCTGACCCACATGGCGAAGCCAACTTCTCCTGGCTCACCCACTGCCCTCCTCAGCAGTGTATTTCAGTCAGTCTGCCTGTTCTGTTCCCCACTCTGTTTCTGGTGAATCCTCACCCCCCACCCCCCAACCCCCACCCCCACATGCTGGCCTGTACCCCAGCTCTTGCATGCATGAATACATAAATCTTAAAAAAAAAAAAAAAAAGATGTGGAACTTACCAGAAATCTTTACCGCAGTCAATACAAGAAAGGCATTCACAGTTTCGGCAAACAGACACATGCTTTTCCACTTGTATTTTCTTCACCGATTCACCACACGCGTTGCATGTAAAAAATACCATTTTTAGCTAAAAGTTTTGTCTCGTTCCAAGATTGGTTTTAAGTCTTATCCTAAAAAAAATTAAAAAGAAAGGAAAAATAGGTAATTGTCATTGTAATCTGAAATTTCTGGCCCTAATAAGTGACTCACGCAGTAAGTTTTCAGTCAATTTCACACGAAAACTACAAGCCTAGAACCGAAGCCAGCTCCATTACCCCAGCTCTGGCAAGTAACAATGGCTGACACTGTCGGAGTGTGAGTGGACCACAGCCCAGCCCCAACCTGGAGCCACAAGCACGGCTGTGTGGGTGGGCAGCCACCATCCCAGCCCCTCGTCTGGTATCTGCAAATACGTGTGACTTGTCCCAGGGTGCTGGCCTCCCAGGGACGAGGACCCAGCTCCCACCAAGCCCAGCGCTCTCCCCAGGACAACAGATGTCCAACTGATGGCAGCAACAGCCGGAGCGGCCAGGAGACCTCACGGAGGAAACAAAGGCTGGAAAAAGAGCAAGATTATCAACTATTTATCAAAGAACAGTCTGTAAGGAGCACTTTTGCATAAGAACAGGAGAATCATTAAGTGGCTGCGGGATCTGCTGCAAAATGAAGAAAGGCTCGGCAGTGAAAAATGCCCCTCAACTGGAGCGATGGCCCAGCGCTCTCTGACCTTCCCGGCTGTCTATTCTGTTTCTTGACCGAGGGGAAGAGAGAGGGGAGAGGAGGAAGGTTCAGGAAGCTCTGAGATCCAAGTGAGAGACTCAGCCCATCTCGGAGGGTGAAGAATTAAAGGAGAAGGAAGAGAGAAGCAAAATTGACTAAGAAATGACTTGACAAAGCAGATGCTGGAACTATCTGTGCAAAACATGCTACTCTCAGGGGATTCCCCAAGCACAGCGCAAACATGGGCCCAGGGGGGGTTAGAATGTGGTCACATGTCCATGGAAAAACTCCTCCCTAATCACTGTCATTTGCTCTTTTGTGGCCAGTGTTCACGTTCAGAAATGTGTTAGCTTTTCTTTGCAAGGCAGGAGAAGGCAGTCTCTGGACACCTTCCTGGGGTTCTGGGACCCCGCGTCTGCCTCCCACCCTGGATCTGAGGGGACCATGTGGCCGCCTGCGCGCTAATGAGATAAGCTATAAAAGCTTGCCCTTCCCTCCAGAGCTGGAGGACGCCCAGGACCCTGAACACATCCCTGGAGCAACACCTTTTGTTTATGCACTGAATCTAGTGGTTGCATCTATTGGCGGGGGGGGGGGGGGGGGGGCTGAAAATAACAGCAAGCTCAAAGTCATCCCAACTGCCAGCAGGCATGGCACAGGCCCCAAGGCCTAGCACAGCTGGATAATTTTCAAAGTGCAGATGCTCCTGCCGTATGGACATGTGTTGTCCCTCCGCCAGAAAAGAGCGAGCATTGCCTGAATGATCAGACTTACTCAGATTTCACCAGACTAAATCAGCGTGAAAAAACTTAGCGATGTTGGAAGATTTCTAATATGTATACTTTGGAAACTAGGAGAGCTAAAAATCAGCTCCATTAGGCTTTTGGGGTACCCTGTTTCAACTTTTAGCACTAAGTGCAAAAAGACAGAATTCTTTACAGGGCTGAAGCTAAATACGAGTCCCCTTTTTCTTTCTTAGGTCCCCACTGTGTGTCACGGGCCTGTCCCCATATAACCAGAGATTCTGGGAGCTCCTCCTCCCAGAGGGGTGGGCATGTGGAGAGAGCGAGGAGAAAGTCATGTCTGTGGCCTCGCTGAGAGCACCCTCACGTGCTGCTAAGTCACTGGGGTTCATTCACCCTGCTGACATTTACCTGGGTGTGCATCCTCCCCTGAGCAGACCGGCTCCCCCTTTGAGAGGCTGCAGCTATCTATTTGGCAGTCTGGCCAATTTACTGAGCTTTCATCACATGCTACAAGCCAAGAAAAAGATGAAAGAAGCCCACATCATTAGGTCTCTCCCAAAGGCATTCACTTTTGTGGTCACAACGGCACCCAACACCTCCAGAGCAGGCCCTCTCACACCACCACGGCCTTTGGGAGAAAGTGAGCTGCAGAGAGAGCAGGAGATACACCTGAGGCACAGTGACCGGCAGGGGCAGCCTGTGGCCCAGTGACAAGCCCAAACTCCTGCCCAGCCCCTCCAACCTGGCGTTTCCTGCCCTCCCCTGGTGTGTAAGGATCTGTGGAAGTCTACCACGCGCCAGGCACCACACCAGGCACTGGGAGGCTGGGGCAATCCGTGAGCACGTCCCAAGTGGGCCTTCTCTGCAGGGAAGACAGCCTCCGAGTACTACCCCACCTTCTTCCACACCAGCCTGCTGAGTCCATGCTGAGGAAAACCTTGACATTTACGGAGCACCGACCACGTGCCAGCCCTGTCCCTGGCGGCACACACGTGTGTGCCCCCGCAGTCCTCACAGCAGCCCTCTGAACGGGGTGCTGCACTCGCCCTATTGACAGACGGGGAAACTGAGGCACGGAGCGGCCCCACGTGCAGGGACGGCAAACCCGGGCTCCCACGCAGTCCCTGCGGCCCGAGCTGTCAGCCACGACGCCCGCAGCCCCCCAGACGCCAGGAGACCCGCGGCCAGCCTCAAGCCCGGCCGGCGGGCCCCCCGGGACGAGGGCTCCGGCGCGAGGGCCGCCCCCCAGGGGCCGGGAGGGGTGCGCCGCCCCAAGCGGACCCCTCGCGCCCCGGAGCACGGCCGGGGCCGCGCCGGCGGGGGCTCCCACGGGGCCGTGCGGGCGTCGGCACACGCCCCGCCCGCTCTCGCCGCCGCCCCTCACCTCTCGGCCGGCGCCGCCAACGGCCTCAACCCGCCGCGGGGCGCACGTGGACTCCGGCCGCCGCTCCGCGCCCAGCCGCCTCCCCGCGCGGCCGGCAGCCCCCGCCCCCGCCCGCCCGCCCGCCCCGCGCCGCGCCTGCGCCTGCGCCTGCGCCTGCGCGCCCCGCCCGCCCCCGCGCCTGCGCGCCCCGCCCGCCGCGCGCGGAAGTGACGTCGCCGGACGGGGCGGGGCGGGGCCGGGCGGCAGCGCGGGGGCGGCGGCGCGGCGGGCGGCCTCCGAGGTGAGAGGGCCGCGGGCCGGACGCCGGGCTCGCGAGGGCGCCGCGGCCTGGGCGGGAGCGGCCGTCGGGGCCGAGCGGTCGGGGCCCGGGGCCGGCCTCACCCCGCCCCGCAGGCCCGGCCGCTGCGCCGCGGGAGGGGCGCTCCGAGGGGCCCGGGCCGACCGCGCCCCGCGGCGGGGGCCCTGGAGGCGGCGGGGGGCCCCGGGACCGCCGGGCCGGGTTTGGGGGGGCCGAGCACCCTCGTCTCCCCGCGTGCCGGGGCTGGACGTCCCGGGCGCGGCGGCCGCAGCGCCCCCGGCCGTGTCCGCACGGCCCCCCCGCGCCGCGCGGCTCCCGTGTGCCGAGCGCCCCCTCTCAGGACGCGGCGCGGCGAGAGGACCTGCCGGCGCAACCTCGCTTCACCCGGTTACCCCTTCTTAAAGCCCGAGCTCCGGAGGCCGCCGCGCCCTGAGGTGTTGGGGGTCCAGAGCTTCAACATGCGGCTCGGGGCGCGGGGAGCACAGCGCGGCTCGCCGCGGCAGGAGCAGCTGGAACGGACGCGGAGGGGCTGTCTCCGGCCGCTGAGGAGCGGGGGGTCGTGCGGGCGCACCCCCTGCCCGAGGCCACTTCGCCGCCCACTTTTTAAAAACTTCGGTCCGCCTGGACCTCGGATGGAGCGCTCTTTGACCAGCTTTCTTTCAGCCTGGGTGTCACCTCGGGGGAGTTTTCTCCTGCGCGGAGACGCCTAGGACGCGCCCCGAAGGCGCAGTGACTGTATCCGAGCTGCCTGCCCGGCCCTGGGGCCCGGCCTAGTCGCGGCCGCTTGTAAGTCCCGTGCACGAGGGAAACCCGAGTCCCAGCGGCAGAGAGCAGGACCCTGGTCTCCTTCAGCGCCTCCACCCTCAGGAGCGGCTGGTGCAGGACACACTCGTGGCGGATAACATAGCATCAAAGTGAAGGCTTCAGGGTTTAGGACACAGGATAGAAATCGCGGCTTTGCAACATAACTTGCGTCACCTTGGGCAAGTTATACTCCCCATTTTCTTCATTTCCTCACTTGTAAAATTTTGATAATAGGGTTGAAACAGTTGAACAAACAGATTATAGTAAGCTCCCTACTGTGCCCACCCAGCCTGTCTTAAGTAATCAATGTTAGCTAGTAATAATAAACCAAGGATCCTTTTCTTTCCAGGCACCCAATGGGACCAGGGTAGTAGCTGATTATTCAGTCTTTGGCTGTTCAGTACCTTGAGGATTCCACTTGGGATGTCCCCGCCTTCTGTATTCCCCTTTAGGGCAGTATCACCCCTCCTGTGGCTTTTCAGTGTTGAGCTTTATAATTGGCACGACCTCTAGTAATGGCTTTTTCTTAACCCACCCTGATCTCAAACCAGGAGATCAGGCCAATATACCAGATTCTACATGTGAGATGCTAAGCTTTCCATAAAGAAGAGGGGTGGGGACAAAAAAGGGTGTGGAGCTGGGGTGAGGTGATGGGGAATGAATTGGAGATCTGGAAATGGTGGTTGAAAAGCTAAAGTTTCAAATTTAGGACTTGTCTGCTAGGAACAGCTGAAGACCATGTGATGCAGTTGCAGGAAGTTCTGTTGGACAGCCTTGGTCTAGATCCTCAAGGAATGGTTTATTTTAACTGTTACTTCAACAGGGAGTCATGACAGTGACTTGGGGGTCAATCAGTGGGTTTTGGTGCCTTTAGTCACTATTTTGCCCATGGACTTTGTCGTAGGTCTCCTGCATGGTTGAGCATGGACTCCACTGCTGCTCACAGCCGCCATCTGCTCCAGCAGCTGCAGGAGCAGCGCATTCAGGGCCTGCTTTGCGACTGCATGCTGGTGGTGAAAGGAGTCTGCTTTAAAGCACACAAGAATGTTCTAGCAGCATTCAGTCAGTATTTTCGGTATGTATTTTAGACTTTGTTTTTCTAATTGTACGGTTAAAAAGCTCTTCTGGCATGGAAATACTTTGTCTACTTTTTTTTTCTCGGATTTCACTGATTGTGATTTTGCACTTTTGTATTTAAAGAAACCTGAAAGGAAAACCACCTTTTAACTGAAATGTATTTGATGATTGAAAGTATTTTGAGGTCTTTGATTTTAATAATTTTAATTAATGTCGGTCCTCTCTATGTGACTTGTAATCTTCAATTGAGGACTAGTTCCTAATAAGAATTTTTCTGAGATAAGACATCAACAGCCCATATACTTGGTTGTTTTTAATATTTTAACATGTTTTAAGAATGTTTTGGATTTTGTTTCTCATTTTAATATCCTAAAAAACAGGTTGAACTCAATTTCATTTAAGTATTCTATGTAAATTTTTTTGATTAACTGAGATTTATCTCCCTTGAAGCACTAAAGCTCCTTTTTTAATACCTCCCTCCTCTGAAATGCAAACCATTTTACAGGGTTTCCTCCAGTAGTTAAGTTTAAAAATTGAATATATCAAGGGTTGGTATATTATAGCTATTTTTATTCACATTTTTGGAAATGTTTTGTATGCATGAGGTACACAGTTGTCAGACTAAACATGAAATATTGACAGATGTGTTTCCTTTATTTTCCTATACTCTGTGTGCAAGTTATAGTACATATGGAGAATTGCAGTTTGGAAAAAGATCAAGTAATGAGTATATTTCATAATTATACTTCGAGATTTATTTGAAATGTTGGATATTGATCATATTAATATAACTTCTTGGAATTGCTTTATTGGCTGCCTTGCCAAAGTATTGTAAAGACTGAAAACATGACTTTATTTTGTTTGCTTGTTTTAATTAATTGATTTTTTTATTAATTTTTTTCTTACATCATTGAAGTCCCCACAGTTCTCCCGCCATCTTATGACCCGTGAACTATCACCCGTGTCCCCTTATGTGCTTCCCTCCCATGTTTTGCCTTCCCCTTTGACCCCCTCCTTGGCTGTGTGCCTGAGTTCTGGGATCAGCTTGCTAGTCTTAGCTTTTTCGTGGCCTTTCATCAGGTTTCTCTATAGTCTACCTATAAGTGAGACCATCTGTATTTATCCTTTCCTTCTGACTAATTTCGGCCAGCATAATCACGTCCAGCTCCATCCATGTTGACACAAGTGACATGAGTTTGTCTTTTTGATCACTGTATAACTGAATTTTAAAGTCTTGGCATTTATAGGCAGGTAGTAATTTTTAATATAACATGAATTCTAGTTATAAGAAAAAGTTATCAGAAGATGAATTGTTAACACTGAACAGATATCCTTTCTCTTCTTAGGAGCCTCTTTCAGAATTCTCCGGGCCAAAAGAATGATGTTTTCCACTTGGATATTAAAAATGTAAGCGGCATTGGGCAGATCCTGGACTTCATGTACACTTCTCATCTAGATCTTAACCAGGACAATGTACAAGTAATGCTGGACATAGCCCAGTGTTTGCAAGTTCAAAATGTTCTGAGTCTGTGTCATACATTTTTAAAATCAACCAGTATAGACCTGCCACCTGGCATTCCATGCAATAGTACATTCCCCCTGCAAAGCGCTTTGACTCCTGATGCTAATTGTGTTGTAAATGAAAACTACCCTCATCTCCTGCAGGAGTGCTCAGCAGACGTTCAGCAGAGCAAGGTTTTGGACACATCCCATCCTCATGCTCCCCCATCAGTTAATCTTCATCATTCTCCAGGCGAAACATCCAAACAAGCCCCTGAGGCTTTAGATGGCAGCAGTGCAGAACTGCCTTTCAGACAGCCCAATTACTACTACAAACTCAGGAACTTCTATAGTAAGCAGTACTATAAACAAGTCACCTGTCCTGGTCACGAGAGGGTAATGGAGCAGCCCTTCACTTTCAGCACATCCACTGACCTCAGTGCTGTGGAAAACCAGCCCGGTGCTGTCAGTCATTCCGAATGTGTCCTGGAGTCTGCTGAGCACCTGCCTTCCAACTTCCTGGCCCAGCCTTTGAGCGAGTCGGCCCCAGACCCCGAGTCAGACAGCACATGTCAACAGCCCACCAAGCAGATGAGGCTCAAAAAGGCTATTCACCTGAAGAAACTCAATTTCCTAAAGTTACAGAAATCTGCAGAGCAGACATCTGACCCCAAATCAGATGACAGACTGGCGAAGACAGTAGGCTCTGCTGGTGAAAGTGCCGTGGAGAAAGCTAGGGGCCAAAGTGCTGAAGAAAAAGAGAGTGAAGAACTCGCCAGTTCTGAGAACTTTCATTGCACTGACGAGCTAGAGCGGCCCGAAGACCCTGCAGCCCTGGAAGAGCAGTCTCAGGCTCTTCACTCCCAGAGGCAGTACACGTGTGAATTGTGCGGGAAGCCTTTTAAACACCCAAGCAATTTGGAGCTTCACAGACGTTCTCATACAGGTACACTGATTCAGTCCCGCAGGCTCCAGGAGAGGAAGTCATGCAGATGACCAGACACCACTGCCTGCTCCTGTCTTTGTAAGAAGTTTTGCTATTGCTTGGCGATGTTACCGACATCTACCAGAAAAGTCATGTAATCTTAGCTGCTTTTTATGTTTTTGGTGACACCTTTTAAAGAATTATCTTAAAGTTGTGGTTTTTATCTTAATTAGCGTATTATCTGATAAACCATTCCTCTCTAAAGAAATACGGTAATTATTTTGATGCATTCAGAATTTCATATTCTAAAAAATATGAGCAATCTTTAGTTATCTGATTGGAATTAAATTTAACTTTTTAAAGCATAAGGTAAGCTAATTCACACTAGAAAAACTAGTGTTAATTTTTAAAAGTTTTCTTGGAAGCAATTTGAACATCACTTTTTTTTTTTTTTTTTTTTTTTTAAAGATTTATTTATTTATTTATTTATACACGCACTGGGCACAGTCAGAAGCGCGGGAGGGTGAGAGAATTCACCAGAGCCAGAGCGGGGAGCAGAGCAGGCAGAAGGACCAAAGTACACTGCTGAGGGGAGCAGCGGGCGGCAGGAGAGGTCTGCGCGCCATGTGGGATCCTCCTCTAGTGGCCAGGGAGCAGCTGGGGATCGAACCAGCACCGCAGAGGCCGCGGGCAGCTTCGCAACCCAGCGCTCAATCGCTGTGCCACCGGGGAGGCCCAACATCACATTTTTTTAAATTGTGATTTGGGAGACAGGAGGTAAACTTTTTAGTAAGTTTTAACCATTTAAATCAGCTTTACTCAATATTTTCAAATGAAGATCATTATCATTCCATTTCATACTTTGATTTTTCAGTTTTACTACCGTATATCACGCCTCCACTTTCTAAAAAGTTTACTTTTTCTAAAAGTTTCTTATACAGATGTATTGTTATATAATATATATAATATTACTTTCCTATAATTAAATACAATAACTTTAGTACGCATTATAAGTAAGTGGCTACCTGATGGGCGTGAGAGGTAACATATGCAGGCTGCCTTCCTAGTAGCTGCTGTGCAGGTGCTCACGAGGCCACGTGGCTCGTGTGGTGTTCTGTCACCTTGCAGTCCCCATTTGCTTAGTGTTTACTACCTTATTGTGTTGTTGGGATACTTTGTAACATTTGTGAAAGTCCTTTAATGTACTGGAATATAAAGTACTGTTGTGATTATTACCACTAGTGGTTCAGAACTACTCTATAGGGAGGCAGTATGGCTCAATTTTGTCCTGAAGAAATAATTTAGCTCATTCTATTTGCTTAAATTTCCTAGAGCCTAGTGATCATTGTAATTTTTATTGAAAGACTTATCTGCTTATTTTATGGAAAGCCAAACTTAAATTGTTTATTCTGAGAGCACATCTTTGAATGACTATTATCGTCACTATGGCAAAGATTTTTATTGGGGCATAAATACACTAATTGAGCCCCCACACCCCATCCTCTGTTTTGATTTCCATAGTTTCAGTTACCTGAGGTCAAATATAGTCCAAAAATATGTACAATAAGGTACTTTGAGGGAAAGATCAAATTCACATAACTTTTATCATAGTATATTGTTGTATTTGTTTTATTATTAGTTGTTGTTAATCTCTTTCTCTACCTAATTTATAAACTAAAGTTTATCATAGAGCTGTCTATAGAAAAAAGCCAGTTTCCATAGGGTTTGATACTGTCTGTGATTGCAGGCATCCCTTGGGGTCTTAGACCATAGCCCATCGGATGAGGGGGGATGCTTGTTCGCAATCAAGAAGGGCAGTAGTTTTCAAAGTAAGACCTGGCGACTCTTTCTAGGGGTCAGCGAGGCCGAAACTGTTTCTGTCATAGCATGAGGTGTTATCTGCCATTTCCTTCCCCTAGAAGTGTACAGTGGGATGGCCAAAGGCCTCGGTGTGCTGCGAAGGCAGGCCCTCACTCTGCAGGCCAATGCAGGGCCCTTCACCTGTGTCAGAAATCACTCCCCTTTCCAGTCTGGTCTAGACCTGCAAATGTAGCCCACGTAAACCAAAGCACCTTTTTTTCAGTTACTAAGATTGCAGAGGGGTCCTGAGAGCAGAGCGTTCCAGGATAGGAGTAGGGTTGAGCCTTGGAAACTGGTCACCTCTCATATCTAATAGCAGGCACCTACACTGAGTATTGTGCATCATCCCCATAGCTTCAGAGATAAATGCCGTCCTAGGATGCGGAATTAACAGGATTATAATTGCTCAGGGTCATATAAGCTCCCTCACCTTGAGGAAGCCATTAAATTGTTTCAGGAAATACCAAAATTAAAACGTGTCCATGTTTTTATGGGCTGAAGCCCAGAAAGCTAGCCAGCCCGGATATATTGTAAGAAAGGAAGTGTTTTTTAGAGAGGGACTTAATGAAACCTAATTTGAGGGGAAAGGGAAAAGGGAAGGTTTTAATCTTCAAAGTCTGTTAGAATTTGTATAGATCACAGGCACCACCTTGGCGTATGTTTTCAAACAGATCACTTTCTGGAGACTGTAGTCAGGTCTGCAGTCTCTTTGTAGTTGAGTATCATTTTTTGCATCTGTCTATACCAGATGCGGTTCTCAGAGTTGTTCAGCCAGAGATGAAGTGGTCAGGGGTCACGTCTCCCGCAGTGAGATTTTGTTTCTCAGTGTGTTTTCCCCTGGGCTGAAGGACGGGACGGGGGGGCCCTGCCGGCGCTCTCCGGAGCCCCCACCTGTGTGATGGGAACGAGCCGCTTGCTCTGCCGCAGCCGGGCGGTGAGACGAGGAGCCGGGCTGCTCGGCGAGAAAACGAGCCTTGATCTCCACCTGAAGGGAAGGGCCGTGCCTGCCGTGGGGTGGGTTCAGTGCCCGTAAATGTTGGTTTCGACGCAGGCTTATGTTTGGGGACAATTTCATTGTTCAGAGAAAAGTAAATGTAGATTTCACTTTTATCATCCCTGCTTATCATCTAAGGGGGAGAGAGCTAAGTCTAAGGAGTAGAGACTCTCCACTGTCAGCCCCCGCAGAAGGAAGCCAGGCTCTCTTCTGAAAGGTAGGACACAGGAGAGAGTCTAGACGTTTTAAACTGAAGACTGTTGTGCAAATATGACTAATGATTTTACAAGTTGTTATTTTGTTTTGTTTTAGGTGAGAAACCTTTTGAATGTAACATTTGTGGGAAACATTTCTCTCAGGTGGGAATACTCTTATTCACTGTTAATAATTGCAGACCTGAAACCTAGTGCTTGTGTTTATTGCAATTAAGACATACTTTGGGACTTGGGAGAGGAGCCCCGGATGATATCTGTAGCTTAAAAGACTTGAGACTAAATCAGGAGAACATGTTCGCAAAAACCAATTCCTGGTTCATGGCGGGGGGGCCGGAGGGGGTAAGCATTTTTCACAGCCGTGTGACTCACTCGGTGCCCTTTCCCCAGTGCTCGTCTGTTTCTGCTCTCCCGTGAGCCTCTGGCGGACCCTCCGCGCGCACCCGGAGGCTGCAGCCGCTCTGGGCCGAGCCAGGACCGGCGCCTTCTCACTGCGGCGGGGCTGTCGGTGGGCGGGCGTGGAAGCACCGCTGGTCACTCCCGGCTTTTGTGCCTCTGAGACGTGCTGATGGGCTCGCTGGCTGCTGTTCACTGTTCCCTCCTGGGGGCTGTGCCCATGTGGGCTCTAGGCATGGACTAGAGATTTCAAGTTTCAGAGAGAACTGGGGAGGCAGCAGAATGACTTTTGGGAGCTGCCTCTCCTTTGAAATGAAGGTGACCGTTGGTTACCACGTGCCAGGACTGGCCTGCAGAGTAACTAGGAGGGCAGCTGGGCATGTAGGGAGGAAGCAGCGAGTCAAGTGTTGGCACACCAGATTGGGCCTGTAGCAGAGTGTGCAGACTCTGCGTCCCTGAGGAAAGGGCTTGTGGGCCTGCCTTGATGGTGGAGTAGAAGCCTCTAGGCGGGTAAGTTTCCAGCCCCGGGAGCCCACGAGCTGCACCCTCTCCTCACTCCACAGAGCCAGCTTCTCAGTTCCCCTCCATCGGTTGCCGACACACCCAAATCTGCAACCTTAGTTACCTTTCTCTCCCCACTCCCTGTGCACAGGGATGCTCCAGGTCCTGGTACCTTCCCTCGTGTCCTCAGTGCAGGCAGGACCAAATATTTATTGAGCATTCTGGATGCTCATATGCTCTGATAGCTGAACAGTGATTTCCTCTACCTGCCACCCTGGTGGAGGCCCTGGATTCTCACACCAGCCTCCCCCGTGGGGCAGAACTTGGGCAGGCGCTCATCGGCACACGAATCTTACCCCTGGCATACTTACGCTGTGACCTTGGGCGAGCTCCCTGACCTTTCGGTACATTCAGTTTCCTTATCTGTAAAAGAAGGGAAATGAGATAAGACACCCCAATAATGTGGGAGGAATAAGTTACATAAGACATTCCGCTAGCGTGGGAGGAATAAATTGTTAGGGCTGAGTGCTGAGAACCTTGCCTGGTGCACAGTTAGCACTCAGGAAACACTATTTGCTGTTCTATTACCAACACCCATTTCCTCATCTCCTGAGTCCTCTCTGCTCTTGCAGAGTTTTCCTCGGGCGCCCCAGCCTTGTTCATCTTACTGGCTTTGGTGTCGTGGGAAAACCAGGCCTGGATTAATAAGTACATCGATTCACAATAGTCATTTCTCTGTGCCTGATCATTGTAACTCCTAAATCCGGGATACTCCTCCTTCAGTGGAAATATTCAGAGGGTTAAATGAAAACATGGACTTGAAAACTTGTGGTAACAGTGAAGTTCTGTCCTTTTGCTCGCAACCCTTCCACAGCTCTCAGTGGCGTCCACATCAAGTACCCAGTTGAGCCTCTCAGTCTGCCTTCCGCCTGCGCCCCTCCGAAATGCTGCTGCTCTCGGTCCGGGGTGGGGCTCAGGTGCTGGTATTTTTTACTACGACGATGTTGCAGGGTGGTCCTGTCCCCGCTCCAGCCCTTGCTCTGCACACTCCTTCCCCAGCCCACCGTGGGCAGCCCTGCCCGACACCACAGAAATCCTCCTCTTCGACGCTGGTGTTTGTATTTGTTGGATTTCTGTGACTGGAAAGTGGGTGGTTGCTAGTTGCACACTGCTGTCGTATTTCATAGTGAAGTGATATTTTGTGAACATGGACTGTTAAACTTCATTACGCTGGTTTAAAACTTCACTCGGCATTTGTTGCAAGTGGGCTGTATTCAAGGCCTCTGCCGTGGGGCGGAGGGGCTTATTTCTTAGACTTTGAGAAGTTTGTTGTTTCAAGCAGTAAAGCGCTGTGATGGAAATCAGTCTGGGGGGCAGCGTGGGCAAGGAAAGGGGGCACCATTTCCACCCGAAAGATGTGGTGTTTTGGGGGAGGTCCTAGCGTGTGTTGAGATAGTTTAGGGGGGGTCCTGCAGACCATTTGGCACCTGATAAGCCTAGAAGTGTCTGGCATTGTAGGTCACAGAGCAGTGTGCTGTTTCCCTGGCGATACTTCCTTAAGTAATGCTCACTAAGACCTTCATTTCGTCTGCAGTGTAATGGCCTGGACTCCGTGTTGTGGTTCCCTGGGTCCGCCGGCTCCCCTGCAGTGAGAGTGAGCTTCAGTGCAAGTGGGCCTATAAATATTTTCCTTCCTGGAAGTGTCCAAAGTCAGGACGTGTTTACCAGTAAGAGTTCATCTTTTAAACTGTATTATACTCAGTTTAGCAGGGTAACCACGGCCTGCATGAGGTCAACAGACAGTCCTAGACTGTGACAACAGAATATGCATCTTTTAATACAGCGCTGGGCGTGGTGTGTGCCCAGAGCGCAGGACGTCAGCTTCAGCCGTGTCTAGAGGAATTAGTGTCTGGAGGTCTCCTATGGGGACGAGAAGTTGGACATTGGTGCAGCCCCAGGAGAAACCAGGTAGCGATGGGTCCAGAAAATAGGAGAAGGAAGACTTGGTGCGTGTGGTTGTGTTTGGAGGGGATAGGGTGGTTTAGTCTTTCCTCGGGCAGAAACAGAAACAGTAACAGCTGGTGAGAGAGGCTGTGGAGAGGCAGGGTGTCCCCCGGCACTGCTGTCCAGGGCACGGGAATTGCGGGACACTCGCTTTGCAGGGCTGCTGAGGGACGTGCGTCGGGGCACTGGCGCCGGGTCTCATCCCGTCCGTGGTGAAAATACCAAAATACAAAATAGCAAAGGAAGACTAATTTAACGGACTGCTCCTAAGTTATTAAGTCTTCAACTCTGCGATGACACTTCAGTGCGCTCAGTGTGGAATGTCCCTTTGCCAGGGTGGTGACGTGGCTTTTGTAGCTGACGTCTCTTACTTTTCCTTTTAAAGCCTTAAAGCCTTAAAACTCCTCAGCTGCCACCATTAGAACAATACTCAGTAAAGAATAGGTGCTTGGTTGGTTCATATTTAAATACTGATGTTCACAGATATATCAACAAATAAAATATTCTTTTCTGCAACAGTTTTCAATTGGGAATTCTGACAGCTCCAGCCTAATTAAAACAGTCCTTGCCAGAAAGCATGGGCTTCCTTGCCGCCGGCCCTCCGGCGTGGCTGAGCTGCACAGCAGCTCCAGCGCTGGAGTTGGCGGACGCCCTGCATTGGCGTGTCCATCCCCTGTGTGCGCCAGGGCGGGCGGCGTCCCTCCCGGGCCCTCTGCTTGCTCTTCTGTAAAGTATGAACAGTAGCGCTTCATGAGACTCGCTGATGGTGAGGGCAGTGCTCCCTGCAGCTGCTTAGCAAAGTTCGTTCACTCACAGGAAACTTAGCGGGTGGTCTGCTCGCACTGTTAGTACTGCTTGCTGGGGTTTTTAAAGATCTAACCGAGGTCACTTCTGAGACATGGCCTGTGTACTTTACATGTAGTTAATACTAGAGTGTATCAACATTCACCAAAAATACACTTGTCTAAAGGTCAAGTTTGCTATGTAATTGGATATAAATTACCTGAATATATTATTGAATCTTTCCATTATTTAATCTGTTTTAATACCACTTATTAGACCAATATGTGCTCCTTTTTATCATTATACTTTCCAATATTAGAGAAATATTTTAAAGGTTCTTTTTTTTCTTTTAAAGGTTCTTTTTTTTCTTTTCTTTGGCTACTACATATTATATAATTAGGTGGAAGACCCTTCTGTTTTATTTCCTTTGAAAACAAGTGTTATGCGTTATTTTAAAAGGGGAAATGCAGCCTGGCTGAGTTAGTTAACTCAAAGAACACATTTCAATCATATTACATAGTTTACAAAACAAATTGAAAAGAGGGATCTAAATAACTTAACAGCTGAGCAGATGGTACTATTCAAATTGTTACTAACTGGTAAGCTCCTCTGAAATTGGAAATGACTGATTCAGTTTAGTGGTTAGTGGTGCAACTTGGCTCCAGTGGCTGCACAGCAGGAAAAACAGTATGTGCAGGGTTTGGTACTATCTGGTATTTCAGCATCCCTGGGGGCCTTGAGCCATGACCACCTGGAGAAGGAGGGGTCACTGCAGCGGACACAAGCTCATCATGCTGAGAAGCTGCCTGCACCGAGGCTTTCACTCATGAAAGATAAAAGCTTAGACTCACCAATGAGTAGTAATTTCTGGCTCAACTTGGTAACTGGAGCAACAAATCCTTTGATCCAAATCTTAGTTTTTCACATAAAAAATAGAGCAATACCAGTTACCTAGGGCAGATTGGTAACCCATGTAAAGGCCTCAATAGTTCAGATGTGTATTGCTTGTTGACACTTAGTACCTAGTTGTATTAATAGTCATTCCATTAAAAGCTGGCTGTTTCACAGTGTTTCATCACATTTTTTTTCTCCTTGACTATCTAAAATAAACCTGAGTTGTTTTCTAACCCATGTTTATCATGTTCTGAAAGTGACTATCTAATCCAGACACTGATAGATAAAAAGAATCTTCTGTGTTACCTAATATAAGATACACAAACATTTTTTCTACTTGTAAGTTTCCACTTCTCAGGTAGATTTCAGCCCCATCTTCAAACCTAGAACCATGAACTATCTCTACATTTCATTTAAAAGACAGTTTGTAGATTCACAAAGCCACATTTGTTACTTGGGCCGGTACTACTGTTCATCTCCCTTAGGGGCTTACTTTGTGCATGATGCCTGTGCACTCTTACCCCTGGGTTTGGTCATACAGTTCAGTGTTTTTTGGGAAGAGAACACTATCAGAATTTAAGTAGGGGAAATGACAGGTTGAGACTGTTAACTTACAGCAGTGGAAGATTTTGTTTCCGTGTTTTATTTTGACGCATTAACCAATAACTTAAATATCTGAGATGTTTCCAATTTTAATTTTACTGTACTTTAGGTGATTTCACATGGATTTCCTATTGATCATTACATGGGAATCTTGTGCTTTCCATTTCAATAGATTACGCTTTATAAAGCCCTAATTTTGGAAATTAGGAACATAGCAGGCCTTGTAACCAGGTGATAGGGTTAGGCTTCTGACTGGCACTTTGGCACAAACATGTCATGACCCCTGAGGAAACATTTCCTTCTTTATGAACAAAAGTAGGTTTAGTAGAAAAAGTGAAGACTGAAATAATCAAGGACAAGTGCTACTTTTTCCCCCCAAAATGATGCATTTGCTGTCCAAGTTAAACAGATAGCAAAGTGAAATATATCAAGGTCTGTTTGAAATAAAAGCTTGTCAGCCATGAGGTGGTCTCCACAGGGCATGGGCCCTGCTTAAAGGGCCTTAGCGCAGTGTGTGCCCAAGACAGCCAGGCCTGGCTCTCGGGGCACATGCTGGCAGGGGCACTCCCCTGAGTTGGCACTGGGCCAGTCCTTAGTCACCTTACATAGGTGGAGGCCAGTCTGTGTTTGGAAGTTGGACTGGAACCAGGCTAAAGCTGTCAGTTTTCCTTTTGAATTTATATAACCTTAAAAAAAAATAAAAACCTTTCAATATTGGTATGCTTTTCTCTTCTGTGCAGGCAGGCAACTTGCAGACTCATTTACGTCGACATTCTGGTGAAAAGCCGTACATCTGCGAGATCTGTGGCAAGAGGTCAGTGCTGGGCTTGTTCCCTGGAGTAGGGAGCAGCTGGCTGGGTGGTTTTGAGAATGGGGGCCCCTCTAGGGAGCAGGAGCCACCTGCGGGCTCGCCCTCGGGGCATGCTGGGGAAGGGACTTGTGGGAACCGCTGAAAGAAAGGCTAAGTAAAAGGAAATCTAGGACAGAAGTCTTAGGGAATGGGATTTTACATAAGATTCTTATTTTATGCTAAAATTTCCATTTAGTCCAAAAATGTCTATTAAGAAGCTTAATGCCCCTACGGAGGCGACTGTCCAGTGGGGGAAGTGAGACCTGTAGCCTGAGAGCCTAGACTCCAAGCAGGGTAGGAAGGCCCTAGGGGAGGCCCGTGAAGGACTGGGGGGCACTCAGCGGCAGGAGGGACGGGACCAACCTGGAGGCAGGTGGGAACGTGATCTGGGGTGGGAGACTTGATGTGAACAGTCTTATTCCGGAGACGGTCTGAAGCCTGAAGATTGTCCGTCTGAGGTCCACACAGGGTGGCCTGCAACATCGGCCTTGGCCCTGTGCTCGGGTCCCGTGTCATCTAGCAGTCAGGCCTAGGATAGCAGGCATCACCCTGGACTACCCCAGTTACACAGCTTTTATTCATTGGATTGTTGATGCAGTCAACGTTTATTTATTACGTACCCGCTGTATGCCAGGTACTGTGAAGGGGATAGGGACATAAACAGTACGGATTCTCTGCCTCTGATAAGTGCATACTCCGGTCTGGTGGGAAGAACTGGCATGGGCACAAAGTCCGTTCCTGTTCCTGCCCTGGGGACACAGCAAGGCACTCCTCTGGTTCAGTTCCAGGAGAGCATTGGTCTCTGCCCACGGTAGGCAACAGAGAAAGTACAGCTGCCTGACCTTGCAGGTTTGTTTCTGCTGCAGCTGCCTGAATCCTGAAAACCCATTTCAGTGCTCAGCCCCAGGCCCTGCTCATGGCGGGTGCCTTAGCATAAACCCCGCTGTGCAGTCAGTGCCTCCAAAACTGTTCTGCCCAGGGTTTTAAACATGGACCTTCTGAGCTCCACTAACGAGTAAGACTTGCATTTGAAATCCTGGCTCTGGGCCACATCTTCCTCCACATGTGCCACTATTCTGTCAAGCGCATAGAAGGAGCAGAGGTCCCAACGCCCAAGGTCCTGGGTTGGTATGACACCCTGAGTCAAATTAGTGACCCTCCATAAAAGAAGAATTAGGGGCCTCCCTGGTGGCGCAAGGGGTTAAGCATCTCACTATGAAGCAGTCCGAAGCCACTGCAGCACAAGTTCAATCCCCAGGCAGCCAGAGAGCAACCCATAAGGCACAGCAGACCTCTGCTGTCTCCCCGCTGCTCCCCTCAGCAGTGTGTTTCAGTCCGTCTGCCTGTTCTGCTCCCCACTCTATCTCTGGTGAATCCTCTCACCCCGCGCATCTGGCCTGTACCCCAGCTCTTGGATGCATAAATAAATCTTTAAAAAAAAAAAAGAATTAATGAAACTAGGTGGAGAAGTATGTTTTAGAACTGTGTAACGTTTTCTTTCTTAAAAAAAAAAAATTTAAATACACGTTTCAGTTGAAATCAGGCCACTTCTGATTACATTCTGAGAGGCTGTGGGGAACATTCATGGCCTCCCTCAATGCCTCGCAGTCACACAGATTCGCAGTAAGGTAGAAAGGCTCTTAATGGAATTTCCAAATTCATCCCAGGTTTGCCGCCTCTGGTGATGTCCAGCGTCACATTATTATTCACTCGGGAGAGAAGCCGCACTTGTGTGACATCTGTGGTCGAGGTACAGCTGAGCGTCTTCCTTTTTCTGTAAGATTACTGAGGAAACCGTTCTCAGCCCTCCCGCCTCATGCCTGCGCTCTCTCGCCAGGGTTCAGTAACTTCAGTAACTTGAAGGAGCACAAGAAGACGCACACGGCTGACAAAGTCTTCACCTGCGACGAGTGCGGCAAGTCCTTCAACATGCAGCGGAAGCTGGTGAAGCACAGGATCCGGCACACGGGCGAGCGGCCTTACAGCTGTGCCGCCTGCGGTGAGTTTCCCGCCGGGACCCCCAGGCCCCTCCTCGCCCTCCCGGCCCGGAGGGTGCCGGTCTCCATTCTTACTCCGCCATTGGCTGGCTTGGGGTCTGAATAGGTCACCCCTCTTTCTCATAGGGGAGGTGGAGTAATGCTAATCTAGACCACCTCCTGTGGTGTCGCCTCAGTCATTGCTTCGTCACGCAGCAGGCCTAGACCGAGGCTTCGGGGTGTCTGCCTCTGCCCTGGGGTGCTGTGCGCAGAGATGACCGAACCACATCCCAGGTTCGCGTGCTGGCGCCGGGGGTTGTGCGGGGCGGTGGGAGAGCCCAGGAGGGGGTAGGTGGGGCCGGGGGACTTGCTGCGGCAGCCTCAGGGTCCGTAGGGGGGCTGAAGCCATGTATCAGAAAGCAGAGTCCACTTTATGGGCATCTTTATGGGCATTTTGACACATTGGTGAAGGCAAGGGGGGTGCTGGCAGCCCTGTTTGGAGTATGCCCAGGCAAGGAGGTGGAGACACCAGGAAGCCCCGGATACGTGGAGCCCGGGATGCCCGAGTCTGCGCGTGTACACGCATGTGCCCGCAGCGGTGCCTGAGCGTGCTCACTGGCCCAGGGGGCTGCTGAGTGACCGTTTCTGTGGTGGCCTGTTTGGAGCACATGGGGAAATGCTGAGTCTGGCTGTGGGGAGCCTGGAACTGGGGCACTGTTCAGAGAGGCTTGTGCTGATTGTAATTAGAATCTAAAATAGGGCAGGAGTTCAGGGACGTAACCAGAGGCAGCTTGGTTTTCTCTCCCACTTAAATTGTGTACAGATCTGAATACAAGTTCAGGCCACTCCATGGCAATTCAAAATAAAATGGCATCACATCATATCGTGACTGCAGTCTCCAGTGACTCATTCAGCACGTCCATCCCAAATCACCCAGCCGTCAGCTTGATTGGAAGTGAAATTTTTTCTTCCCTTCCCAGCTGGGTCCTGCTGCTAACAAAGGATCCCTGCCCTTTCCTCCCCCTCCCCCAAGGGCGGCCCGCCCAGGAGGAAAGGGGGAGGAGCTTAGAGAACCAGAAGGTTCTTCCATGCGACAGGCTGCTTTTTAGCAGGTCTGTTGAATTCCCCACACCATGAAGTCCACCCACTTAAAGCGAGCGACTTAGTGGTTTGGTGTATTCAGAGCTGGGCGACCTGCGCCACGCTCTAACCCTAGAACATTTTGGTTGTGCCCCAGGCGTAGCCCCCACCCGCAAGCAGTCCTCCCCGTGCCCAGCCCAGCCCTCGGCAGCCACCAACCTGCTGTCCTCGCCACGGGGGTGCCTTTCTGGGCGGCCGTGCCCCGCGGGGCTCCGCCGCCACGTCCCTCCCTCCCCAGGTCCGCTGTGAGCTCGCGGGCGTGGATGTGAATGGACGGGACGGCTTTATTTTCTTGGGGTCAGAACGCAGATCACTCTCAAGGTGGCTTCATGTCGTGGGTTTTGTGTTCCAAGCTTCTCCTTCCCTGTCTTCCCTTCTCTTTTCCCTTCATCTCCCTGTCTCCCCTCCTCCCTCCCCCTGCCCCTTCCTGCTGCCCGCCCCGCCCCGGCGCGTGGCTTCTGCTGGGCCTTTTCCTCCACCCCACTCCTCCAGCCGTGGGCTCTGAGGGGACCCCTCCAGCCATCCTCTCAGCTGGACCTGAAATGGCCGCTGGCTCGCCCGCGTGCCCGCCTCCCCGGGAGCACTCCCATCAGCGCGGTGGGGGCTGCAGGCCCAGGCCAGTGCAGATGTCAGCGTTTCTCCCCTGACATGTCCCACCCGTGTCCTCCGAGGGGACACAGCCTGCCGCCCTCTCTCGCCTGCCCTGCTGTCCCAGCGGGAGCTCTGGAGGCAGATATTTACGCATAGTAAAGCACCCAAAAGTGATGATCCCCTCTTGCCCTTTAACCCTATTGCTGAGAATTTATTTTAACCATGAAAGGAAAGATGTGAGTAGGAGACCAGGTGTAGCAGCCAACAGGTGAAGCAGGCCCCAGGCGCAGCCGTGAGTCTGGCCGATGACTCCTCATGCCCGTGAGGGGCTGGGCCTGGCGGTGCGGGCAGCAGGCGAGAGTAGTGTGGCGGGCTCAGCGCTTTCTGTGTGAGAAAAAGTGCCCAGAACAGAACACATGGATGTTGAAATCTAGTTTGATGGTTCGCATTGTTCCCCTTGCTGACGAGGGCCGAAGAGCGGGCATCGGGATGGGGCCGCGGGCACAGGAGAACGCCCCAGGTGCACTCCAGAAGGGCCGGTGCGTCCGGCTTCTGTCAGCTCGTTGACTGAGTTCTCTCCTAGATCCGCTGCCCGCGTCTCACAACAGGGAGAGCAGACCGGCCCTCGAGAAGCCTGCGCAGGATTAAAAGAATGCTCACACGCCTTAGAAAAGATGTTTCTAAATTACAGGTTGGCCGCGTCACATTTATGAAAATTTTAACTAAACTGCCGACATTTCCCGCACAGGGAGCAGGCGCGCACCAGTCTCCCCACACGGTGCTCCTGTGCGGGGCATCTGCTCTGGAGGCCTGCCCTGAGTGCTGCAGGTCTGAAGGCTGCAGGTTGGCACGGTGGCGACTGAGGAGGAAGAGTTCTGGAACCAGAGGGTAACGCGGGCTGACCCAGCTCACGTTACAGCAGAGTCTTGGGGTGCCTCCACCAGAGACTCCCCCAGGATGACCTTTTCTGAAGAGATCCCTTTTTCTTTTCCCAGGGAAATGTTTTGGGGGCTCTGGTGACCTCCGCAGGCACGTGCGCACTCACACCGGGGAGAAGCCGTACACGTGTGAGATCTGTAACAAGTGCTTCACCCGCTCGGCCGTGCTCCGGCGGCACCGGAAGATGCACTGCACGGCCGACGACGAGGGCCCCGACGCGCTGGAGGAGCTGGCTCAGGCCGTCGAGCCCCCCGACCTGGAGCGGTCTCGGAGCTCTGACTCCTTTTCCCAAGACGTGTCTGTGGCCTTGATGCCCGTGTCTGTCAAGCTCCCCGCCCACGCTGTGGAGGACCCGGTCACAGAATTTGACAGCCACGTGGCTGGCTCCTACTGTAAGTTCCGGCCCATGGGTCCACCTCATGGGGTCAGCGACCAGGACAAGCTCAGTCTGGACCCCATCAAACTTCCGAAGCCCCAGATGCAAGCGCAGCATCAGGCCTACGCTTACCCAGATGTGGATGCTGCGGCCAGCGACGAGCCCCTGCAGGCCGACAGCATGTCCATGATCCGCTCCTCGCTGGCCGCCTTGGACAGTCACTGCGGTGACCCCCTGGGCAGCCGGGCGTCTGCCACCACTTACAGGACCTCCGAAGGACAGTTCTTCTCCAGCATGACCCTGTGGGGGCTCGCGATGAAGACGCTGCAGAACGAGGGCGAGTTGGACCAGTGAGGTCCTCTGGCAGCATTTCCCAGCGCCGGGCTTTCCCTCACTGCCGCAGCCCGCTGTCGGGCTCTCGGGGCAAGTGCTTTCCACCAGCCTTCCTCCAAGAGTCCTTGTCCGTTTTGCTCCTGGTGGCAGCGGATCACGGGGAGCTCTTGAGTTCAGGGTTTGGGAAGAAAGGCCTGGGTTCGGGAAGCAGACACGGAGCGGAAGGCACGCAGCACAGCACCCAGAGGCTGCGGAACCACCTCCCTGACGACAGCAGACGTGGCCGGATGGGGAGTCTGCGTCAACTACCGTACAAGACCGTACGGTCTTGTTAAAGGGAAACACGAATGTAGGACATGCTATTTTTGCATTTTCACACAACTGAAGTTTTTGTAGCATTTTGTACTTTTATTTGCAAAAGATTTTATTTGTATATGAAACTTATAATTTAACTTGAATAAATGAAATTTGCTTTTCTGTATACTGTTGTGTTTCCTTCCACACTCTTACTAACCTAAAGGTGATAGTGGTATAAAAACTTAGCAACAAGGGTTCCCCCTGCCAGGATGAACACTGGCTTCAGTGCTGCGGTCCTGGAACATTGGATCCAGAAGCCATCAGAACAAGCTGATCCTGCCTGCCTCTTGCTGGCTGGGCCCCAGCAGATCACTCAGTCTCTCAGAATCTTCTCTGGTTCTCTGTCCTGCAGTATGAAATCACCCGTCCAGCACGCCTCCCAGGCTCAGGTGATTCCATCATCTGCTTAGAAACACCTGCCCAGGATCTGGTTGCCTGATGGGGCTTCCTAAATGCGCATGTCCCCTTGCATCTCCCTGTAAGGCCTGCTGGCCTCTGAGAATGTGGGGCCTGGTGTGTGAAAACACGCTACCTTTGCGGCACATCGTAGTTTGCTTTGTACTAAGGATTAGTGTGTTTGAAAGCTCCCTAGACACTACCAGCCGTCATTTCAGAAATAGCGATCAGCCAGTGAAAAGCTGGTGAATATAAAACAGGACAAGCCCAGAGACCAAGGTTAACCTTGTTAGTGGGTCCTCAGCTCAGTTAAGAATGCAGGACATAGGGCCTCCTGGTGCCACTGGGGTTAACGTCTCAGCACTAATCAAGCTATCGCCAGCCACTGTGTCATGAGTTCGATCCCTGACCAGGGAGCTACCCACACAGCGCAGCAGACCTCTCCTGTCTGCCTGCTGCTCCCCTCAGCAGTGTATCTCAGTGGATCTGCCTGTTCTGCTCCCCACCCTGTCTCTGGTGAGTCTTCTCACACACACCTCTGGCCTACATCCCAGTTCTTGTATGCATGAATAAATTAAAAAATCTAAAAAAAAGAAGAATGCAGGGCATAACCCCAAAACAGACAAACAATGAAAATAGCTATTTATATAGGGAGTGAGAAAAGGGAGGGATTATTAGCATGTGCCAGATGCCACCTGTCCTACCCCAGATAATGCCCAATAGCAGAGAGTGAGGTCCAAGCCTAAGCCACACGTGGCGGCTGGTTGCTTCTCCCATCATGTCTCACTGACCAAACACAAGCCTGCGCTTTCCCATCAGCCCCACAGCACATTGGGTGTGTAAGAGGAACAGTCAGGAGCCACCGAGTGACACTCATGGCCAACTCAATGGTAGGGGGTGGAGTCACCCCCTCTGGGGATGGTACTGATGGGGAGCGTCCCACCATCTTGCCTAAGCGACTTTAGCTTGGGCCTTGGTCTCTGCTCAGAGGAGTCTCTGTCTTGGTTCTCCCTTTTCTCTTTGTGTATGTAAATCCTTTTGTTTCTCCCCATGTGTCCTGTCTGATAGTCTGAAGCATGTGGATGAGGGCCCACAAACTGGGTCAGCCTAGTTCCCCCAGGTTTGCTCCACTTCAGGTGGAGTCTGGAAAGCCCCACCTCCTGCATTGAGGTGGGTATGATCTGCACCCACTGGCTTGGCAGTTGCCTCTCACTGTTCCTCGTACAAGTAACATTTCCATGACAAACCACAGTTGCACAGCAGAACATCCGCTTTGAAGTCAGAGTCCGGTTCATTCCTGGTTCTGGCCATTTTCTGCACGGCAGTCTGGGCGCAGGCATTTATTACCCTCTTGCCACAGACGGAAAACCCTGGGCCCCCCATGGGCTTGGCACCCTGTGCGAGAACATGCAGGTGAGCAAGTGGAATCTCAGTGAACTTGACTCCCCATCCGTCCTCCAGCACCTCTTCCCAGCTCTTTCCTCTGGCACCCCGGCCCTCGTCCTCCCCACGACGGCCTCCTGCCCCCTCGGCCACGCTCTCTTCCATTCTCTCGCATCCTTCGCGTCCCTGTCCGTCCCCTTCCTCAGCGAACCCCTCTGGCCCATCGTGCCATTACCGGCCTCTAGACTCGGTCCAGCTTCCCCGGTGAACTTCCCCGCCTGCGATACCTGCCCGTGCCCGCGGCTCCTGCACGCGGAGGGCTGGGCCATGCCGGGGAGAGGCAGCCGTTCTCCGGTTCCTAGCGAGCGCTTGGTGCTGCTGGCATCCTTCCCTGAGGACCGCTTCACACCTTTGCTTCCCTAACCTCTGCGCCTCCTCGCCCGCCCTCCCAGGCGTGGTCTTGCGCCCCGTTTCTCCGAAAACCTAGAAGCAAATAGGAAGCCGCCTCCCTCAAGCTACCAGCACCTTCCAGCCTTGGAGAGGGTAACCCCACCTGCAGCCTTCCCCGTGCCTCCGCGCTCTCCCGGGGTAAGTCCCCACGAGGAAGACAGATCTGGTGTTGGGGGTGGAGAGGGTGGTGTGGCGCCTGCGGGGGGCCGGGTGCAGCTCTGGGCAGGTAGCGACGGTCCCACCTGAAACCCCACCATCCCTTGAATCCACAAGGAAAGCCGCCGCCCTGGCGCTTCCCTGTCAGGCTTCCTCCCAGCCAGCAGGTGGCGGTGCAGCCCCCCGCAACAAGCAGAGACCTGCCCTGGGTGACCTCAAATTCTCCAGCCCCCCCAAGCCAGGCTGGGGCCGGTGGCATTTCCGCGGCCAGGCAGGGCACGCCGAGGGTAAGGCCAGACCTAGCGGCCCACCTGGTCTTCCCCATCCACGTGAAATGTCAAGTGCAGTGGTCCCCGGGGTGGGGGGTGGGGGGCGGTCCGATCTCTGGGCTCTCTCTGGGGTTGTCCGGTGTCTCAGCCTCCTGGGCCCAAGGTCTCACCTCAAGAGCTTTCCTCCTGCCACGCCCCTCCCCTGGGCACAGGTGTGAGCACTTGCACATGCGCACCCCGCGCGCTCTGGGCCCAGGTGTCCCTGACCACAGGCGTGTGTGCCCCCGCCCCACCCCTCGCCCGGGCACCCGCGCCAGCGGCGGGAGGCGCAAAACAGCCTGACCCCTCACACCCCACACCGGGCTCCTGCCCGCCCTGTGTCTCCACTCCCTTCCCTGAAGGACGCAGCCGTCCCACATGGGGTGGCCGCCTCCCGGGATCCTCAACCGACTCTGCCTTCAGAGCCGGTTTCCAAACAAGGTCGCAGGCGGAGGTTTCAGGCGAACGTGACTTTTAGGGGACACCCCGGACCCCGCTGCAACACCCTTTTTTCCTTCATTCTAACAACGGTGGCGATTGGGGTCCTCTGCAAACTGCAGGGTGATGGGCAAGTGGGGAGGGTGCCGCTGGCAGCGCCTGGCCGGGAGGGACGGCACGGAGAACCAGCAGGCCCACGCGCCAGCCCGCCGGGCCCGGCGCGCCAGGCCTCGGGCCAGCCCTGCGCACGGGGCCGGGCCCTGGAAAGCCGGCGCGGTCCTTTAACAGGGGCCGTTTCCACCGCCCCGCTCCGGAGGGCAGGGACCCGCCTCGCGTGTGGGCGTGACTGGTCCGAAGTAAAATTCCACTCCTGGCAAACCCCTGTCCCGAGGAAACGGTGCCCCCCGCCCCGCGCCCCGAGCTGGACCAGAGAAACAGCCAGCCTGCCCGACAGAGAGAAAGGGATAAATCGTGGGTGCTAAGAAAAAGCAGGCCCAGCCCGCAGCCCCCGGCCAGCGCGTGCTGACTTCACCCCTGGGACGCCGACCCCCGCGCGGCTGCCGGAGATTCTAGGGACAGAGAAGCCCCAGGAGGTCATCGCCGAGCTGGCTGCAGGGCAGCGCCCGCCGCGGCCCGGATCTCCCGCCCGCCCCGGGGAGCCTGTGAATCTGAGACACTCCCCCGGGGACCCCGGCTCCACGGAGCGTGGAATGAATTGCCTTCATCCGTCTGCGGGCTTTTAAAAAATTCAATAATTAATTCGAGCGGATGGCCGTATTATTGTTATTAGAATTTGGCGTTTCTGTGGGTCTTTACTCTGGCAAAGTGCTTTTGCAATCATTTACCAGCTAAATAATTGAACACGAGCTGTTGATGCTGGGGAAGCCTGGCGGGCGGCAGCTGGTGCCGGGGGCAGGGAGCGGTGGTGAAGAGGCGGGCAGAGCTGACAGGAAGCGCAGGGCCTGCTCAGCCTCCCTGGCCTCCGCCCTCGCTGCCCTCCAGGACCAGGTCTCCCTTGGCCGGGTTGTCATGGTGACGGGAACCCGTGAAGGGGGGCTTTTAAGCTGGTGGGGGGGGGTTCCACTTTGACTAGGCTTGGGCTGTGACCCTTTTCCTGCCAGCGCATCCCCCAGGAGCGCACAGACCAGCCTCACCTGGCCTGGCCTCATCCGAGAGGTGCAGCAACAGGGGGATGCCACGAGCTGCTTGAGGGGTGCAGAGATGGTGCCCCCGGGGCTCCCACTGGCCTGGCCTCCGATTATTAACTCAGTGGCTCAGCCCCTTGGCATTAAAGCCCCTTTCCTGGGAGCGGGCATGACGGCGCCTGCCCCTCCACCCGCAGGAGCCGGGAAGAAGAGGTCACGGCCGCAAGCATTCCCCGTCCTCACCCGTGTCTTCACCCTGCGGAGGCTCCCGGCGGGCGCCTTCCCGGAGCTCCAGCCTGGAGCGCAAACATTCTCCCTCAAATTTATGTCAGTCGGGAGCCAAGAGGGGGCAGACGCCCTCACAGGACCCAGGGGTCACCCGGGGAGGCTTTATTTCAACGGGGTGTTTTGCAAAGGCGACCCGGGCTGGGGTGCAGAGGCAGCCGCGAGGGCCATGTGGGGGCGGCAGGGAGGGGTCTGCTGCTGCCCACAACCTGCAGGAGGAGGAAAGGGATCAGGGACAGGTCCCAGGACCTGAGGCCGGGAGAGGGGGCAGTGACCTAATTGAGGGCCCACCCGCCTGAGGCTCCCCATTACCGGGGGCAAGGAGTTCAGTTAAACGAGCACCCCCGGTGGGGGGGGCAGTGGGAGCAGCACCTGGGGGTTCGTGGGGCTCAGTCAGTCGTAGCCTCCTGAGAGGCCCAAGCTCAAGTGTGTCCAGAAAAAATCCCCGGTCTGACTCACCTGGGGTTCAACCCTTCACAAATGCTCCTTCTGGACAACTCCAAGCCTTATTGAAAAAGACGTGACGTAGAGACAAACCCCCACTGCTCCCAGCGGCCCGAGCGTTCTGTTTGGCGGTGAGTGAACGGCAGGAGGCCCGAGCACGGCTTCTATTCGCTGCCCTCAGGGTCCCTGGCTGTAAAAGTGGGGTGTGCACGAGAGGACTGTCCGCCTCTGAGACACCGTGGCCCTAAGAATTTTCACTCGACATGCATGTGCTCCCCAGGCAAGACGGCTGCTGGGTCTTCTCAACCTGACCCCCCCATAAAAGGTGAAGACTGTTCTGAGGCCTGCTCCCCTTGGGCCGCTGTCCCCTCCCTCCCTCACCCGGCTAACGGGAGCCCTTGGCCCCTCCACTGGACAGTGACTGCATGAGCATCCTGGCCCCCAGGGTTGACAGGTCCTGGGTTTGAGAGCAGCCTGGTGGGGAGGATCCGGAGCTGCCAGTGACTTGGTGAGGACTAGCCCCCCAAAGTCACCTGTCACTGAGCTCGTGCACATCGGTCACCACTTACCAGGCCACGCCCTCAAGTCCCAAGCGAGACTTGGGTGGGAAGAGGTTTTTTTTTTTTAGATTTATTTATGCAAGAACTGGGGAACAGGTCAGATGTGCAGGACGGTGAGAGGATTCACCAGAGACAGAGCGGGGAGCAGAACAGGCAGACGGACCAAGTACCCTGCTGAGGGGAGCAGCGGGTGAGGCAGGAGGTCTGCCTCGCCAGGGGAGAGTTTTTGACTCCATCTTCTCTTACATTCCAAGCACAGAGACGCCCGTGAGCACCCTGCAGATGTGCAGACGGTCAGGTCTGGGGAGGCTGCTCCGTGGGGGCCCCAGATCAGCCGCAGCAGCAGCAGCACCGCTAAGGGAGCAAAGCTGGAAGTTTCTCATCCCAAGAACGAGAAGCTGCTGCGACTGCGCGGGGACAGACGACGTTCGCCAGCCCTTGGGTGCGAGCTCTCGGTGAGATGCGCAAGCCCATACCCCTAAGAAATGTTTTAAAAGTCATTTAGAAAAAGCAAAGCCGCTACCCACCCTGCAGCCCGTGGCATCCTAACCTGCTGGTGCCACAGGGCTGGGTCCAGAGGGGGCTGAGCTGTGGCTTTCGCTGCGTATCCACTGCACGAGCACCCCAAAGATCTGTCCATCGGCACAGCCACGGCCGTCCCCCAGTCCCGTGACCGTGGCCTCTTCGACCTCTTGCCCACCAGTCCCTACCCCTCCCAGAACCATCTGGACCCCAAGTTCCCACATCCTGCACCTTGGCAGGCTTGATGTCTGCCGTGTGCTCCTGGGGACCCCCAAAAGATGTCCTCGTTCTGGGGTCTGGAAATACCATCCAGAGGAGAAGAGGTGATTAAATTAAGGATGTGGCCAGGATTATCCTGGATTATCCGAGGGGCCGGAATCCAGTGCCAGGTGCCTGCATAGGAGCCTCGGGCAGCCGCCCAGCGCTGGGGTGATGGCCGCAGGGGGGACACCTGGGGCCACGGAGCTGGGAGAGGCAGGGCCAGCAGGGGGGCCGGCTGATTGCATGGGGTGTGAAGCCCCTGGTTTGAGGTGACTTGTTGCCGCAGCCACAGAGAGGCACTTCTGATCCCCACCCCCCTCCAGCCCACCGCCCGCCCAGGGGCGCTCTGGTCTCCCTGACCCTCAGGCCTCCCTGAGGGTCACACTTTACCCATATCCCCCCACCCCTGCCTCCCGCCATAGAGGAGGGCCCGCCCCCCCAGGAGCCCCCACCCAGTGCGGAGCCCCGCCCTGCCCTTCCCCGGCTCGGGGCCTGGGAAGGAAGGGATCCCCCCTCGCCCGGGCCTGCGGGGAGCTCTTCTCAACTCCGCACGGCGAGGCCCTAACTGGGCCTTTGTGACGGTCACCCCCGCTCAGGCAGCGGCAGGTGGGGCGAGGACCCCTCCTGAGTGCCACACCTGACCCTCCACACCTGACGCTCCCGCGGCAGCTGCTTGAGCCCCCCCTTTCTCTTCCGACCGCAGACAGAGCCCTGACCCCCAGAGCAGCGACCAGGGCCTCTGCCCGAGCCCTCCCTCCCCCGCCGGGGGCGCCGCCTTCAGACAGGGGCGCCGCTCGCCCGCTCCCCAGCGCAGCCCGCGTTAAAGGGCCGCCCGGGTCCCGGCAACCCCGCTCCCCAAAGGGCTCCTCACCATCCTGCAGGCGCCCCAGGGCCGCGCGGCTGGGCGGGGCGCCCCTATTATCCTTCTCCACTTGGAATCGCCCGGGGTCGCTCAGCCGGCGCCCCGCTTTCCGCCTCCCCCACCCGGGTCTCCGGCCCCGGGGTCCCCTACGGCTGCCCGGGGCGCTCCCTCCTCGCCTCCCGCCCGGCTCCGGCGGCCGCGGGGTCCCCGGGGATCGCCCCTTCCCGCGGCCCCGCCGCGCTGCGTCAAGGCGGCCGCACCAGCCCCTGCGCACGGCGCGCCCGGGAGCGGCGGGAGGGGGGCGGGGGGGCGGGGAAGGGGGGCGGGCGGCAGGAGGGGGGCGGCGGAGCGGGGGGAGGAGCGCGAGGAGCGGGCGGGAGGAGCGGGAGGAGCGGGAGGAGCCCCTCGCCGGCGCCGCCTCCGCCATTGCTGCGCGCACGGGAGCCGCCGCGAGCTCCAGCGCCGGAGTCAGAGCTGCGGAGCCGGTGGGGTGAGTGCGCCCGGCGCCCCTTCTTCCCGCGGGGGGCGGGGGCGACGGGCGGGTCGGGGGCCGCGGGCGCGGGCGGCGCGCAGGCGGGGGGCCGGGCGGCGCCCCCTCCCCGCCGCGGGCGCCCCGGCCCGGCGCTTTGTGCGGCGCGAGCGCCCCGTGACCGCGCGCCCCCCGCAGGCGGCAGCCTCGGTCCCCGGAACGATGGTGAAGTTGGGGAACAATTTCGCGGAGAAGGGCGCGAAGCAGCCGCTGCTGGAGGACGGCTTCGACACCATCCCGCTCATGACGCCCCTCGATGTCAGCCAGCTGCAGTTCCCGCCCCCGGACAAGGTGAGGGCCCGCACCCCGCGGCCGGGCGCGCACCCCGAATCCCGGGCGGCGGCCGCAACAAAAGAAAGGCGCGGCGCGCGCGGGGGCCGGGGCGGGGGGGCGCGCAGGCGGGGGGGGCCGGGGCGGGGGGGGCCAGCGGGGGGGGACCGGGGCGGGGGGGTGTTGGGTCGAGGGGGGCCGGGGCGCGCGGGCTTGGGGGGCCGGGACTGGGGGAGGCCGGATTCCGGGGCCGCGGCGGAGGCCCCCGCTGCTCGCAGACAATGGGGCGCGCTGGGGGAGCCCGGGCATTTTGGGGCGTCATGTCCGAGACAGGTCCCGGGCTCCGCAGCCGCCCCGCTCCCTGCCCCGTGGCACCGGGTCTGGGGGCGCCCCCCCTCTCCGGGCCCTCCCAGGTGGGGCCTCGGCCGGATCCTCCCCGGCGGCCTCTCCCGGGGCCAGTGGGGTGAGCGCCGGCCCCGCCGCCCCCCGCCCGCCGGGGGTGCCGCAGGACGCGCCCCGCGCCCCCCCCCGCTTTGTTGCTCTGTGAAGCTTGCAGCGCGTGGCCCGGGTCGGGGTGCCGGGTCGGGGTGCCGGGGGACCGCCGCGTCCTCCCCAGGTGCCCGCGGCCCTGCGCGCCGGCCGAGGGCGGAGCCTCCTGTGCCCCGGGCTCCCGCCGCTCCGGAGCGCGTTCCGAGCTGGCCCTGGCAGGCACCCCCGGCACCCCGGCACCCCTCCCCCGGCACCCGCGGGCGGGAGAACCGTGTGGCGAAAGCCCGCGACCCCCTGGCCGGACCCGCCCGCGGCCCCTTCCCCGCGCCCCCTGCGCCCCAGAGCGCGTCACTCAGGACCTGGGCGTCCCGGGGTCGCTGACCAGGCCAGGGGGGGCCAGCGCTGCCCGCCTCCCTCCTTCTGGAGGGTTCCTTCACCACGGTGGAGGGGAGGCCGCTCCGCCCCCCCCAGCCCTGTGTGCGCCCCGGGGGGCGGGCGGGGCGGGGCGGCAGGTGCGTCTGCTCAGGGAGAGGCTCATTGGCGGCACCTGCGCACCTGGCCGCAGGGCCCCCGGGGCGGCCGCGAGAGGCGCTGGGGAGGCAGGGTGGGGCCTCGTCCCTGCCAGGCGGCGGACACCCCTCTAGCACAGCCTGGCGCGGTCCCGCCGTCCCCCGACGCCGCGCCTGTGGCAGGAACAGGGCGTCCGAGATGCCACCTCTGTCAGGTGATTCCCTCCCCTGGGCGGAGCCTCCTTCACCCCCAGCCTGTCTCCTTCCAGAACCGTCTGGCACCCGGCTGGCCACACCCTCGTTCCAGGGGGCTTGGGCAGGTCTCGGGCCTGGGGGGGGGGGGGCTGCCAGCAGCAGCCCGGCAGCTCTGCGTGGGGAGGGTCCCGGCCGCGGTGTGTTCAGACAAAGGGGGGCAGGAAGGTGGGGACCCCAGCTGCTGGGGTTGGGCTAAAGATTTCCCAGGTCCCAGATGAGGAAGCTGAGTCGCAAAGTGTTTACGGGATGTGCCAGGGCGCCGAGCTGCATGCCGTGCCCCCCAAGAAAGCAGCTGGGCCCTGCCCCTGCGGAGAGCCCCAGCTCTGGACCCCACGGCCCGACAGCTGGGGCGAGAGTGAGTCTCCTAACCGGAGCTCCTCTGAGAAGCACCCCCGGAGGGGCAGGGCGGGCGAGGGGTGCCGGGAGCTGGCCGCTGGGCTTTCCCGCCCAAGGGCCTGGTGTGGCCGGCGTCAGCAGCGCGTGGGGATTGGATCCGGGCGGCGGCCCCGGGTTCCCGGCCCCGCACAGCAGCCAGACCAGCAGGGCCTCGTCCCCACAGGTGGACCCGAGGTTCCGGGGGGCCAGGTGTGAGCTCCGGGTCGAGCTAGTCGGGTGTGGTTGGCCTGCGGGACGCGAGGCGGGCGGGTGGGCGGCTCTAGCTGGGCACCAGGCTGGCACGCGAGGCACAGCCCCCGGGGGGACGGGACTGAGCAGAAGCTACCGAGCGTGGGGCTGTGAGGTTGGCCTTGGGGTGCTTCACCGGCAGCACCTGGCAGCCCCCGCCCCAGCTGCCGGCTCCTCGCCGGGCCCACCACCAGGGACGGCGGCATCTCCCCAGGCTCTGGGCCCCTGGGCGGCTGGTTCTCTCCGGCCCAGCAGCCCCTGTTGGTGGCCCCTGCTCTGGGTTTGGCGCTTGACACTTGTCACCCCGAGACTCTGCCCTAAACACCCCCAGCTGCAGCACCTGGTTCCGGGCAGGCAGTGAGGGCGAGGAGGGGGCTGTGAGGGAGACTGAGGTGCAAGCTGGGGTTCGGCTGATGGCAGAGGGGAGACGCAGGGAAAGGGGTTGGGGCAGAGGCGGGGCAGGTCTCCTGCCTTACAGCGCCCGGTGCCAGGAGCAGGAAGACCCTTTGGGGGTGGGGCCGGGGGAGAAGAGGCGGGTGGGGTGGGGTGGGGTCGGGCCAGAGACACTTGCTGAAGACGCGCCTTCCGTCTAGAGGGAGCCAGTGACTCAGATGTTCTCGTCCTGACCCTGGGGTGTCCAAGAGCCCACCAAAAACCCGGTGCCCCCTCCCCTCCCTGGGCGGGAGTGGGGCGCCCTGCAGACCCTCCCCCTCTTGGCGGCCTGGCCAGTGCTTGGCTCCTGTGCCCGCCGTGAGCAGCTGCCCCCCACCCTGGTGCCACAGGGTCATGACGGGTGCCTTCTCTGCACGTCCGGGCGCAGAGACTCCCAGTATCCTGGGGGGATGCTGGCTTGGGGCACGAGGGTCCCCCCGCACCCGTTTGGGCAGATGTGCTGAAGGCCCCGGCCCCACTGCTGACTGTGGCTCCTGTTTCCTGGGCAAGGTGGTTGTGAAAACCAAGACCGAGTATGAGCCTGATCGCAAGAAGGGCAGGGCGCGGCCCCCCAAGATCGCGGAGTTCACCGTCAGCATCAGCGAGGGCGTCACAGAGCGGTTCAAGGTGAGTCTCCGGGGTGGGGGCAGCTGAGGGACCCCGTGGGGGACCAGCCGGGGGACCCGCTCATCCGGGCCAAAAGCTGCCGTGCAAAGGCACCCCCTCCTTCCTCGCCTCCCTCTTCCCAGGCTCCGTTTCAGTCACGGAAACCCGCCCCGCTGACAGCGGCCACACGCGCGCCGGCGGTTCCGGGAAGGACCAGACATGGCGCAGGGCTGGGGCTTGTGCTGCCGCGGGCACCCCTTGTCTGGGTGCCCTCTCTGGGGGCCGGTGCCATCAGGGAGCCCTGGTTTGCAGATGGGGAAGTTGAGGCACAGTTGCACGTGGCAGGGCCAGGACCCGGGGCCGTGTCTGAGCTCAGGCCCCCCCGGGGCCCACCCCACAGCCGGCCTGGCCTGGGAGGGGCGCAGAGGCCCGTCTGTGGCTCCGCGCGGCAGGCAGGTGGGCCCGGGCGCGTCCGGCCTGGGGTGTGCCCAGCAGCTGCCCTCACCACATGGTCAGGCAGCAGAGGCCTCCATGTCAGGTGGTCATGCCCACGGCTGGGCTGGCCGGTGGCTTCCGGGAGCTGCGCGGCTGGTTTCTGCTCCCCGTGCGACCTCCGCCTCGCCCAGCGCCGCGGCCCCGGGGCCTCCTTGGAGCAGGTGCGGGGGCGGGACTTGCCTGCACAGTCCCTCGAGTGCCGGCTGTGTCCCCGCCGCGGCATCCTTCTTGCACGCTCATGGCATGCAGGTCCCCAGGTCCCTGGCCTGGGCACTGGTGACGCACGCGGGCTGCCAGGGCCTGGCAGCCACGGCTGGGTGTCGCTGGGTGCGGTTACCTGGCTCCGGTTGCTCAGAACCCAGGCCTCTGGGCACCGCCCCGCCTCGGGTCAGCCTCCGCGTCCTGGGCTGTAAGAAGGTGATGTATGCAGTTGGTGCTCAAAGGTGCTCACCCAGAGCCCGTCACGTCTGCCTCCTGCGTCAGCTGTAGGCCTGCCCGGTGCTTTCTGGAAGGGTGTTGGGACATGAGATGCTTGGGTCCCAGGGGGACTCCCCCCACCCCCAGCTCTGCCTGGAGACCAGCGCACTTCCCCCTACATCCTGGCACCCACATCTCCCTACGGGCACCGCCTTCCAGCTCCCATTCCCCTTCCATCTCCTCTAGTGTCAGTCAGTGTCACCTCCTCCATGCAGCCTCCTGGGATTGACCCCCTGGCTTCCCACGGCCCTCTTTAAGGAGGCAGTAACAGCTTCGAGCAGTTACCCGGTATGCCCAGGAGCTAGAGCAAGGGTTGGGCTTGTTGAGCTGCTTTCAATCCTCCCAGAAACCCCAGGAGATACGCACTGGTATTTTACAGTTGAGGGGAAACTGAGGCAGAGAGCTGGAAGCTGGCAGCCTTGCCCTTGGCTGTGACCCCTGAGGCCACGGGCTTCTCCTGGAGCACAAGCTCACGGGGGTGCCCGGCCCCGGCACCCTGGCGCTGTGGGACCGTGTGCCGAGTGGAAGGCCTTCCTGGTGCCTGCCGCCCGGCGCTCCGCCTGCCGGCACGAGCAGCCCAGGACGGGCCGCCCGCCTTCCCCGCGGCCGAGGGGCCGGCCCGTGTCCGCGTTGGCTCACCTGGGCACCGCTGGCCCTTCTCCCGCTGCACCAAGGGCACGCGCAGTAGCGGCTCCACGACCAGGGGCAGCCTGGAGGCCTCAGCCGAGAATGACTGGGGACTTGGGGAGACTCCAGGGTCTACCTGGGACCCTCACCCGCTCCCTAGGGCCTGTCCCGGGGCCCCTGATGGGTGTAAGCCCCGCCCTTGACAGGTGTTCACCCCTCGTTCTCACCCTGTGGGGCAGGTGACCCGCCCAAGGTCACGGTCAGGGACAGGAGAGCAGGAGCTGAGCGGGCCCGGGGCCTCCTGCTGTGGCCGCCCCACCTCTGCCCCAAAGGTCTGGTGGGCAGGGGTCCTGGGGCGGGGCCCAACAGGGCCGCCTCCAGCACTGTCCTTCCCTGTCCCCTGGCCACCTGCCTCCGACCCCCGAGGGGCACCCTGGCCACGCGTGCAGTGACCGTTGTCCAGTGGCCCCGACGCAGGGCTTTGCCGTCCTTTGCTGGGGGGCGGGGCGTGTCCTCGCCCAAGGTCAGAGTGGGCTCCCAGGGCTGCAGCCTTCGGGAGTGTGACAGGTGCCCACCCTTCTGGAACGTTCTCTCAGCCTCTGCCCTGGTCCCACCGTGGGCATCTCTGGTGCACCGGCAAGGCGGCGGCTGGTGGGGTGCGGGGCGCTCTTTAGCAGGGCAGCAGCCGGGAGAGGCTGTCCTTGGGCTCACGGTCACCCGGCCGGGAGGGGGCTGGCGTGCGGGGCTCAGGGGCTCGGGCACGGCCGCGGCGTGGGGAGAACCGCTGTCTCCTGGGCCTGCTGGCCCGGGCGGCTTCCCTGGGGGGACCGGCCTGCTCCCCGGTCCTCTGCGGCGCCGACCGTGCCCTCCGGCTGTGGCTGCACCTCTGAGCTTGCGGCTCCGGGGAGCTGCCTGCCCGCTCCCTCCTGGGTGCCCATGGCCTCCGCGGGCCAGACCGTCTTCCAGATGTGGCCTTAGGACTGTCACCCGGGGATGCCTCTCCGGGCTCCCGGTTGCCGGGCGGGTTGCTAGGTAACCGCGACCCGCCGCCCTGGGGCTGCGGGATGAATCACCCCGGCGGGCGGGCGGGAGCTGGCGCCCGCGGAGAGCGAGCCGGGGGCAGGGCTGGGGCTTCGGGAGCCGGAGTCCGCCCCAGAGGCTTCTCCCGCGCACCCGCCTGAACACTCTCGAAGGGCGCCTGGGTGATGCGGGGGCGGGGGCGGGGGCTCCGCTGGCCGGAGCTGGTCCCCAGGGCCTGTGTGTGCGTGTGGAGGGGTTGGGGCTCCACCGCGTGCAGCGCTGGGGGCTTCAGGAGACGCCAAGGTCGGCCTTGCGCAGGCTGCGGGAGGCCCCGCCCCGGGGCAGCCGATGGGGGGCCGTGGCAAAGGCTTGTGCGCGGCACCGTGTCTCCTCCGTGACCTTGAGCCCGCCCGTCCTCACGCGCTCCGGCAGCCCCGGAATATTCATGAGCCCCACACGTCTCCTGGCGTTGCGCGGGGCGGTCCCCACGGGGTGCTGCTGGACTCCCAGCGACCTTCAGCTGCGCATCTGGGGGGGCCGCCGCGGCAGTGGGCTTCAGCCAGAGCCCCGCCGGCAGGGGGGCGTCACGGGGGTGTCGGCGCGCCCCGGTGCGGGTTGCTGAGAACGTTGAGGCTGCAGCGCCGGAGACGCCGGGTTCCCCTTATTTCCCGGGCGCTGTTCCCGCCCGCGGGACTCGCAGAAACGCTCGCCCCCCTGTCCCCGCCCGGGCTCGCCTGCCCTCGCCTCTGCCAGTGGGGGTGGGGGTCGGGGGCAGAGAGGTAAGGGACGAGCTCAAGGTCACCCAGTGACTCAGAGGCTGAAGTCGGGCTCCGATCCATTTCCACCCGACACCCCGAAGTCCACTGAGCCGCGTTCTGCACTGGCTGCTGACCGGAGCCCCTCCCTGGGCAGTCACCCGGGTCCTGCCCCCAAGTGTGACCCCCAGGAGGCCCAGCCAGAGAGGAGGCTCCCGGCAAAGCACAGGCGGGAGCACAGCACGTCACAGTGCCCCCCGATTCCCCTGTCTGTAAAATGGGGTGACGGCTAATTCCCACCGCGGGGCGGCCACTTCGGGGATGGGGGTGTGGGCTGAGCCTGGTCAGTCGTGTCCCTAGACGGGGGGCCGTGGATGCTGTGATTTGGGCTGGGGGTGGACACCCTCAGCTGGGACAGCCTGAGCCTCTAAGACACGAGGTACCCCCCTTACAAACGCCTTACGACGTTCACCCCAATACTCCTATTTGCTGTCATTCTGGGCTGTTCTTTCCCGGCGGCGTTCCTCAGCGCTTCTTCCCTCCGCCTGGGACTCGCCATCTCATCGGGACCCCGGAAACAGTCGGGGTCACCCCGGCCCCCCGCCACCTCTGGCCCTTACACACGGACAGGGCTGCCCGAGCAGCACCGCCGCCTCGTCCTTTCCGTTACCCCAAAAGGAGACCCCAGGCCTACTAGCCGTTGCTCCCCGTGGCCCCGTTCCTCCCCCCAGGCAACCAGGAATCTGCTTTCTGCCTCTGGGGTTCCCTGCCGGGGTGGTTCCCGGGGAGCCACACCCCAGGGCGGCCGCTGGCTCCCCCACTTGACCAGGCGCCGCCGGGCGCCGCCGCACACCCCCGTCTCCGGCTGGATACTCTGCCCTCGCGTGTCCGTCCGTCCGTCCGCCGCCGGGCCTTGGCTCGCTCCCCTCCTGGCAAGGGCGAGCAGTCCCGTGCCCGCTTCTGGGGGGCACCTGCGGGTCCGGGGGCGTGCTCCGTGCTTCCCGTGTTGAGGCGCGAGCCGCCCTGTCCCCCGGCCGCTGCGCGGTCCCCCCAGCAGGGGTCTCCGCGGCCTCCCCGCGTGTCTCCTTGCTGTGGGCCGGGGCCTCCGCGGCCTGGGGCTGCGGCCTGCGGTCCCCGAAGCCAGGGCCGAGGCCCTTCCCGGCCAGCGGGCCGCGGTGGCGCGTCTCCTGGGCTGTGCGCCCCGGGCTCCTCCGGCTTCTCATCGGGTTGTCTTCTCGCTCCTGGGCTGTAGGCCTTCCCCATCGATGCCCCATCGATGCCCATCGATCCCCATCGATGCCCCATCGATCCCCATCTATCCCCGTCTATCCCCGTCTGTCCCCATCGATGCCCATCGATCCCCATCTATCCCCGTCTATCCCCGTCTATCCCCATCGATGCCCCATCGATTCCCCGTCTATCCCCGTCTATTCCGGAAGCGAGGCCCACCCCGACGGCCCCCGGCGCGGGCTGTCCTCACCTGCTCGCCGGCCCCCCGGGCGCACAGCGGTTTGGAGTCCCGGGGAGGCGCCGCTTTCCCGTGTCCTCGGGTGGCTGCGCTGCCGCCTGCCCGGGCCGCGGGGCGCACAGGCGGGCGGGTCTGGCCCCCGCGCTCTCCGGCTCCGGCCTTCGTGTCCTTTCTCGGGCCCGTCCTCAGCCATCGCTGCAGGCGGCGTGAGCCCAGGGTCCGCGTCACCCCTCGGCGCCTGCCCGTCCAGCGTCCCCGGCACCCCCGGCGGGAGGCTGCTCCCGCCACCCCGCGGCCTCGGCCCCTCCTGCGCTGTTCCCTGCGGGCGTGGCGGGCCCGTGGGCCGCGGCCAGCTCCGGAATTGGAAGGCGGGGCCCCCGACTCCGTCTGCGTCCAGGGTCGCTGCAGCGGGGCCGCCGGAGTTTCCATTTCTGCCAAAGAGGCCCTTGGGGTTTTAGCAGGGATCGCACGGGGCCTGCGGTCCGTTTGGGGGTGTCCCATTCTCAGCGGCGACTCGTCCAGCCCATCCACGAGCAGGACGTCCCTCCGCCCGCCGGGTGGCCGTCGGTGTCCCGCGGCAGGTGCGGGCGGCGCGTCGGGGCTCCCTGGCTGCTCCTGCAGGCGGGGAGGCCGCGGCACGGGGCACAGGTGCTCTCGCGCCGTCGCTGAGCATCGGGGCGGCGCGTGGTCTCCCCACGTCTTTGAGGAAGAGCTCGGCGTCCCCGTGCTCTTTGGGCACCACACGGGCGCGGGGCAGCTTACCCCTGACCTCTGGCCACCTCCCGGTCGCGGGGCTCCCGGGCCTGCCGCCCCGGGCTGGGGGCACAGGCCCGGCGGTGGGCACTGCCAGACGGGGCCGCCTGCCCACGTGCCACCCCTGGCTTGAGGACCCAGAACGCAGACAACCCGTCCACGCTCCGAGTTCTGCTCCCCTTGCTCGCAGGCTCCCCGGCTGGCCCCAGGCACCGAGGGCTGCTCAGGGAGGACGCGGGCAGATGGGCTCCCGCCGGCTGGATGCGGCCCCCCTCCCTCCCCCACCTGCTCACCGCGCTCGCGCCCCAGCCGCCCCCAGCGCCGGCTCCCCTGCCAGGCTGTGGGAGGCAGCCCCACCCTCAGCGGCTCCGTCTGTGGGGAGACGATTCCCGGGGCCACGCTAGAAATCGCACCCCTGGGGTCACCGCCCGGCTGCCTGGCCTGCAGCCCTGGAGCCCAGCGCGCTGCCTTCCTGGGGAGCCACGCGCTGGGCACAGAGCTCGGGAAAAGCGGCCGCTCCTCTCCCGATGCCCCTTCACTGGCTCGGCCCCCGCCATGTGTAGAGGAAGGGGTACAGTTGGGACCCCCCGGGGGTCTTCCTGCTGAGGCAGGGAAGGGGTCCGCCGCGTGGGGTGAGGGAGCCCCCTGCGGGTGCAGGGCTGGGCCAGGCCCGTCCCGGGCAGGAGCCTGGGCTCTCGGCACCCGTGGGGCTGTCAGCGGCGCCCCTGGGAAAGAAGGCAAGTGGGGGTGCCGCGGGGGGCTGGAGCGGCTTGCAGGTGGGGGTGTCCGTGTGCAGCGAGCCTGAGAGACCCCAGGGGCCTGGGGGACGTGGTGTCTGGCTAAGTGATTTCATACTTTGTTCTGGAGCCTTCTCAGTTGTCTCGCCGTGGCGGGAGGCTCGAGAAGCTCACCCGGGGCGCTCGTTGGCCCTGGGAGGTGGCGCCGCTGGGCGAGCTGGCGCGGCTCACGCCGCCGGAGGGCCCGGGCCCCGGGGGGATGCCCGAGGGGGTGGCGCCCCTGCACGGACGCGGCTCAGGCTCCAGGGCCCCGCGGGGGCTCAGGGCTGCAGGCGCGAGCCGCTGGCTTCCCGCGGACGGCGAGGGGCCCCCGGGACGTGGTCGTCTCGCGCCAGCCGACCTGCGGCCCACGGCCCTCGGCTCCTTTCGCTCAGGACGAGACAGTTCAGGTCCGCGCCCCGGTGCCCGCCTCAGGCCGCCCGAGCCCAGACGCCGGTCCTTTGCCCCCGTGACCCCCGCGCCCTCGCCTCTGGCGGGCGCCCGGCCGTGGCCTGCCGCGGGGAGACAAGGGGGACCGCGCGGCCTTTGCCTGCTCTGGCCTCGCCGGGCACGGCGCCCTCGAGGGCACCCGCGGCGCTGGACACGGGAAACACCTGCCTTTCAGGTCCCGCTCCGCGTGCGTGTGCGCGCACTTGGGGTGCGGGTCGTGAGCCCCGGCCGCCCCCCCTCCCGCGGCGGCTGCTGTGCTGGACACCGTGCCCGCGGCGGGCGGGCTCCCGCGTGCCGTGTCTCCATTTGCCGGGTGATGCCCAGAAGCGGGGCGCCGGCTGGCCGGGAAGACCTGGGCTTCTGGAGGCCCCTGCGGGCCGCGTGCCCTCCCGGTCCTGCCCTCGCCTGCCCGGACGCCCGTCCGCTCCGACCGCCGCCGCCTCGGAAGCAGCGCGAGGCCCGGGTCCTGGAAGGCCGCCCTGGCCGGGCCGCGCCTGGTCTGCGCTCCCGCCGGGGAGGGGGGGGGTGGGGGCCCCGCCCCACGCGCGGACCCGCGTGGACTTGGCCGCGTCCTCGGCCGCTGGCAGCCCGGGAGCCGCGTGGCGCCCCTGCCCTCCTCGGGCTCCTCCCAGACCGCGGCGGGCGCGGGCCTTCCCTCGGCGTCTCCGATGCGTTTCGAGTTCAGGTTTGCGTGACGTGGGAGGCGGGGGCCGGGGCCAGACACCCCCCCCCCCCCCGCCGCGCACTCCCCCCGCCACCGAGCCGGCCGGCCGGGCACTGCCTGGGCCTCGCCGGCCGCTCCGGCTCCGGCGCGCGGGTCTCGCGCCTCCTCGTTACGTTTTGCACTTGATCCTTGTGGAGAAGCTGTAAATGGACTTTCCTAACTTCCCCGGGAGTTTGTGTCTAGAAACAAACCAGATTGTGGTGTGTTGACCTTGTCGCCGCCGCCGTCGCCGAGTTGATTCTGCTGGGGGGCGGGGGTCTTCATGCTCTTCTACGGGTAACGTGGCTTCAAAAGGGGGGGCCTGCGCCGCCTGCTAGCTGCGATGTCTTCTCCGCGCAACGCTGGCGCGATCCCCGCCGTGCGGCCTGGGGCGGGGTGCGAGCTCCCCGAAGTGGGTGTGACCCGGGGCCGCGCCCCCCCTTTCCTGCGTCAGCTGTAACCTTTATGCCCAGTTTGTGTTTTTTTGGGTCGTACATGGATGTTGGGCTTGTTGAGGTTTTCTGCGCCTGTTGACATGGCCACGTGGCTTCCCTCCTGCGCTCCTGGGGGGCAGCACGAGGACACACCCCACTTGAGCCTGGCGGGGGGGCCCTTTACTGTCGCTGAACTTGGTTTTTGCGCATTTTGTGAGGCGTCATCTAACAGAGTGATAGACCCAAGCACCCAAGATGAAACAGGCGGGGCTGCGGAGGCGGCCGGTTACAGTCAAGGTCACTGGGCCCAACGGGCCACCCCAGGTGAGGAGGCCCCGTGCCCCCCAGGGCTGCCAGCAGGCAGCTGGATCCCGGGCAAGGCAGATTTGGGGGGTAGTGGCGAGGGCGCTGGGATTCCCCAGAGCCCGGCTGTGGGGCCTGCACTGACCTCGCCCATCCTGGCACCTGCTCCGACGGGCTTTCCGACCAGAGCCCTGAGGTGCTCCCTGCCTCCTCCCCACAGTGTCTGGTCCTCAGGGTGCCAGCCCTGCAGCCCAGGAGAGGGCCAGGGTGGTGATGGCGCCGAGGAAGGGCCTCACAGGGCACGTGCAGCGCCCCGGTCCACCGGGGGTCTGACGGGCCCTCCCCTGGGGAGAGGGCGGCTGGACAGGGGGCCTCGGTGCGCGCCCGCTGGCGGGAGGGGGATCTTGGCCCCCACCCTGCCCCCCGGAGACCACAGCCTGAGTTCCGAGCAGTCACCACCTTGGGCCGCCCCACTGTGGCCGCAGATTGGAGGGAGCCCCGGAGGGTGGGTCCTTCCTGCTCGGGGCCCAGGGCTGGCGCTGGCCGCGGGGGCAGCTGCTCCATGGCCGTGGCCAGCGAGTGTGCGCTCAGCTCCTCTCCCGGCTCTCCACCGGGGCCTGGGGCCCCCCAAACCGCTCATTCAAGAACCGTCTCTGGGCGGATGTGAAAAAATGAATCGGGGCCCAGCGTTGTCCCCTCGTGCCCAGGACCCCGGGGCCCCCTTCTGGAGCCTGCAGCACCGCAGGCGCCGTCTTGTGCGCCCCTGACACTCGCCCCGCCCGCAGGTCTCCGTGCTGGTCCTCTTCGCCCTGGCCTTCCTCACCTGCGTGGTCTTCCTGGTCGTCTACAAGGTGTACAAGTATGACCGTGCCTGCCCCGACGGCTTCGTCCTCAAGGTAAAGCAGCCCCCCCAGCCCCGGGCCTCCACCCCGCCCAGAAGGCTCTGCCCACCCTCATGGAGCCTCCCTGGCATTTTTTTCCGGGTGGCTTTGGCGGGGCCTCTGTCCTGGCCTTGGCCTGGGGGGCAGGATGGTGGTTCAGGCCTGGCTCGAGTTGAGGTCACCTTTCGGCGGCTTCCAGGGACAGCACGGGCCCCAGCCAGGCTGGGCCTAGAGTGTGACCCCACATGACACTGAGCTGCCCAGCGCTCCAGGGCCGGCTCCACAGCCCAGGAGAGGGTCACAGGATGGGGGGATACAGTGAGGTGCCCCGGAAGGGCCTCAGAGGGCGTGTGCGGAGCGCCTGCCCAGCGGGGACTGAAGGGCCTTCCCCGGGGACAGGGGAGCTGGGCAGCGGGCCTTCTGGGCCCTGTCACCATGGCAGGTGTGGAAGGCACTTGGCCACTGGCCAGGTACAAAGACAAGGTCAGGAGGAGGAAGCACCAGTGTGGGGTGTGAGCAGCCGCAGGGCACCCCCTTGGCTGCCGGGGAAGGAGTGGAGGGGCCCGAGGCCACGGCGAGCCTCGCAGGCCAGCTCCCCACTGGGGGGCAGGGCTACTGGCCTCTGGCTGTGAGCCTGGAGCGCCCAGAGGCTCCCGGGTGTAGCCCAGCGCCCACCCTGGCTCCTCCACAGCTGTGTTGGGCGGGCCCCAGGGCCACCCAGGCCGGCAGTGCGGCCTCAGAACCACCTGGGGGCTGGCTGAGAATTGGGGGTGAAACCCTTCCAGGGCCCGTCCCAGTCGCAGAGGGGCCTCTTGCCATAGCAGAGCAGGGCCCTGGTGCCCTCGGGTGGGTTAGTGACCGGGTGGGCAGGGTGGGCACCAGGAGTTGGAGGCTGTTTGTCCTGCAAGCCCACGCGGGCCTGGGCCTTGGTTCCGCCCTCACCCCCCCAACAAGAGGCCACGGAGGCAGCTGTCCTCCAGGGGCTGTCCCAGAACCTGCCCTGTCACATCTGCTTGTTCCCAGCAGCCTCACCCAACTACAGGGCCAGCTGGGGAATCCGGGCCCAGTGTCCCCACCACCACCGCTGGGGACGGCTCCGGGGGTGGGGGCAGGTCACCCTGATGAGCACTGTGGGTGGCCCCTCCCCCGCCGCCTGCAGGGCCTCAGGGCCAGGGCCTTGAGAGCAGTGACTCCCAGCTGGGGTCTGGCCACAAGGGCACAGTCCGGCAGGACCGCGGAGGTGGTGTGTGGCGTGTGGCCTGCCCCCTCCGGCATCGTCTCCCCTCCTCTCCTCCCCTCTCCCCCCAGACCCCCGAGAACTAGCTCACGGGGGCCTTTCTCTCCCCCCTGCCTGACTGCAGGGCCCCTGGGAGAGTGCCTGCGGGGTGGCCCCTCTCAAAGCCCCCCCCGGGCCTTCGCAGGCGACCTGGGTAGGCTGTTCCCTCCCACATCGGAGGCTCTCGCCTCAGACTCGGAAAGCGGCAGCGGCCTGGCGGGGGCCTCCGGGCACTGGCCAGGGCTCAGCGGCCTCCCTGCTCTGGCCGTGCGCGAGACTCGGAGCCGCGGGCAGGGCATGTTGGGACGTGACCTGGGAACGCGCAAAGACTTTTCCCCGTGCGCGGCAGCTGCGGCTCGGCTGATGCCGTTTCGGCTGACAAAGGCGTCAGAGGATGCTCCCGTCTTGAATAGTGGGGCGAGCCTGGAACCTGCTGGGGCGCTGTCGGGGCCTGCGTGCTGAGGGCGGAGCCAGGCCCGCCTTTGCTGGCCACCCTCGCCCCCCGGCCGCCGGGTGCCCCCGCGCAGCGCAGCAGCGGCCTCCTGTCTTGCAGAACACCCAGTGCATCCCGGAGGGCCTGGAGAGCTACTACGCGGAGCAAGACTCCAGCGCGCGGGAGAAGTTCTACACGGTCATAAACCACTACAACCTGGCCAAGCAGAGCATCACCCGCTCCGTGTCGCCGTGGATGTCGGTCCTGTCAGAGGAGAAGCTGTCGGAGCAGGAGACCGAAGCCGCTGAGAAATCAGCATAGCGCGACGGGCGAGCGCCTTAGAATGTGTCACGTGAAGGTAACAAAGGGACTTTGAGGGACATTTCATTAAATAGAATTACCGATAATTTAGAGGTTACTCATTCATGGTGCAACTGCTTCTGTTTGCTAATGCTGCTTTGCAACTACCACTCGCTGCAGACCAGCCGCGGGCACAAGGCCGGGCACAAGGCCGGTGCACGTCAGCATTGCTTAACGAGCTCTGGCACCACTTTCCATGTCGAGGGATCTTAATTTAGCTGCTCTGCTGGGGTTACTGGATGCTGTCAAAAAATAAATTTACACTGGACATGCACAGGGTTTGGACTTCAGATAAATCCTGCCTTTGTGAAATGGATTTTTTTAAACCACCGTGTCGGCTGCGGCCCTCGCCCACAGCCACAGCGCGCGAGCCCCGGCTGCTCCTCTCTCGCGGCCCTCCGTCCAGGGCGCCAGTGGGGAGGGGTGTGGCCAAGGAAGGAGAACCCCAGGTGGAGGTGCGCGTCACCCGGTGCGGACCGTCCCGCAGTGAGGGTCACTGGGGGCTGTCGGCGCCGTCACCATGGCATCCCTGTCCCCGCTGGGTGGAGCAGAGGCCGGTGCCTGCCCATGGGCAGGGCTCTGGACGGGGCGGGGGTGGGGTCTGCTGAGGTGTGAGGGAGGAAGACCCACTGGCCCTCTGTGCACTGCTCCTGGGCATGAGTTTGCACCCACGGCCCTGCTTAGCTCGGTGGAAAAGGGGAGCTGTGATGCTCGGAAGCCAGGGGACGGCACCCTGCGCACAGACGCCACTGCCCCTTAGACGTGAGGCAGCAAGGCTGGCAGCACAACTAGCAAACCGGGCAGAACTGTCAGGTAAACCAAGAGTGGACGACGATGACCCGGGGAAGAGTCACGATTCTGCCCGCGTTTCCAGCCGGTGTTCCCGGCCAGCGTGTCGGTGTCGCTCTACTAGTGCCTGATTTTGCAAACGAGCGCGGTGGTTGGGGGCAGCCCCATGGCTGTTTCCTGACCGTGCACACGCCCGGCGGGCACCATGAGGGAGCGGGTGGCTGCCGGCTGCGCTTTATTGACTGTCCACACGGAACCCGACATGTTCCCTCTGCGAACACACCCCGGGACCCTGTGGCTTCCTGGGGCTGTCTGCAGCCTGTGGCCGGCAGGGCGGGGTGGGTCCTGCGCTTCCATCCCAGGGGGCGTCCAGGTCTGCTTCCAGGGTTGGTGCACGGGCCAGGGGCAGGAGGGTGTTGGGGCAGCAGCCAGGCCCGAGCTCCCCGCCACCCACAGCGGCACTGACTGCACTGACGGGGCGCACTGGGCGGCATCTGGCTCGGGCAGAGAGGAAGCCGCAAGGAACGAGGGGCCGCCCCCATCCCCGGCCCGCCTGGGGACTGCGCGCCTCAGGCCTGGTGTCTGTCGGGAGCGTGTCTGTCAGCCCTCGTGCCACGCTCCGCGGCGGCCGGCTAGCTGTCGTACCAGTCGAGGAAGAGCAAGGAGAAGGAGCACATCACCAGGAAGAAGAGCACCCACACGCGGAAGCCGGCATTGTTCTTGATGGCCTGGGGGCAGGGCACAGGGCTGGTCACTGGGATGGCCGAGGGCTCGCCGCCCTGCTGACCTCGAATGGCCACTCAATTATTGTTAATCCAAAATGTGTTTAAAATCCATGCAGCTCACACCTTCTCCTGAGGACAACCCCCCCCCCCCCCCCGAATGGCTCACGCCTGAGCCCCGGCCCATCTGCTGGGCTGTAGCTGCCCCACGGCGCTTGGCAGTCGCGGCCCAGGGAGGGCCCACGCTCCCTGCTCCTCCGTCCCCCCACCCCCCACTCTGGCCTGTGGTGGGGGCCCACCCAATTTAGAGAGCAGGTCCCATCCTGCCAACCCAAGCCCACGCCGCCCAGACGCTGGTCAGCGAGCCACTGCCTTGGCACCAGGGCTGAAGCGAGACCAGCTTGCGGCCCTGGGCACTGCCCTCAGGGCTCTCGCCCACACGGATGCTGTAGCCAGGACGCCGTGCTGGCCCAGAACACGCACCTCTCTGATGTCCTCGTTGCCCTCCTTGATGTTCTCAGTTGCCCCAACCACAAGCTGGTGGATGTTGTCAATCTCGGCCTCCTGTGGAGGAGCGCGCAGGTGAGCGCAGGTGAGCCAGCTCCCCACCCCGCCCACATCCTGACAGGCCAGAGCCGCCACAAGGGGGGCTTTACACCCATGTGCCCTGAACCCTCACAAAAGGGGACTTAGGGCTCAGAGAATTCTGAGCTGACGGCCGGGCTGGGGTTAGACAGCCTCCGGGGGGAGCCCAGAGCCCGGTCACCTGCCCCAAGGTGAGGGACAAAAGCCGCCGCCGGCTACAGAGCAGCCCCTCCGCACGCAGGCTCCCTCGGGCTCTCATCCGCGAACAGACAAGAGTGTACACGTGAACAGGCCGCTGAAAAGCCTCCCTGCTGAGGCCATCCTCCTCGGGAGGGAGGGAGAAGGGCCCTGCAGGGTAGAGGCAGCCCTGCCCACAGCCGAGCAAAGACGGCCACAGGGAGGCGCGCCACCGGGGGCTCAGCACACACTGGGGGCACCCTGCGGGCCAGTCCCCCCAGAAGAAATGTCCCAGTTCTAGGACAGTCCTTTAAGCTACAACTTAAAACAACGCTTCTCTTACCTGTTGTAAAACCTTCTCCGTGAATATCTCCTGGAGTCTGGAAATTTCAACCACTTTCCCTTCAATTTGCCTTCATTAAAGAACAGTCACGTATTAACTCTCAGTGATTTGCACATTTCTAATGACAGTCGAAATGCAGGCCGGCAGGGAGGGGCGCCCTGTGGTCCTGAGAGGGAGGGGAGCAGGGCGTAGCTGCCCTCAGTCCCTGCCCAGGGGCCACGGGGCTCTGAGGGGCCAGCACCAGCCCCGCTTTCAGAAGCTGCGGGAACAGGCCCAGGGCATGGCCCTGTTGGCACCAGGAGGCCCCCATTTCACCTGAGATTAAATGTGAGCAGCCCCCCCAAATGTCAGTGATCTGAGGCGCAGGGGCTCACTGGGGTGGCTCAGTGTCTGGAAGCCTCAGCAGCAGGCGGGTACCCCCCTCAGCCCCGTGTGAATGACTCCAGGATCCCATCTGGGGAAGCGGGGGCCGGCCCTGAGCTCACGGAGCAGCTGCACCTACCTCACCTCGTCACACAGGCTGTTCATCTCGCCAATCAGGCGCTGGTTTTCCTGTTCAAACTGGGAGGAAACCACACAGAAGTGATGCTGAGCCCGAGGCCCAGAGTCCAACAAGGCGTCTGTGCGGACGCCCGAGCCTCCTCGCCAGCATGGAGCCCCAATGGCCAGGAGAAGCAGCACCCCAAAAGCAGTGGGCCGCCTGTAGCCTCACGTCTGCTCCTCGAGACCATGCAGTGGTGACCCTGCCCTGCCCTCTCCCCCTCCCCCGCCCCTGCACACCTCCCCATTCACGCCTCGGGGCCTAGTCTGCCCAGCTCTCCCGGCCCTGCTCAGGTCGCGAGCCCTGCTCTGGCCAGACCCCAGCTTTGCCACGCTGACCACTGGGGGCACCTCCTGCGCTCAGGCCCTCCCATGAAGTCTGATCTCCAGGCTGGGGAGCCCTGAGTCCCTTGAAGCTCAGACACATCAGAACGGATTGAGTCACTCTCCAATGTGCCCACTCGCTAAAAGGCACCCAGCTCTTGTATGTGTAAATAAATCTTAAAAAAAAAAAGGCCTGCAAGTCCCCGTCATCACCATCTGCTGCTTGTGCAGGCGCCTGTCTTCCTGGGGCAGGGCAGCCCTCCGAGGGGCCGCAGGCTGTGGTCAGAACACCGAGGGCCTCCGTCCCCCGGGCCTGCCGGGCGGAAGTGTAGGGCCGGCTCCGCGGGCGCCTGCCCTCCTGGGGCCGCGGGCCAGCCCCACCCTGCCGCGGCCCTCTGAGCAGCCGCGAGAAGGGCCGTGTGCGAGAATGACACTCTCCCTTTCGCGGGCGCGTTACAGGCAGCTGGCAGCGCCGTTACTTGAGTGCAGGATCTACGGGAAACATGACTTCAGCACCTACCTGATAATGTGGTTAGACTAACTCGCTCAATTTTACCTTTTTTTTTGTGGGGGGGGGGCAGGGGGTGTTTTTTTTTTAATTTTCTAGTGACCAAATACGGCCCTTTTAAATTTTATTTCTGGCCCTAAGCAAAATTACCTAGAGGTTGGAGGTGATCTGTTGCTGGAATGTTTCCAGGAGCAGGCGGGTGTCACAGCCTCATCCCCGGAGGCCCCAGAGAAGGGCCGGGGTCATTTCCTTCAACCCAGGGGCTCCTCCCTCCACCTCTGGAAGGAGAGACCCCAGCCTCACATTCATGGGGAGCAGCCTCTGTCCAGAGGTGGGGGCCACAATCAAACCGGCTCAGTGGAACCACTGGTTCTGACCAAGTGCAAGGCTGCGCCCCCCGAGAGGGCAGGCGTGGCCCGTCACCTGCTCCTGTTGGGGGCGGGGGGCGCCTGCCCCCTCCCACTCAGCCCCGAGGGTGGGAGGAGCAGGGGAGGTGGTGGCTGTGCCAGGTGCTCTGGTGAGCCCGCTCCTGCGCCCTCCTGGGGGCCGGTCACTTTCTCCTGGTGAACCAGTGGGGTGATCATTAGCCCCCTGCGGGCTCGAGGCCGGCGCCTTCCAAGCTGTGTGCTATGACCTTGGGCAGGTATGTGCCTCTGTCATCCTCCGCCCCGGACCCCAGAGGGAGCAGACGGCCTGGGGCGCCTCTTGGACAGGCGGGACAGAGCCGGGCGCTCTCCTGCCCCTGCTCCAGCCCTCGCCTAGCTTGGGTCACGTCCCCACAGCCCCTGCGACTTGAGACTTGAGCACGAATAGAGCAGCACGGCAGCAGGGATGGAGACCCACCTAGCACTGAAGGCCTTCCCACTGCTGAAAGCTGATATTAGTGACGTTATTCTAAGGCAATTTCTTCTTCCATTATATTATGCAATTTAAAGCATATGAAGAAGCAAACTAAGAATTAGGAAATAAGTGGGAAAGTTGTATCTAAAATATTTACTTCTAATCGTTTAAAACCCAGCAGGAAATCAGAGCCAGGGCATTTCGGATGGCCTATTCCGTGACATATTCTAAAATTAGCCAGAGATAAAGGGCAGCAGAGACGGCATTACCATCTGTATTTCTTCTGGGGATAATTCGTCATCACCTTTGCCATCTCCCCAGGTCCCCAGCTCAGGCTGCGTGTCAGCGGGAATCTTTTCTATTAAAAAAAAAAAAAAACCCACAAAAACAGAAGGCACAAAATTCACTTGAGAACAGGCTCTTCAATGCAGGCGCATTACAAACACGACTGAGACAGACCCCACCATGTCCGGGCTCCACCCCCTGGGTGGGTGGTCGGGCTCTGCAGCAGGAGCCCCGGCTAGCGCAGACCTGCGTGCACGTGCCCGAGCCTGTGTGTGAGCACCTGTGTGTGCCTATATGGTGGTGCATGTGTGTGCCTGCGCGTGTGCACGTGTGCGTGCCTATGTCTGTGTACATGTGCATGCTGCCTCTGCGCGACTGTGTGTGTGCCCATGTCTGCATGTGTGTGTTGCTGTGCAATGTGCATGTGTTTGTGCACTTGCCCATGTGAGTGTGTAGATGCAGACACGCGCACCTGTGTGCGTGTGCCCATGTACAGGGCAGGGGGCCCTTCAGTGACAGTCACCCAGAGAGGCTTCCCTTGGGACCCGTCTCCATGTGGGTTTGGCATCAGAACACGGAACACACCCTTCTCCTGCTTCTAAGGACTGGAAACACATGGGCGCTTCTGTTGCAAGCAAGTTATCTGTATTTATATAAAATTGTATCTAAAATACAGGAAGCGACACTCAATTCCTTGATCCGAGTCCTCCCTCAGAGCCAGCCGCTGCGAGTGCTTGCATCAGCGCCCTGGCTTTTGTTCACATAAGCGCCCCCAGAGATGGGCACTCCTGCCCCTCTCAACCCAGAAGTGCCACACAGCTCTGGCGTGGCGGCTTGTTCTTCACAGGACATCAATGGCGACGTTGCTCTAACACCTGCTTTTATGGTGCGACGCACCGCAGCAGCGTCCCACCCGGTCAACGTCAGGACACGCGTGCTCACGGCACCAGACACAGCCGGGTTTGTCTGGATGTTCGCAGTGACGGCGGGCGGGCGGGCCGGCCTGCTGGCGTGCTCTGGGGCAGACCCCTGGGCAGCAGCCACCAGCAGAGTGTGCAAACATGATCTCCAGAGAACCTTCCGGCTGTGACCACAGCAATGTGGTGGCCTCGAGGAAGCGCAGTGCCTGCATGGGCTCTTGAGGGCCATGTGGCAGGAACAGGGCACAGGGTGTGCAGGCCACAGGGTGTGCAGGCCGGCCACGCTGGGTGGGCACCGCAACAGCCCTCACAGTGCCTTCGTGTCTGCTGTCTCGACGAGGCCTTGCGCTGGCAGTGGTGGCCAGCACTGTAAGGCAAACATGGCCCCTTTTCTCTTTTCCCTCAATTTCAGTAAATTTCCCAGAGCCGGCCCTGGGCCACGGGGTGGGGGAAGTCCTGAGACTGCGCGGGGAGGACACGTGGCAGCCACAGCCGGCGCCTCCTCACCGAACACCCGTGTTACCCACACATACGCAAGCTCTTAAAAACGGCTGTTTCTGCCAAACAGTCATCATAATCGTGAGATGCACTTGTACACCCCTCACAGCATGCACACGCGCGAGCGCCCGAACCTGTATTCAGCTTTCATACAAAAGACGCGTCTAAAAGGGCGAGCAGAAAGCATCCTGAGACAGGCGGCACTTCCTTAGGCGACAGTCCTCAGGAGGAGCACCTGGCCTTCCGCCCCGCTCCCTGCCCTGTCGCCTCCTGGCCTCACCGTGGCGTCCACGGCAGGCGTCTCCCCTTTGCCTTCTGAGGATAAGAACACGACAGCACGGAAACCATGCTCACAGCGGAACCCGGCGTGAGCGCGCGCAGAGCTGGAAGGGGCCTGTTCACGAGAAGGACTGCTGCCCCCAGGGTGGCCTGGAGCTGCCCGACCCACTGTCTCCCCAAGCTGTGCTCGGCCCCGTGACCAGAGCTCCAGCCGCCGATCCTAACGTCGCCCCGACCCTGGGGAGCTGTCCTGCCACCTGCAGTCTCGGGCACCGGGCCCCTCTCAGGCCGGAATCTCACCCCCCACCCACTGACAGGGCAGGAACTGGGCTCGCTGGAGAGAAGGGAAAGAAGTGTCCACAGATGACCACCCACCCGCAGGCCCGTGAGCCACGGTCAGCAAACAGTGCTGAAGTGGAGCTTGGCCGGGCCGAGTGAGATCCAGAAGAAAAGGCCCCAGAACCCCACCGGGACAGGCGTCTGGGGTCAGGGGAGCTGCCTGCTGCTGACGAAACGAAACGAGAAAGCACAAAAGCAGCCTCTGTAAGACAGGAGCCCGGCAGGGTCAGCCTGCAACACTGGGGCGAGGCGGTGCGGGCAGTCCAGGAGGGAGGGGAGCAGCGGGGTGCCGGCTGGCTCCTTCGTCCTCCGCCGTGCATTCTGCCGGCTGGTCAGAGGAAGAGGTGACTCCTACCTGGATAGTCCTCAATGATGGATTTTTCTTCAGAGTCTTTTAAAGAGCTCTGGGAAGCTCTCTCAGAAGAGCTGGATTCCCTTGTCCTGGTATTTGGCTCTGGTTCCAGCTTGGACCTAAAAAGAAATAATGAGCAATCTCAGGATCCACGGAAGGGGGCCGGGCAGAGCCCCGCGCTGCTGCCCCGCGCCAGGCGCCTCAGCACCCCTCGTGAGGGGCCCGTCCAGGGGCAAGCGCAGCAGCATGCGCGGCACTGAGGACACACCAACCCGCCCAGCAGAGACCAAAGAACCCCATTTCCTGAACCATGGAGAGTAAGTTGCCATCCTGATGCGCCTTCACCCGTGACCGTTCTCTGACAGAACCATTAAGATCGGGAACTCCTATGTCCCCTCCATTTTGACCAGCGATCAGGATAATGTGCTGCGACCGCCAGGACCCGCCGTGCCTGCGGCTCAGCGCCACCTCCTGTGCGGCAGTCTGGAGCAGCTGCGGGGTCTCTGCTTGCGTCTTCAAGGCGAGTTTTCTGACCTTCCCTAGAGGCTGGATTCTGGTTCTGCCTCTCTGTTCTCATTCTCCTCAGGCAAGGCACCCTCCCAGCGGGCCGCCTGTGGGCGGAGGTCCCGGGCTTCCCCTTGGTAATCAGCCCCGGGGAGGGGTGCCTGGATGCTGCCTGACTACCAACTTCAAACTTTCCATCCAAACCGGCCTCCGAGTCCTTTCCCCAGCGGTGTCCACGCCCTCCCTGCCTTCTGGGGTGAAGGCTCCAGGCTCACTTATACTTTCCCTGCCCAGAACCAGAGCAGCCATTTTCTCCAGCAGCCCTGGCTCCTGGAAGCTGAGCTGGGGCCCCAGAGCCCAGACGAGTGCTGTGTCTGCCCTCCGTGCTGGGCTCCTGTGTCCTGGGCCTCTGGGCAGACGCGGCTGGGCCACGTGCGTGCATTTTCACACAGACACAGGCTCCACACCGGCAGCCATGCTCATTTTCTATCCATGTCAACCGCAAGCCACGAGCTCACACAGACTTTCCACTCAACACCGCGGGTGCTCTGGCGCATCCCTTCCTGCCTCGGGGGAGGGACCTGGCTTCCGCGAGCTTGCGCAGCACCCTGCGAGGGCCGCCCATCTGTACGCACCACCCCCCCCCACCCGCCCGTCCTGGCTCCCCAAGGAAGAGTGCCCCTCACCCCGCCCCCCATCACAGCTCACACCCACCTTCTGGGGTGTCTCCCTCCATGGGGGCAGAACTGAATTGTGCAGGAAGGGGAAGGGCTGCTTCCTGTCTGCCATCCTTCGTGGCCAGAGGATGCTAATGTGCTAGTTTTCCATTTAAAATGAATAAAAGACCGCAATGCAGCAGACTTTGGTAAAGTTGAGAGCTTATTTCTTTTTTTAAGTGATAAAAACAGCTCGAATTATGCAAAGACTGTCTATTGAAATCCTCAGGGAAATTGCAAATTAAGAAGTTGTAGGCAATTTGGAAAAAAGTCATTTTTAAAAATTCATCAGGAAGATCCGTGATGCCCATGACTTATTTGGAGTGACTTCTCCACTGAAGGCTGAGCGCTGCCTAGCTGCCACCACGCGATTTCCACCTGGCCAACATCTGTCTCCAGTGCCTTGCTTGAGAAACCTTGGGATGCTATTACTCCACATTTAAAAAGAACAGGAGGAGATAGGAGTGAGGGGGCGAAAAAGACTTCTCAGTTTTAAAACAAGAAAGTAAGTGGAAGAAATTTCTTGCAAACCTTAAAGCCCTACACAAACATGACAGAAAGTGATGGGCACTCCAGACGGCAGCGCTTACATTTCTAGGCCCCTCAAAGGCCCTGGGTAGGAGGCAGCAGTGTGACCCCGGCACTGTAACTTCAAAGCGGCTCTCAGACATGGCAGGCACTGGCGCCTGCCCCGCGGAACAGGGCAGCCCCACGGGGCATACCCTCTCCCACTCTCCCACGGGCGCGGTGATGACCAGACCAGACCAGGGTCTGTGTGTCGCTGCCCTACTGTGACCTGATGTCACCAAGGCCAGCGCCTCATCTCCTGGAGCAGGCGCGGACCAGGGTAGGTTGGGGGGGGGGTCACCCGTGGCACAAGCCTGACACTGTCCTGGCCAGGGGACACAGCCCGGTGGCTCCAGGTGGGGCACACGCCCCTTCCGTAAGGGCCAGGCGTAAGCATTTTAGACTCTAGGCCATACGTGCTCTTGGTTGTTTCTTCCTTTTTCCTTTATTTATTTATTTAGTTATTGTTTTATGAATCTCCAAAAATATACAAACCATGCCGAGCCAGTGGGCAGCACAAGACAGGCGAAGGGCCAGATCTGGCCCACACACCCAGGGGCTGCTCCCTCTTCTCGGTGAAGAAGACCCCCATTCTAGACAGTGAGTGAGAAAATCTCGGGGAGAGTCTGGTAAAAGACACGCCCTTTCGGCTGAGTGTCAGACGGGAGGGACTGAGGTGAAACAGGGCGAATGCAGTTGATAACACTGGGAGGTATAACTGAAATTCGCTAAGAAAAGTAAAGATAAGTAAGTGAGAGGAGGGATGTGTTAGCGGGACGGAGGGAAATCCTTCCACGACGTGCACACACATCCCCAGTCAGCGCAAACCACTTGCTGACTTGCCTTCCGATTTTAAATGTCAGTTATACCCCAGTAAAGCTTAAGTCAAAAAAAAAAGAAGACAAAAATCACATTCATGGCCCTACCATCGCTTCCTGGTCATCACCCATGGTCAGGCCCCCCCCGGCCCCCCGAGTCAACGGCAACATCACTGAGCTCTGAGCGCGCAGGATGCCGGGTACAGGGGCACGGTCCCGTCACGTGTCCAGTCTAGGGAGGACACGAGGCCTGGACGGTGCAGGATGGCAGAGAGGACCGGGTGCCCGCACCCACCGTGCGCTCTGGGCAGTGCCCCAAGGCTGATTCTTCTGAAGGGGGTGAACATACCCCGCAGCAAAGTGTTGACTTTTGTACCAACTTAAGGATGGAGTAAGCCACTCGAGGTCACATACCAAGCTGTGGATTAGGCAGTGTTTTCAGACAAACACCTGTTTGCCAGGTGGCTCACGAGTAAGGCTCCCCCTCAGAAGAAGGCCAGCAGGCGCAGAGGCAGCAGGAAGCCTGGGGAACTCCGTACCCTGCATGTCTGCCCACGTGTGCGCTTGTGTCTGGTCTCAGACCTCCTTTATCGAGTCACCAGGATTTCCCCAGGACACCCGAGGAAATTCTTTCAGAATCAGCAGGAGGATGTGCTAACATCCCGCGCAACAACGCTGCTGCCCTCCCCACCCCCCAGGGCGGAGCCCCCACACTCGAGCGGCCCCCTGAGAGCACGCGGTCACGGACACGGTACTCACAGTCTCTTCTTGTCCACCACGCGCTTGACACGGACGGCCCTTTGCTCTGAGTAGAGTTTACAGACTCCTGTGCGGGGACACACCAAACAGGACCCTTGAAAACTGCTTCAGGCCAAGGGACCAGCAAACAGAGCGACAGACTTCAGCCAGCAAAGCTGAGCTGCGTCACCCCTTGGCCTTCACAGTAAAGCGACGTACTTTTTAGGTAGTCCTCGACGAAGTCCAGGACCGCGCTCCTGTGCTCCTTCACTTGCTGCGAGTGCGTCTCCCTGTGGGCTGCAACGAGAAGGCAGTTGAGGCCGGCACTCCTCTACATGGACGAGCAATTCGTCGGCTTCCTGAGAACAGTGTCTTCAGCGCAAGTGTTTTTAAAAATACAGCTAGAAAACTAGTCCTGTGCTGAGTGACACTCGTTCTTTAAGAAATTAAGATTTATTAGGTTCTACAAGAGGGACGGCTTGACCTGCAGAAAGACAAGGGACCCACAGCTCACACGGCGCCCCTGGGCCACCCGGCGATGACCCGAGCCGCACAGCCTCAGAGCCCTCGTCTCAGGCATGGCAGCCACTACTGAGGCCTACTTGCCAGCACGAGCAGAGCCCAGCTACCCCTGCCAGCCTCCCACACGGCCTTGACCGGCCCCCCAGGGCATAGTCCTGTGCCCCCTTGTAGGCACAAGCCACGTCCTCAGGCCCCGGCCCCCCTTGGCTCTGGTTTGGAGCGGTTCTACCCCCTCCACCCTCCAGCCTGCCTCACTGGAATAGTGCCTTCCATGCCTGGAGCAGCATAGGGGAAAACACTGCTTAGGGAGCGGGGTTCCGAGTCTGAGACCTGAATCTAAGGAGGGCCAGAGGAGCTGGGCAGCCGCACAGCGGAGTGTGGGGGCAGCGTCACCTTGTGTCCTGAGTTGCTGGATTGCTTCCGAGCAGGTCCTCATGAACGTCTGGGCGTCCTGGTCTATCTGGTCTCGCTCTGTGTCCGTCATCCTCCCATATTCAGACATGACATGGCTGGAGGAAGAGGCAAGATTGAAGGGCAGCAGCAAATGACTGAGTGTGGTCCGGGGTGCAAGCTCGGCGGAAGCAGGGCCGTCCACGCCTCTGTTTCCCAGCGCCCGGCTGGTGTCCAGCACATGGCAGGTGCACCGAGCTGGCTGAGCACGCACTGCGTGCCATGGTCTCAGCGTCTGTGTGTGTCCTGCTTGTTCAATCTCCACAGCCCTCTCGTCTCTCCTTGTACACTCACCTCCGGGACATCAGGCACCAGGTAGGGGTGGAGGGTGTGGGCGTGAAGGCTGAGTAAGGCTCCTTTCTGCCCCTCAGAGGTGCCACCCCACAGGGGAGCCCAAGGAGCCCTGTTGGGGGCTGCTGCTCTGGAAGTGGGCGGTGGACCCCTGGGGGTGGGGTGGTGAGCGTGTGCAGGGAGCCAGAGGTGGCAGGCGGGGGATGCGCTGCACAGGGGAGAGCCAGCCGCTGCCCACGCCCTGCCCACTGGCCCATGGGATGCGGCTCCGCCTGGCCCATGAGGACGGATGTGCGGGGATGAGGCCAGGCCAGGAGCCTGCGTTCCCACCTGGCCAAATGCCTGTCGAGACAGACCACGGGGGCACAGGTGCGGAGGGAAGGGCTGAAGGCACCAGGCCGGAGACAGCACTCGAGGGAGGGGACATGGCAGGGGACAAGGACAATGAACACGAAGGTCGGCCTTGTTTCTCTGTGATGCTGCAGGAACTCTACATAAAACACGGACTTGAAACGTAACCATCGGAAGTAGCAGACGCAGGCCGGTGACCCGGGACTGAGAACCACAAGAACGGAATCACCACCTCCGCGCACAGGTTAACTCTGGCGAGTAGCTTCAGAGACATGGTCTCGTGGGGTGTGCATATCTAAGTGGATCAAAGTTTAATTTCACTTTCTTTATGGTGGACGGAGAAATAACTTTATTACAGATTTCAATGTATCTTTGCTTAGTCAATTTACTTCAGGAGACAGGAGGGAAAAACTGGACAGTAAGTTTACTCACTGCACAGAGACTTGAAGGACTATGCTTTAAAAGATTTTTTTGTTGATTAGTATAATAAGAGCAAGTTCAAAATTACAACACACTATTCACAGTAATTTAATATGCCTACTTTGCTATAAATACAAAATGAAGAGATCGATTTCATCACGTATGTTGGGCAGATGAGGGCGAGTATAGCAGCTGACCCAGACGTATGTCCAATACGGTGATGAACTTAAACGGTTAAATATCTGACAAAATACAGACCCTGCTCTCAAACCACCGCGATGGGTAACATACACGGTTTTATGTGTGAGCTTTGCCATGAAACAGAGGCCGACAGTCACAGGACACGTTCCGTGATTACTACCTTCTGTTCCAAGCACTCTGCAGATACTTACCCACCTAATTCTCACAATTCTACGAGGAGGGGGCTATTATAACTCCCACTTGACCCACGAAGCAAACGAGGCAGAGCTTAAGTAACCGGCCAAGGTCACGCAGCCAGCAATGAGCTGAGCTGGGAGCTGAACCTCGGCATCTAGCGTTAGTCTACACTCTTCACCACCCCCAGGGGCACCTCTTCTGTCATAGAGAGTCAGGAGCGTTCAGCAGAGGTGCTGCTGCTCACCTGCTGGCGGGGAGGAAGCGATCCACGACTGCAATCTCAAGAGGCAGCCTGGCCAGGGGAGATAGACAAGTGCATGGCCTCGGGAGGGAGGGAGCCCATGTGAGCAGCGCTCATGTGATCTCGCCCACGCTAGCCCAAGCGAGGCCAATGGGGAGGCTGAGCTCGAGGAGGACCGTGTGGCGGGAGGAAGCCCGATCTGGCCATGGTTCTGGGAAGGAGGCCAGGAGCCCTGCCTCCGTGTCCCTGCCGCCCCGACGCAGGCAGGCACTGCACATTTCTCTTGAACTGGAAGTCAGGAAAGGGGCACAGGCAGAGTCCAGAGGCCGGCCAGCGGCGGGAAGGAAAAGGACCTGAGAGACGAGAGTGCCAGAAGCGGGGCAGGTGGCGACGGCAAAGCCCCGCCAGACCCGGGGGCCGGGGCCTGTGAGTCGCATGAATGGGAACGAAGACCAAGGACGGAAGAGAAGAAAGAACTGGAGTACGAACGACACGACTGCTCACACGCGCCCTCACAGGCCGCTGGCAAGGACAGGAGCAGCGCCCTGGAGACCAACGCTCTTGACTGACACGTGTGCGGAGAAGGGAACCAGGCCAAAGGGCCTCGTGAGCAAAGCTGCAGAAGCAAGAGATGGGGGAGGAAGGGTGAAGTCGGAGTCCTGCAGCCTTGGAGAAGCGGGGCGAGGCGGGAGGGCACCGGCAGGCACAAGGCCAGGCCTGAGGCGCTCCCGCTCAGCCCCACCTGCCTCCCCACGCCCCTCCCCTGCTCCGCTCCGCCGGGAGCCCTCCCGCCGCGCACGCTGAGCTGGGGACTGTCCCCAGGATGGGCACGCGGGGCATGCTCGGGCACCGGATCTTGCTTAGTTGACTGACCCTTGTGACCATAACCTTCCGCGCGCCCTCGGGAAGCCTGGCCCTGGCGGGTGCGGGAGCGAAGCCCACGCCAGGGCGAGCAGCTGGCTAGTGAGCAGGGCTGAGCATAGTGGGGAATCCCACACCCAAGAGCAAAACCTGGGCTTGACCAGGGTCCCTAATCTCACGAGGCCCTAGGGACCTGGACCCTGTTGCAGGCTTCCCGGCTCCTCTTTCCCTCCCAGCCCACACCCAGCCCACTGGCAGATCTTGTAGGTTCTCCCATCAAACTGTTTCCAGGGTCTACCAAGCCCCACAGCACCACTGCTGCCTCTGTCCAGGCTGTCGCTATCCCCGCTGGGCTGTTCCCACGGCCTCCTGGCTCGTCTGCTGCTCCTGGCCGACCTCCTCATCTGCTCCAGCACACCAACCACGACGACCCTTTACAGGGTCAGTCAGAGGCTACCCACGCGAGACTTTCCGGTGGCTTCTCACAGAGGAGGGAAAACTAAGGTCCTTGCAAGAGCCAACCTGCTCTCTGAGCTCACCCACGCCACCCCACCCTGCTCGGTCACACGCCCTCTGTTCCCTGAATATTCTGGACACACTCCCACATCAGAACTTTACACTTGCTGGCTATCTCCTCTTCTGGAACATTCTGTTCCCAAATAGCTATACAACCTTACTTCTTTTATGCGATTATCATTATCTCCCCTGTAACGAGGCCTTCCCTAGCTTCCCTTCATGAAACTGTACCCTCCCTGACATTTCTGTCCCCGTTCTATTCTCCTCTCCCCACCCCTAAAGCACTTATCCTGCTCGAACATTTTATATATTTTCATTATCTCTTCCCCTTCTAACCCCCCACCCCAATATTTCAGTTCACACAGGCAAGAGTTTTTGTCGGTCTGTTCACTGCTGTGTCCCCATCACCAAGTGCAAGGGGTGGCGCCTGGAAGGCTGGTACGTCCATAATCAGGACAGGCCTGCAGGCCAGGCTTGACAGGTGCGGCAATGGGATGCTCACGAAGCCCCTCCAGAACTGCTCGTACCCCTACCCAAGATCTGGAGGCATCCCTCTTCCAGAGCCTTCCAGGACACACAAGGCCCAGGAGGCAGAGTGCACCCGTCCTGACAGGCTGTCTGGACGAGACAGGAGGAGCTAAGCGTGGGTGTTCTTAGCTCTAGCTCTCCTCCTTCGGGCAGCACCTTCCCAGCCCACAAGCCCACTTCCACTCTTCCTGAGGCAGCACTGGAGGAGAGAAGAGAGCCCAGACTCCGGGAGAAAGGATGGCCCTCCTCTCGGTGGAACCTGACGCGTGAGAGATGAGCATTCCCTGCCCCTGCTCTCCCCGCACCTGGGCCTCCCGATCAGCCCGAATTAGCACCAGAACCTCCCAGAGGTGCTGGGCCGGAGGCAGAAGAGCCAAAAGTGAGAAATAGGGGCCGAGCAAGCACCACCCTGCCCCGCTCCCAGTCCACAGGAAGAGCCAGTGGTGAGCCAGGTGCTCGTATTCACAGAAGCCACCTTGAGGAAGTGGAGGCCAGAGGGTCAGGGCCGGGGGACTCAGAAAGGTGCTGACACCCGGAGAGCCTGCACCCACGGCCAGAGCAGGCCTGGAAGTCACTCCTTCCGAGGACATTACATTAACATCCTCCTCCTCTGTAGCTGCGGCCCTGGAAACTCGGCTCTGTGAAACTGGAAAGGCCAAAAGGTGAAGCTGATAAAAGTGATAGGCGATTGAGGTGACGTCCCTCTAGGACACATTATACATTAGCCTTTTAAATTGGAAGCTGGCGGTATGATTATTCTATCAGTAACAAGAAAGTGTCTCCCCAAATGGTATTGTTTTGTTGCCAGGATACCACAGAAAAGGTACATCCAGCCTGAGTAGAGAAATTATTTTTAATTAAAATCATTCAGGAGATCCAGCCAGAGGCTGCACAGGTTGCATGCTGTTCTGCTCTAGTAAAATGTCATTATTAAAAAAACTTAAATGGGTCAATAAAGTGTGAGCTCTACATTAAGGGAAAAATTATAGTCTCCTAATTATGTCAAGCTAACGCAGCCTGATGGCTCTAGCAGTGTTTCTAAATACAGGCCTCCAAGGCCATGATTGTTCTCCTTCCAAAACGCTCTGAGGAACAAGGCAAGGCCAGCCCCCGGCCCTGGGAGCCGGAGTGGCAGGAAAGAAAGGCCGTGCACCGGCATCCGAGGGAGGGAGGCAGAGTTTAACGAAGAAGCCCCGTGGCCTTTCTCGGCCCAGACAGAAAGGAGGGCGCTGCTGTTGCGTCTGCAGATTTTCCTGTGAATCAAGTCCCCTAGGGGGGCAGCTGGCCTCCTTCCTCCACCTCTCCCCCGCCCCCCCGCCCCCCCCAGGAGGAGGGACTTCTCTGATCGACAACCAGGCAGCGGGAACCAGGCGGGAACCAGAGCTTGCGTGAACATGCCAGGATGCCAAGATGCCAGGATGCACGTGACAGAGGGCAGGCTCTGCCTGTTCTCTCTCCTCTGTGCTCTAGCCAGGGCTGCTCAGGGCTGAGCACCTGTCATCAGGAGCCCACAGCAAGAAGGCCACTGGCCAGAGACCTAGCACTGCCACCCTAAATTTCACCAATGATAAAGAGGACAACAGCTCACCCCGCTGCGGTGGCCTGGTTTCTGCACCCCCATCTTTCTCTCTCCTCTCCCTCTCTCCCTCCTCCCTCTGACAGGAAAAGTCTTTCTTTTTTTTTTTTTCAATTGATGGCTCTCTCCTCCCCAAGTTCTTGAGCATCATAGCTCAATGGGGTTCCGATTCAATTACCATTCACCAGGGATGCCTACGTGCCAAGAACTCAAACACGTCCCATTAATCCTCCTAAGAATGGCAGCCACATTTTACAAAGAGATTAACAAGCCGAGAAGCGAAGTGAGCTGTACGCACGCAGGCCAGGCGAGCAGGCGTGCTGCGGGGTCCGGGGCACCGACAGTGTGGGCTGCGCTCTGCAGCTCCGGAGAAATACCATCACATCACCATCCCTCGTGGAAGGTTTAAACCTCCGCAAGGTCAGGCAATAGTGTCCTGGTCCAGCAGCCTGCTCCTGTGCCTTCTGTGTGAAGGCCCCAGTCTCATCTGGACCATGACAGCGGGACTGGTTTCCACTCCCCTTGCTGAGAGCAGGGCTCTGCAGGCTTCTGAGAGGAGCCACGCAGCCCGTCCCAGCCCATCACCTCTGCTGCTGCAGCACGAAAGCAGCGGCACAGATGTGCCCACAGGCGGGCACGCAGGGTGCAGTAATTCACGTAGACTGAGACCTGAATCTCACATCATTTTCACAGGTGGGAAAACCATACCCTCCCGCACCCACTGCTTGAAACGCAGAGACGAGCCTCAGTGCACGGGCTGCACCAAGAGCAGGCAGCAGGCCGGATGTGGCACGGCTGTGAGGCTGGCGACCAGCTGAGAGGAACCAGAGGGTTGCACAGACCCCATGACTTTCTGGGTTTGCTGGCTGACAAGGGGGAGGTGCGTGAACCAAGCCAACAGGTAAGACATTCACACCACTGGGGGGCCCTTTCAGGAAAACAGGGATCAATATAGATCTCCGCGAATGACCCCCGCCCCCCGCTCCCTCCTCCCCCGCAACCGCTGGACCTCTGGTGGCATCAGGGCTTACAGGAGGGAGCTGCAAAAGACAGGACAGGCTCCCCCAAGTCTCCCAGCCGACCGCAGCCTCCGTCTGTGAGGACGATAAAGCCAGCGTCTGACAGACACGGCCGGCGAGCGCGGGCCAAGCGTTTTCTCTGAGGTTGGAAACAAGGCCTTCTTGGTGCTACGCTTTAGAATAATAATTCTGGTGTATTCCAAAGTCTACAAATAAAGTACACTTGAGAGTAAATGTCGACTATGCTGTTTAGTTGACAAAGTGGCAGAGATTATTTAAAATTCACCTGGGGTAAAATTATTTCTCTGTTAAAGAATTTAAATGAGATATTTACACTTTTGTATGTATCGACACAGATCTTTAAAAGTCAGAGGGCCCGCTGTATAGCCTCCTGCTGGATGGCGATGAAAACCTACAACGGAGCTCCCTGGGACGGCGTCGCACAGCCCAAACGCACCTCACCGCCAGCGACACGGTGCTGAGAGCACCTGCGGGAGTCTCGGCCAGGCGGGCCGGCTGGCCGGAGGAGGCATTGGGCAGCCTCATTCCCGTGCCCGTGGAGAGCTGCAGTCTCTTCCAGAAACCACTCTGGAAGGCCTGACCAAAAGGCTTTCTGAACAGCTTTTAGCCAAAGCCCGCACTGGAGGCATGAGCTTGTCTCTCCAAGTGGCCTATTTATGCGGCATGTGTCACCCTGCATGTGTTCAGTAACTGAGCTGCCCCTTCATGTCTGCACATGTCACGACATACATGGTCCACACAGACAGACACACAGGGGCCCGAGCGGAGGCTGTGTGGCAGCTCCGAGGACACAGCAGTGGTACCAGCAGTGCCTGGCGAGGGCAGCGCCGTCATTCTGTGCATGCTCTGCCGCTGCCAAGCCAATCTTCCCCAGCACGCCCTGAGTTGTCAAGCAAGAAGTGAGGACAAACTCTCAAAAGGAATCTAGGGATGGGGAAGAACAGTCACCGAAGTCATGGTAAGAAACACGCACTTACCTGTAAGCGTTGATGTAATCCTTCCTGTGCTCCAGAAGGAAATCTCTCAGCTTGCCAATGTGCGAAATCTAAAATGCAAAGAAAGCGAACAGTTTATATAGACAGATGTGTCTATACAGAGACATGTAATAAGTTTTTATTTATTTTTTTTGAAGATTTATTTATTTTTATAACAGAACTGGGGTACAGGCCAGAGGCACGGGAGGGTGAGAGGATTCACCAGACACAGAGAGGGGAGCAGAACAGGACTGAAATACACTGTTGAGGGGAGCAGCGGGTGTGACAGGAGAGGTCTGCCCCGCCATGTGGGTTTCTCCCTGGCCAGCCGGGAATCAAACCCATGCTGCAGAGGCTGCGGACTGCTTCACAGCACTGCGCTCAACCTGCTGCACCACCAGAGAAGCCCTAATAAGTTTTTTGTATTTTTTTTAAAAGATTTATTTATTTATTTATACAAGCACTGGGTACAATCAGAAGCGCGGGAGGGCAAGAGAATTCACCAGAGCCAGAGCGGGGAGCAGAGCAGGCAGAAGGACCGAAGTACACTGCTGAGGGGAGCAGCGGGCGGCAGGAGAGGTCTGCGCGCCCTGTGGGACCCTCCTCTGGTGGCCGGGGAGCAGCCGGGGATGGAACCGGCGCTACAGAGGCTGCGGGCAGCTTCGCAACCCAGCGCTCAACCGCTGCGCCACCGGGGAGGCCCCCTAATAAGTTTTTAATTAATAGAAAATGGAGGCAAGTTGTAGAACAACCTTGAAAGGTATAAACTGGACACGCCTGGTTTCAGATTCCCATTCAGTCACAATCACTACTTTGGGAAAAGTCACCCACGCCTCGGGCCTCGCTCTGTTCGGTGGCTCCTTCCTCCTGCAGTGCTAGGACCTGTGGCTTTCCAGACGACTGGGAGGAACTCAGACCCAACAAGCCAGGCAGGCCTGGCAGCACGCACCTCGGGCTTGGGAGAGGCTGATTTCTTTCTCTACGCCTCTTTCATCAGAAGTTTTATAAACACAGATCTCCTCTCTTCCAAGCATCGCAGGGGGTGGATTCCAAGGCCGGGGTGTCGGTTTTATAAACTGGGCCACACAGAGCAGCAGAGTTAAAGATGAGACTTGGAGCGACACTTTATCCTTCCTCCCTACACAGCAAATCTCTCTCCGCCCTCCAGCCTCCGTGCACGAACACAAAGAACACAATGGTGCAAAGGGTGGTATTTGTGACGGCTGCTCTCTCAAATAACCAAAAGCCTACTCTAAGCACCTGCCATGTGCCAGGGAGCTAGGGATTAAAAAATAAGAATAAAACATAAATAAAATAGAGAGGCAGGAAGAAGCCCAGGATCCTGGCCGACAAGGATGAAAGTGTTTCCAGAAGGAGAGAACGATGAGCGACGCGGGTGGCCGCTCTGCCCTGACCGCGCGCTCACACTGCCTCTCGTGCCGTTTGTACTCGTTCCAGACTCGCACGGCCCGGACTTGAAGCGTCCACTGAACTTTCATCTTTCCAGAAAAGTTTTTCTGTCAAGGCCAACTCAGGCTAACTTTTGCTTTGCTGGGAACTTGAAAGGGCCCTGCACACCCCCTGCCCAGGCTCAGCTCGCAGCCACACCTCTGCTCGGCTTTGATGCACCTCCTGTGTCAGCTGGCTATGGACACACAAGGTGGGGGCTGCATCCCTTCCCCCCCATTTTAGCGCCACTCGAAGCACAGAAGGTGGTAAGTGTCTGTGGAATGAGTATATGCCAAGGTTCAAAAACAAAGGCCTCGCTCCTATGTCTCCCCTTCTAAGGCCCTGATCCTAGTGGGGAGGGCCCCCTCATGACCAAATGGCCTCCCAGGGCCTTCTGTCCAAACACGGTCCCTCTGAGGACGAGAGCAGCAAGACCCAGAGGCATGGGAGGACACGATCACTTAGTGCACAGCCCTCCCCTTAGGACGCCACGACTTCTCTGAAGAGCTTTAAGAAGTCCACAAGCACACACCACACAGGCTGGACCTGTGAGCCCCTGGGGGCCAGCAGCAGCTAGCGCGAGTTCCCTACAGTGGGAAGGAGCGTGCACGAGGGCCGGGATGCAGAAGGCCCCACAAGCGCCTCAAAAGCCTCATTATGACAGGTTTCCCTGAAAGTATAAAAGGAGTGATCCCAATTTGAGAAAATGAGTTTATGAAAATAGCCGGCCTGAGATGGCCTGAAAGGCTTCTCTTCACTTTACACGGGCCAGCAGAGGACAAACACGCCTCGTGCTTGGCTTCAGTCAGACTGACGTTTTTCTTCACAGAAATATAAGCTGAGTTTCACACAGGTGTGCGTGTTGTTTTCAAAATGTCCTTAACGGGACAGTGGACACAGAAAGGCCTGCAAGAAAGGCCCCGTGGTGTCCACAGGCACGCGCGCGGCGGGAAGGCCGGTGCCCACCAAGCGTGCTCGGCCGAAGGAGCTCCGGGCGGCTGCTGTGACGGCGTCTGGTCACGTGGGAGGCTCAGAACTGACCTGGCCGCAGGGATGGGGAGAGGAAGGCCCACAACTGTGGGCAAGGAAACGGGGTTCAGAGGACCAAGTGACGGGGACCAGGTCACACCAAGCATGGGTCATGGAACCACTGGAAACAGGTTTGCAGGAGTAAGGAAAGCAACTCTGATGGTGGGTTCTCCCCCACACCCCGACTTGAGCCCGTCTTCTGCCCTTCAGCCTGGGGGTGCAGGCAGGGGCTGGGTGACAGGCAGCACGGCCACCATGGCATCAATGGCGAGGAATTCAGGGAGCTGGCTGAGACTGGGGTTCTGATCTCTGGCCACTACAGTGCCTGTGGAGGGCCAGTCCCTGCTTCTTAGGCTTCGTGGGGGGGCGGGGGGAGAGGAGAGACTGACCCCGGCGAGGGTGTGGAGACGGGAACGAGCTGCCCATCGGCCGGCCGGGAGGGCGTGTCCAGCCCAAGCCCCCCCCACATCTGGCCACAGCTCCAAAGCCGGGTTCTCCATTTGGCTTTTTCATGTTCCTACTCCTGTATTTCTCTTTCAGGTGGTTCCAAAACTGGGCTGGAAGGAAAGGGGTGTTGTTTTATAAGCTCCCCTCCACTCTTAACCTTCGCCAGCTGAAATTGAGAGCAAGCTGCTGAATCCCCCAGGCTTCACTACAAGGGGGGAGGTGTAAACGCTGTTACAAGCAGTAGTAGCACGAGGTACTAGCCAGCTTTTATCACGTGACTACGACATGCAGCAGGGCTCAAGTCAAAGGCTGTGCCTCCATTATCTCCTTTACTTCTTCCATCACCCCACGGGGCGGGACCCATTACTACAGATGAGAAAGACGTGGGGTAACACAGTCCACACAAATGCTTCAAAGTGCCCGTGTGCCTTCAGCCTCCGCAAGGCTGCCCTCTGGTGACCCTGGCCCTCAAGTGAGGATGGAAATTCTCCGGGGCCGCTGCCACAGAAGTGCAGTGGGCAGGTCTTGAGATGGAAAGCGCCCGAAGTGTCCGGGCTGAGGTGCTTCGCAGCAATGGGACAGCAAGACGAGGGCCACGCTCCCCATCGGCCTGGCCCTGGCTCCTTCGTGAAGCTGATGCCAGTCACCGACGCGCCATTCCAAAGCCACGGCGTTCACCGGGCCTGTCGCTTTCTCTCTCTGGACATAAGCTGAGGTCCCTCGTATTTTCCCAAGGCTGATTTCCAAAATCATCCAGACATTAAAATCCTCCCTACAATTTTCTACCAAAAAGCAAACTGATTCTAAAACAATGGCAGTGTGGCGTCGATACGGACACACCGACCAGGGAGAGGCTGACGCCAAGTCCAGGTGGCCCCGGGAAAGGAGTTAAGGCTCCAAAGCAAACTGACCGGAGACCCTGGAGGGTCGGGGCAGCCCGACGGGTAAGCGGGCGCCAGGCTCCACATCACCACTAGATGGCGACACCAGCACCAGAGCGGCAGCAACACCAGGGAACAAAATACCACCATTTCCCCCAAAGGGCTCTTCAGTTTTCCCTGCCTCTTGTTCTTCAGCGGGGAACTGAAGGGCAACTAGAAGTGTCCGCACGGCCGGCTCTCCGCAGGCCGCACGCAGAGGCGCTGGGTCGGTCTGCCACCTGCCAGGCTGCACCCAAGCCATGCCCCCCGCCTCACCCACAGGGCAGCCCCGCTAGCTGCTCCTTCTGGTGTTTCGTCGTAAACTACCCAAAACAGGATAAACTGTAAGACAAAAACCCTGCACAAAACAGTGGGGTGCTTCTGGAAGGAGACTGCGCTTGAACTGCAGGAAGAGTTCAAAGCTGCGCCAGGGCCTCTGCCATCCCAGCAGCAGGGGTCTTGCAGGCGGCGGCCCCTCCCCCAGGAGGGTCGAAATTCTGTTTGCTGGCGCTCAGGGCCCTTCCAACAAAGGCCTGATTGATTATGAAACACTCAGCACCGATTTGCATAATTTGCCTCTGCAATAAACAAGCATTGTTGGAGATTAAAGAGACTCCAGTAGGTCCCTCTGGCATATTGTAAAAAGTTCCCTATAACACGAAATCATTATTTTTCCCCTTCAGCCAGTGGGCACAGCTTGCTGTTCAGTTGTCATGCAGCCAAAGGCCGCCCACGTCACCACGCTACGGTGGCGCTTCCCCAGCACCCTGGTCTGACTAAATGCCACGTCCACTCCCTTCGGTCCTGAGGGAAAAATGCATCAGTCCCCAGCCACAGTGAGAGGTTCAGAACTCCGGCCTCCACCTTGCTGAAGACACGGTGGGGGTGGTGGAAGGCCCGACACCAGCCAGCCCAGAAGTCCCCCCGCAACAGTGGCCCACGAGAGAGAGGTGCTGCTGGTGTTGGGGTGGCAGCAGTGAGCTTGCTAAGGAAGGGTTCCTTGCTTTCTCTTTCAGTCACTCCTGAGTGACAGGCATGGGGCTGGCTCCTCCCATCAAGCCCCAGTTTTTCCGCAAGAGCCCCCAGCTCCACTGGAGGAATGCAGGGCGGCCACGGGTATGCGCTGGGCTCCCAGGCCCTTGGAGGACTTGAGCCCCTGCTCTGGGTCTCGATTCTTCCCCATACACCGCCAAGGCTGGACCAGCAGATCCTTTCAATGCAGAACT